GGCCGTTCGCGCGAAATAAAATAAACCGAAATGACAAAATAACCGATATTACTTGGAATATAAAAAATGTAACGATTGATAAGATTTCATAGCTGCAACGCGTATTTCATTTAGTTTTGTAAAATATAAACTCTACGAGAGTCAAACTAATCGATATTCTTTTATAATGGACTTCTATAACGAACCATTGAATTTTATAAAGAATAATGCGTATTGGACTGAGTTTGTGAGTGTGGCGGAATGACTGTGTGTGAGTGTGGAATGAATGAGTTGCGAAAATAATTTAATATTGAAATAAAAAAAATAATGAACATGTGAAGAAATAGGTGTGTAGCGGATGTAATATTACCATATACGAATGGCATCATGATCGGATTGGATTAATTATATTGCCGGATCAGAGAAATCGGATTTAATGTTAATCTTATATCAGAAAATAATTTTTACAACGGGTTTCTCTCAAAATTGGAATTAATTTTACTTAATAAATGGAGAGTGCTACATATAATACATATCTTATATCAGAATTGATTTATTTGTGTTTCATTGCTCTATCGGTGAATAAATACTAAGATGTTCATTGTTAAGATTTTGACATTGACTTTCTTGTTTCGTGCATTCCTAAACCTCAAGTATGTCATAATTTGAATAAATACAATAATATTTAAATTTAATATTTACAATATCTTCCTCTTAGCCGTATCCGTTATAGCGTTGCTGCTTAGAGCATTGACGCGACGGACGACGTTTCCACCGGGCACGGTCGTGGACGTTGGAAGCTAGCATTTACCCAGTGAGGTGTAACCACTCACTGGACCAGCCCGGCGAACAGATTCATTAATGATTTTAACTTTGTATTTATTAAGGATGTTAAAGGTAAATATGATCCAAATTATATATAACTAATGGCTTCTACATAATAAATAGTAAATAGTTCCATATACTGAGACATTACCAAAAATAAATTAGTTCTTAAATTATTGACACTCTGTTGATTATACTTTGATTATTTACTTAAGCTTTCAACGCTCCAATTATTAATTTAATTTATATATAAGCATTTAAATTATATTATTATTATATCTAAAATATTAATAATAACTAAGAGAAAATAAGAAAAAGAAGTTTCCTTTAAGCAGAAATAGATTAATAAATACTATAATCTTTCAATTAATCTGTCAATTATGAATTTTAAAATATTGAGTGTAATCATTCTTGAAAATTTTTAATATTATGATATACGACAGTAGTACATAATATCAAAGGGAATAAAGAAAATTAATTTGTTATATATCAAGATTTTTAAATAATCATAAAGTTATAATTAAACATATTAACAATGAATATTTAATATTTTTTTATTTCTATCATGCTTTTACTTCTATCATACAATAAATACAATATTTAAGACACTTAATTTTGAATACAACTTTGTAATAGAATTCCTTGTTGAAGAATTCAAATTAAACATATAATTTTAATGTAGTTATTGGAGATCTTATGTGAAATTACAAATAAATTGTACAAATGTTGCACAATATTAAAATAACTAATTAGTTAATAGCGCTAATAAAAATTCTAAATTCTAAATAAGAAAACACTTATGAGAGAGATACGAGGTGTGTTCAAAAAGTAAGGTGACTTTTCAAATTTCACGGGCAACGTACTTTCGATTATCGATTTTTTTGTTTTGTTTTGTTGGTACACTCTTCCCGAACATCTGTACCAAGTTTCAAGTGTATAGCATTTTTTGTTTGGTTCTGAGAGGCGTAAAGGTTATAAGTGTTTTGCATGCTCGGCGATTTCTTGCTATCGAAAAATATGGATCAAAGGATTTGCATCAAATTTAGTGTAAAAAATAAAATAAAGTGCTCCGAAACACTTGAAATGTTGACATACGGTGGCATACGGTGAAACTGTTCTGAGTAAAAAAGATGTTTACAAGTGGTACAAACTCTTCCAAGATGGCCGGGAAGATGCCAATGACGAGCCTCGCTCTGGACGCCCAAGCACGTCAACAACTGATGAAAACGTTCAAGCAGTGAAGAAAATTGTTCTGGAAAATCGTCGAATCACTATCAGAGAGGTTGCTGAGGATGTTGGTATATCGCTTGGCTCGTGCCATGAAATTTTTTCTAACGTTTTGGGCATGAGACGTGTGTCAGCGAAGTTTGTTCCGAAATTGCTAAATTTTGACCAAAAGAACCGTCGCATGAGCATCGCTCAAGAACTGTTGAATGGCGTCAACGACGACCCAGATTTACTCAAAAGGGTCATAACTGGTGACGAATCATGGGTATATGGTTATGATATCGGAACCAAAGTCCAATCGTCCCAATGGAAGAGCCCAGATGAGCCAAGACCGAAAAAAGCACGCCAAGTTCGATCAAATGTCAAAGTTTTGCTCACTGTTTTCTTCGATTACCATGGCGTGGTGTATCAGGAGTTCTTACCATATGGACGTACGGTCAATAAACAGTATTATCTTGAAGTTATGCGCCGTTTGCGAGAAGCAATACGAAGAAAACGCCCAGAATTGTGGAAAAACAATTCATGGCTTTTGCATCACGATAATGCCCCTGCTCACTCATTTTTGCTTGTGAAAGATTTTTTGGCCAAAAACAACACCACAATCATGCCTCAGCCACCGGTTATTATATTCACCGGTTGGCCCCATGTGACTTTTTCTTGTTCCCAAAACTAAAGAGACCTATGAAAGGACGGAGATTTGCAGCGATTGAAGAGATAAAGACTGCATCGCTGGAAGAGCTCAAGGCTATACCTAAAAGTGCTTTGAGGATTGGAAAAACCGTTGGTATAAGTGTATTGTATCTGAGGGGGGTTACTTTGAAGGGGACAACATAAATATTGATAAATAAATAAATATTTTTTCTTAAAAATACAAAGTCACCTTACTTTTTGAACACACCTCGTACATATTTCAAAATGAAAATATTGAATCAATTATATTGTAACGGGGTGGATTAACTGATGCAACTTGGGTTTATTAAAGAACAATCTCCCACGATGCAGAGCTAATCGCCGCTCCGTTAATCACGTATGAGCATACGTGTATTCGCCTTTACGTTTGAAACATTCGTTCCAATGTCTCCTTTCCAACGGAATTGAACTCACATGAAGTCACCTGACTTGTGACACTTGCTTTATCTTAGGTGTAGGTTACCTAATGTTTACTTTAAATATTCCCTAGATGAAATCGGTTTTAAAAAATAACCGGTGACGGATTCATTAAACTAAAAGGAAACGAAATAACGTAATGCGGCGAATAAAATCAAGACGTTTATAAATGATAAAAACTAGTCTTCGTTGGCCCGAAAGACTTGCGCGAGTGTATAGGATTTACAATTATATCGGGAGGGAGGGCGTGAAGGACGGTTGGGGGGGGGGGGGGGGGGGGGAACTTGAAATTCTGCTGCGAAATCTAACGCTCAGCACGAACGCGAAAAAGGTAACGGTCGCTTACAAATAAACGCGTAGAATTATTAACGCTGCATGACAATTAATTTGGTGCAACTACGGTGATCAGTCGTAATCGTTAATCAGCAAAATTACTGTTGGCCAAGTTAATGCTCTTAGAGAACCTGCTGCGCTGTCTCGGTCACAGAGATCGGTTACTGCTTTGCGCAATGCTACTGTTTCGCTGCTGCTGTGATTTGCTGCTGCTTTTCTCGCACCCAATAACCCAATAGAAACCATTATCTCCATAACCCACGAAAGACCTCCCACCAACATTACACATAAAATAAGCTACAAAAACATCAATTGGAGTCATTACTCAACTCACATAGACAAATTTATAGAAAACAACTCAGAAACAATAAAAGAATATAACGAAGAACAAAAATACAATCTACTTACCAACCTTATCACTTCAACAATAAAACTATACAAAAACAACAAAAATAAAAAACATACCAATAACAACTATAAAATAAATTTAGAATATAAAACTTCAAACATCAATTCAATAAACAATTTATCAGATTATAAAGAACCATCAATTACAAAAAAATTTAAATCCCAAACACCCAAAGCTCCATGGTAGGACCACAACTGCTCAAAATTAACAAATGAAAGAAGAAAAGAAACCAAAAACTTCCTTAAAAACCCCACGTATGAAAACCTCAAATTACTAACAAAAACAGAAACACGTATTAAAAATCAACTTAGAGACATCAAAAGACGGAAATTCCAAGAATTTGCTGAAAAAAAGATCTCGATAGACACGAATATAAAAGAACTATGGAACACTATAAACAAATTCAAAAACATCAACAACAATAACAACATAAAATATCCAAACAACGACACCGAAGTAATAAATAATGCAAGAAAATTCATTAAAGAATTTTCCTCATCCCCAAACACATTCCCTTCTCACCCACCAACATATAATCATATAGAACAACACACAAATGAACAAAAAGATCTTGACTCTCCTTTCAATATAGACGAACTAAATTTATCCTTGAAAGCAACCAAAGAAGACTTCACACCTGGCCTTGACCAAATAGACTACAAAATGTTACAAAAGTTGTTTGTAAAAGAAGAAAAAACAACCCCCAACATCCATCGAGGAAATATTAACTAATCCAAATGAAATAACATCCAAATTCATAACAGACTTTTTAAAACAATGCAACCTATTTATATAACTTTACTTCTTCCAAAATCATTTTATATACCGAACTTAACTCTACATCCACACTATTATACCACAAATTCAAAACACCTATTTTACCGACAACTAAACTCAATCATTACTATACCCTTCCTACACATATACCTTATAAAATAATTCATACACTCTCCCTACTCTTTTTCTCCTACCCTTTTTACCAATAAAAATTTTTAAATTCTTTTAAATTTCAAATTTTATCTCTCAAATTTAAATTGTGGCGCATCGGAGTCCTCAGGTACCCACAGCCATTAAAACGAAACGAAACGGTTTTACGCTATAGCTGCCTGCTATTTACGTTTGTATTGGAGAAGCACCCTTAGTGTGGGCGACAAGTATGTTTACGTAAACTATGCTCGCGTGCGCAAAGATCTTCACGTATGCACTGCTTGCCTCGTTTGGTGTATAAAAAATTCGCATGTGTGAAAAATTTTTCCAGAAAATTTCTGTACTAGACGGTATACAGCATTCTGTAGGCGAACGAGATTTTCGTGTACACGCTGCTCGCCCTATAAGTAGACCATAATAGTAATCTTTTCGTCAACTTTACAATTTAAGGTTATCATGGCAGACCGTTTGACTCAATTACAAGACACAATTAATCAGGTAATTGAAAAATTTCATATTTTTAATGAGTGAAACGAGTTGAATATATAAAATATCACAATCAATGTATTATTTATCTTAATAAAATATAAGTGATTAATTTTTATGTATTACAGCAAGCTGAGTACTTTTGTAACAGCGTTGGAATTCTCCAACAGTATTCAACACCCAGCAAATTTCCGGGATTTGATCGAAATAATACACCTCAACAACAAAATCAATCTCAAGAAGGTAAACATTTATCTTACGATGCCACTTGAGCAATTTTTAATAACACTATACTAAAAAATATTTCTTTTCCAATCACATTGTAGATTATGCAGCTCTTTTTGCAACTTTAATTGCTAGGTGTGCTAAAGATATTGATACATTAATTGACAGTTTACCTAGTGAAGAGTCATCACAAGAACTTCAAGTGGCAAGTCTTATGAAGTTGGAGCAAGATAATCAAGATGCAGCTGAACGGCTTGAAGAGGTAGTACAGCAAGGTGAAGCATTATTGCAAAGAATTCAAGCTGCACTCCAAGATATTGCTCAAAGTCAATTGGACATGCAAAATCCCACTGCAAGTACCGTAATTAATCCAAGTCAACCTCTTAGTATGAGTAGTATTACCAATAGTGTAAGTGTGACGCAAGAACCTCAAAATAATGTGAATCTTAAAAATCATCAAATTCCAGAAGCATCATCCAATTCTATGTAGATATATAATTTTGATTTCTAAAATTTTCATCTCATTTATTCATCACATGTATATAATGCTTTTTATTTGTTAATCATTATTTTTGACTTTGTAAATGAAGTTTTAGGTATAATAAAACTAATTATTATGTAAATTAGAATAATTATTTGGAAAAGTTACATTAAGAAAGAGAATTCTACTATGAAAATGTTTTATTCATAAAAACTTTGCCTTAATTAGAAGAATAGTTATAATTTTATTTGCTATATACTGTCATAGGTCAAAGTATGGTCACTTAAACATTTGCTGTATTGTATATTACTAATATAAAATTTATTTATAATTACAATATGTGAATCTAAATGATTTCTTTGATTTTTTTATATGAAATGACAAAGTTGTAAAAGAACAATAGTGACTCAATGTTTGATTTAAAAATAACTTAAGATACAAAATTAAAATTTGTGAAATAACTTAATACAATATTTTATTGTAATTTTCATATTTTATTTTCATCAACATAAATTTCAGTATAATATTAAAAAAAAATGTTTATGCAAAATTTTCAAGATAATAATTTATTGATATATAATTTTTGTTCAATTGATTGACATGATGTAAAACTCACTCTATCTAAACTAAATTTCATTTGGAAATTAACACTGTAAATTATAAATCATTACATTTAGTCAATTGGTCAATAACAAAAACAGGAATATTGTAACAAGTGTTATTTAATGAAAAATCTGAATATCAAAACATCACAGCATTCAAGCTTAAGCAATATGACTTTTGGTCCAGCATTTGACTTCAGCAGAAATTCTCTCAATATCTTTGTTGCCAGTTCTACAACACCCTCCTATATAACGTACTCCTATATCAAGCCAATCTTTTACAAATTCTTCAGGAGGGTGGAAGTCATTATCGATTGTCCAGCTATAAGTTGCTGGAGAATATTTTTCTCCACTATTAGGATAAGCAATCATAGAAATAAATTCATTGATTTCTTTTTGACTGATTGATTTTAAAAGAGGTGTTACAGCTCTTGGTGCAAGGCAGTTAACACCACATGCAATAATCTGTCCTGGTTTTGTTACTTTCCAACACTTCAAAACTGTTTCTTTAAAGCTGCTACCATCAGCTATACTCTTTCCATCTTCTTTGCATGAAAATGAAAGCCAAAACTTTGTACCTAAATAATATAATATATTAAGACAAAATATATCAATTACAAAATATCAATCAAATTGAAATCCAACTATTCAAAAATTATACCTGGATAGGTTTTAGCCATAAATTCTACTAATGCTTCTGCTTCTCGAGCACATGGAATTGTTTCAATGGCTAGCAAATCTACACCACTATCTATTAGTGTTTGAATCCTAGGCTTATGCCATTCAACAATTGAATCCATGGACTCAATATTTCCATAGGATCCACCAGTATATTCAGAGCAATCATGTAAGCAAGCTGCATAAGGACCCACAGAGCCAGCAATAAGGGGCTCTGGATTGGAAACTTCAGTACCCTTGATTTCCTCTTTGTATGTTTTCACAGCTTTCTTAGCTAAGTCTACAGCAGTCTTAATCAATTGCAAACTTTCCTCTTCGCTCTTATCGAGATATTTAACGAATCCAGGCATTGACGCTTGATAGGTATTGGTTTCAATGATATTGGAACCAGCGCGCAAAAAGTCAAGATGCGTTTGATAAACTGCATCTGGGTTAGTATACAAAAATCTGCTCGTCCATAAAGGATCGCCATCGATTCTTTCACCTACGTGGGTAGCAAGCTGCGTTGAGAAGCCGCCGTCGAGAACTTTCACTTCAGTCATTTTACTCACTATATGAACAATTTTTTATGCTGTAATCGCAGTAGCCGGTATCGTGTGCATACACGGCTGAAGTATATGCGTACTACGTGACACTTGCTGCTCTGCGACGGTTTCGCCGGCTATTAAACATATACACTTGGACACGTGACCATGGAATGCACGGATGCCACAGATTCGCATTTTACGCGATAACCTTGCTCCTCATACCATCATATAATTATACTGGCAACTTCGCAATTTCGTACGTCTGCCGTCTCCCTGTTTTTATTTACTTAATTTATTTCACGCAGACGATCTTTGTGTACTTTTATATTGTATCTTTTGATTCAATTATTTTATTGTTTTATTAGCGGTTTTATCAAAATTTTTTATAAAAGCTTTTTATGAACTATTTGTATAATTATGAAATTGTAAATGCTCTGATATATAATGTCTTATAGGTAATTGTTTTTTGCCTACTGCGCGTAAAATGCGTCTTGAACCCGGGTGTCAAGTTTCATAACACGCATATTACGCACTTTAGGAAAAAGCTTGTTTGTTGGAAGGACACATCGGTTTCACACAGAAGCGCATTTTATCCCGGAGATCTTACAAACATATTTATTTTCGAAAATAAAGATTACTTTCTTTTACATTTCTTATTTACTTTATACATCTAAATCTTTGTCGACATTATAAATAATATGCATTAATTATTGGCATACATGATATATAAACATTAAAACACCTCGTTCAAAAAAATACCTTTGAACAAAAAAAATGACTATATCTCTTTGTTATAATATATAAGTATCTTTTCAATCGTATAAAGAAAGGACTTTTTTTTAATTGTTTTTGAAACAAACTTTGTTTTATTGTCGAATGAACAAATACACACACATACACATATTCAAGAAGAGATATTCTACCGAAACCGTTGATTACATATATAATTACGTATTCTGTTATTATATAATTATTACTTTATAACAATTTTAATATAATTAACAACGCTTTCGGTTCAATCTCTTCTTAAATGTTTATGAAATATAACTTTTTATGCATATAGTTGGGAATATAGTTGAATTCGATCGCATTAAAAAATTAATACTCTATATCTGATAATTTAAAAATTAATATGTAGAAAAACATAATTTTGCCACAAGCTTATTAAATTTGTACTTATATTTGATCATAATTAGTTGATTATGATCAAATGATTAAAACTTTCAATATAAGTCTCTGTAACTTATTTTATCAGTTTAATATATTCTTTAGCTGAAAGTTTTTACGCTAGAAATACATCAATTTTAACCATAAATATGATAAAAGAATGGAGACATAAATGTGGCTTCAAAAAATTGGTGTACGGACAATTGTGCACGGTTTTATTATATGTACCAATATTACTGTGTACAGTGTAACAGCGTAAGAATTGATACGTGCTGATTCACTCCATATTACTATGTACACAATAGTTTATGTGTATAATATAACATCGAGCATAATTGTCCGCAGGCCAAAAAATTTGGAAACTCAAAAAATGTCTATTCGACTGATCTGTAATATTTTCCTAGCTGAAAAAAATCACGTGAGCTGGGCTGATTTTTTCCGTTATTCACGCAAATTTTGCAAAAATTTGAAAAATTAACATGAGTAAAATCGCAATAGCGTTATATATTTTAACACGAAAAAGCGAAATTTTGAAAAGTAATTTCCATTCAAAAATACAAAAAAATATCCCACTTGATAGATCTTGATGAAATTTGTTTTTCTACTTGAACTACTGAAGGATCGGTAAACTTTCTGACAGGAAAATATGAAATTTTAAATAGCATATCATATTGAAAAAGGGCTACAAATTGTTTATGTGATAGATCTTAAATAAGTTTTTTTCCCTATCCACCTCAATTTGCAAAAATTTAAAAACTAAATTATAATAATTTCAATGTGAAGCTACAACAATTGTAAGCACGCGCACACACTGAAGCATATATCGTTATAATAAAGTTTTCTATTTAAAATCTATATATATATATATATATATATATATATATATATATATATATATATATACACACATACATACATATAATACCTATGATACGTTGAATAAATTATATATGACAATTTTAACGAAAACAAAGCTGTCTCTTCACAAATAAAAAAAAATTAATATGATTTTCAAATGCGCAATAATGTTATATGCAATGAACGTATCAAGTTCAACGTAATATTCAATGAAAAATTCTTACTAAATAATCATCAATATAACCAGTAGATAATTATTTGCGATCACAAAGAAAACAATCTTATTGCATCATAGTTATAAGATGAAAAAATTTCAACACTATCACTTTACAACATTTAACTTGTCTATGTATAGGTAGATCTGATCCGATCTCTGACCTTTGTATATACATTGTGTATTTGCTATATATTCTGCTAAGAAGCGCGGGCTTAATTTGTGATTGAAACTAACTTAAAAATGCAAGTTAAGCTAAAATTGATTGCTGCAGCAAGCGAAAATATGGGGATCGGAATCAATGGAGATTTGCCATGGCGTTTGAGGTAGGATAACGTTTTGAATTTCGCATTTTAAATAATCACGATTTTTTCTATCAGTTAACCTCTCATTTTCGATTTTGCCAATTCTTCATTTGCCAGAGTTTCTTTCTTTTACTTTCTGAAAAATTAGAGTTTTACTTTAAAATATTTGTTCAACACACTATGCATACAGTACGACTTTCCCGCACGCTCGGCGAAAAACGTGCGCTCAAATTCGCACTTTCCAGACGTTATTTTGAGAAATATCGTTCCTAACATGTTCGGGAAAGATTCTTGACATGCGCGTGCTACTGTCCACCTTAGTATACTAGTTAATTATGTTTGAAATCAAAGTTGATAGCAGTTTCAACATAATATGTTATTTCTATAATGATTGCTTATGGTATTATCATAATAGCTTTAACAATATGTAAATCATGTTTTTATTATTTTGTTTGATTTTTGTACAGAAAAGAAATGGATTTTTTTACTAAAATGACATCCACAACAAATGACACTGATAAAAAAAATGTAGTCCTAATGGGTAGACGTACTTGGGAAAGCATTCCAAAGAAATTTAAACCATTAGCAAATCGAATAAACATGGTACTTACTTCTCAACCACTGTAAGTGTTCATTAAATGAATGTATAATTTTGTATTTTGCTCATATTCAGATATATTAATTAACTTTTTTAAAGTGATCTTGGAGATGATGCTATTGTTTGTAAAAATCTACCTGAAGCAGTGGAAAAAATATCCCAAAGTCCTCTAAAAGATAATGTAGAGCAAGTATGGGTAATTGGAGGAAGTTCAGTTTACAAGGTTTGTAAAAATCTATTCGAGTTATTCATTGCAATTTGAATATGTATAAAATAATATTTTTCTAGGCATCAATGGAATCGCCTAATTTCTATAGACTATATTTAACTAGAATCAAAAAGCATTTTGATTGTGATACTTTCTTTCCACAAATTCCAGAAAACTATGTTTTAGTTAAGTTAGTATCCAGTTGCTTTCTTACACGTAATAAAAATATTTTCTATGTGAACATAATTAGAATTTGATTTTTAGAGACCCAGAAGTTCCACAAGGTATGCAGCAAGAAAAGGATATTACATTTGAATATGAAGTTTATGAAAAAAAAAGAAATCAATGAAATAAAGTAGAATTTTTTATGTATACATATTGTACAGAAAAATAAGTTTATTGTAATAAATTTTTATTTTTATTATCAAATTTAAAATGCATAGATTTTTGAACTTATTAAAATTTTTTCTGGCACTATGCAGTAATTATCCAGGTGGCCATTGCATTTGACGTCCTCCTAGTACATGTAAATGTAAGTGAAATACTGACTGTGCACCATCTTTACCATCATTAATTACTAAGCGAAATCCATTGTCTAATCCTTCTTGCTTAGCAACTTTCTGAGCAACATTCATCAAATGACCTAGGAGATTTTCATCTTCATCACATGCTTTTGATAATTGAGGAATGGGTTTTCGTGGAATCACCAAAAAATGTGTTGGAGCTTGAGCACTGATGTCATGAAATGCAACACACTAAAAAACAAACACATATGTAATCAGCTTGCAAATAATGATAATGATAAGATAAAATTTGGAAAAATACTATAGGTGAGGTAGGTTAATACAGTATAAAATTTGACATTTGTTGAAATTATGATATAAATGTACATATTTTTTATTGAATTAGATAACTTACACGATCATCTTCATAAATAAACTTGCAAGGGATTTCTTTTCTTAATATTTTTCCAAAAATCGTATCACCACCCGGTGTAGCACTTTGCGCTTTTTCTACTTCAGACGCCATTTTTCTAGTGTTTGAAATGATTCTCAAAAAATCGTTATGTGATGAGTACCTGAATAACCTCGATGCACGTAATACTATACCTACTAAATTCATTCTTGTTTTTTCTTTTTAATTAACTACTCAGGTTCGTTAAATAAAAAGGGACAAAATATATAAATACAATGATATATATGAGATATTAGTGCTTCTTGAATGCAATAGTAGTACTCTGCATTGCCGAGGCTTTCATCAAGAATCCAGCGGTATCTTCAAATTTTATAAGTGCATATATTATAATAAGATCTTTTTCGAGAAAGGAGTTGTCGAAAGTTAAATCATTAAAGTTTATTAGAAAAGTACAAAATGCTTTTATTCACATTTTTTCAATACAGTCTTGATCAGATGAATATTTGCTTAATACAAATGACAAACAATATAAAAAGTTATAAGTAGCACAGATATATCTTTAGCATAGATATAAAATATTAATGGTTCTTAATATCTATAACAATATGCTACACAAAATACAAACTTAAAACTATGCGTATGCACGCTACAATTCTTAATTATGGCAGTGAGCTTTGTGGTTTATTATCAAAAGCTACTTAATTTGTATCGAAATATAGGTAATTTAAAAAAATATTTGGTGAATTTTATATTACATAAAGTATTAAACATACATCGATTTTATTTTTAATGTGAATCCGTGATAAAATTATCAGGAGATTCACACACTTATGTAAAATTTACACCATTAAAACTTACTAACATGGTACTTTTGTTTGGAAAATTAGGTTTAGTAAAAAAGAAAATGAAACTAAAAAGAGAAAGTGATGGAATGATGAAAAGAAATCTATAATCTATAAATTTGTTTTACTCTAAATTAAAAGTATATTTAAAAAAGATTGCATTTTAAAACTTTTAAAACAAAAATTATTTTTTTTTACTAAGACGATCAGGATTGCGTGACATCCAAGTGATATTACGATGTTTTAAATATTAAATTTACTTGATTACATTAATTATTTGAATAAGAAAATTCTTATATACTAATCATAAATATACACTCAAATACTTTAACAAAACATTTTACAATAACTTTACAAAGTAGAAAAAATAGAGAGTAATAGGTATTCATTATAGGAGTAATGATATAACATTTTTTTCCAATATTTACAAACGCGAGAATAAGCAGTCGAAGATCTATTATGTTTAGGTCAGGAAACTAAGTTTCAGCAAGATATTGGTGTTTGAGAGCTTGAGATGCCGTAATTCGATTACGAGGCTTAAAGCTAAGCATTTTTTTAATAAGATCGATACCTGATTCACTCAAGTGCGGAATTACCATTTCCATAGGTATGGAATGTCTTGGAGGGAATGACGAGTGCTGTATCGGAGAACCCTTAGGCCAATCTTCCATGTCGGTCTTCCTATAACTCTATAGTAATGGCATATCTTTAATAAGATATTATAACAATAATTGAGAATCAGATAATCGAAGGAAGATTTACCGAAAAATCTTGTCGAGCTGATCCTTCTCGCCGGTTCCGGGGAACAAGGGTTTGAGTTCACACAATTCAGCAAGTATGCAGCCAATGGACCAAATGTCGAGTGGGCTAGCGTAAGTAGTTTTTAAAAGAACTTCCGGTGCGCGATACCACAAAGTAACAACCTGGAACAAACGTGAATGAGAAAACACCGAGGTAACAGCACGCGAAGCGAACCGAAAGCGCAACTTACGACAGAGGTCAGTCGCATCTCAAATTCGTAGGTCTTGGCCAGGCCAAAGTCTGCGATTTTGATGTGGCCATCTTTGGTAACTACAAGTTCTGGGGCTTCAGATCCCTGTGCAGAATACGACGGCAGTGCAGGTACTCAACACCCCTCAGGATCTCGCGGGTCATCTGTCTGATGAGCGCCGGCGCGATTTTGCGCGACTGACAGGCAGCCATAAAGCTGGCCAAGTCCCGGTCGACGTGTTCGAACACCAGCCAGAGAGTCAAGAGCTGCCGCGACCTTCCCAGTCGGGGGTCGTTCGAGGTGAACTTGAGGAAGGTGCCTTGGACACACGTCCAGCAGTTTGACCTACGGGAATGGACAGCCGAGCGGTGAGCGAGCGGACAGAGAGCCCAGCCGGGAAGGCAGAGTACATACGATGTGGGGGTTGTCGGGCTGCTCGAGCAGCTTGAGCGCAGCGATCTCGCGCAGGGTGGAGGCGGGCATGCCGTTCTCGGCGGTGGGCACGCGCACCTTCTTGAGGGCGACCACCTGTCCGCTGTTGGCATCCTTGGCCTTGTAGACGGTGCCGTAAGCGCCGTCGCCGATGAGCGAGAGGTCCTGGTATAAGGCGCGCTCGCCCATCAGCGCGGTGTTGATCTCCGCGTCCGGCAGCTCGCCCTCGGCGGGGGGGTTCGACGGGCCCCGCCCGCCGCCAACCTCGCGTCCGCGCTGCCGCCAACCTCGCGTCCGCCGCTGCCGCCACCTCGTCGTCGCCGATGCTGATCCTGCCCTTGTCCTCGTCGACCTCGCCGAACGACTCGTCCGACGACGCGGCCAGCACTTCCGACGACTCCAGGCACGGCGTCAGTCCGCCTTCGATGGTCTCGGTGCTTGCGTTGCCAACCGCCTCCTCGCTCAGCTTGCTCTTCTTCGCCGCAGGGCTCGACTGCTGCGGATCGGTCTCCGTCTGCGGAGGGCGCGCTCTGCCAGCCATCACGGCATCGCGACCTCCAGCTGAAACATTCGACTATTCACTATTTGCAGTCGACGCGGCCACGGACACACACTCCTCGCAGCTTTCGGACGACGACGCCAGTAAGTTTTTCTTTCAAATAGCGACGAATAAAAATTGTAGAACAGGGGAACAACCCGTAGCCGAGCCGCACATCTGCACTACCACCTGCCCCTCGAGCAGAGCAAAAGCAGAGAGAGAGAGAGAAGAGAGAGAGAGAGAGAGAGAGAGAGAGAGAAGAGAGAGAGAGAGAGAGAGAGAGAAGAGAGAGAGAGAGAAGAGAGAGAGAGAGAGAGAGAGAGAGAGGAGAGAGAGAGAGAGAAAGAGAGAGAGAGAGAGAGAGAGATAGAGAGAGATGAGAGAGAGAGAGAGAGTGAGAGAGAGAGAGAGAGAGAGAGAGAGAGAGAGACAGACAGACCGAGACAGAGACAGAGAAGAGAGCGCAACCGTGCCAAACGTGCCATGTAGGTAGAAGCTGTAGTTTCTCCCGACCCTATTTCATAATTTCGGAGCGACATAATCCCGACGCCTCGTACTGGACACGTCAAAAGTAAAAATTAAATAACTTATAGTGTACGTTGTAGTGAATGGAAATTGGAGCGACGACAAGCAGCGGCAGCAGCAGCAAGCGTGCACGTAACAACTATCACGGAAACAAGCTGTTATCATCGCAGCGTTATCGTGGCGCCCAAATTTAAATATTCGGCCTCGCTTCTGTGTACACACGACGAGCCATATATAGCAAGCAAGGGAACGCGCGCCCGCAGCTCTAATCGGTCGACAGCCACAGTACCAAATTAAAGAGCCGCTCGGTTCGCCGCGAGCTTACCCTGAGAGCACTATTGCCTGCAGTCGTGTGTACACATAAGTACCGCTTGGAATTCTTCAAAGTGATGCGTATATATACATGAAAACACATGTGCATGGGGCGACGTACGCGCCGGCTACTAACGCGCAGCCGAACGACAAACGCTCATGAATGAATCCAGTCACCAAAGACAAATTCGAATGTGCAAGTACACGTTAGATAATGGAAGAATGAAACAGAGAGTGGGGGGGGGGGGCTCTAGTTGTCCCGTAGCATAGATAAGGAAACGCGAATACCGAGTTTATATACGTAACGATGGCCTATCTTCGGACTTTGCTTCGGATTGTCAAGAGAACTTTGAGAAAATATGTGTGATGCGATGCCTATCGCCTGTAGGCATCTTTGCGTGCTCTACCCCACCGCGCAAGCGTGGGAAGAGGAAGTTTGAAAAAAATAAAAGCTCGATAATTGTGTGAAGACATTTACGACGAGAGAGCCCACTGCCAAACAGCACTTTATAAAATACATTTTTTACGATTTTCATACTTTGTCGATAAAAATGGACTAACCTCTTATTAGATCTACATCCAAAGCTCAATTTTCACTTTTGTATTTCAAACCATGGTTATTAAACACTTGCATCAGTTTAACACTGTTAAATTTCACTATAAGTTACTCATTCTAGTTTTAAGTATTTGGCCTACTTGAATCATTGGATCGAATTACAACTGTCGGATACTAAGCATGTATAACCTACAACTTCCGTCAGGAAAATAATAATATAAGATCAGGTTATTTGAGTATTTTTTTTCTAAGTACAGCCACAATTGTTGAGCGTCGATTTTGGCAATCAAAATGCGATATTGAATTTATCAAACTTTGAAGAAGATCTAATTGAAAATAATCTGCTGACAAAGACCTTTTAAATCAATTGATACACTCACACTCACGCAAAGTGTTCTTGACTAGAGGTTTATCCTCAAACTGTATTAATTTTAAAATGCAAATGACGTTCATCTTGATAACACAAACAAAACTGGACTTATATGAAAAGATGAAAAAGACTAAGATTTACGTATAGGTGTACACATAAGTATATATTTAACACGAGTTCTTAACCTGTTGTTATTTTCATTTGAAAATTAATCAGGTTTGAGAATAAATTTTCAGACTAGAAACATTAAAAATAATTATTCATAAGTAATTTAAGTACTACCTGAGGCTGCGTCTGAGCTAAACAAAACAAGATCACGTGTGAAGCGGCAGGGCTTATCACTCATATACATACACGCGTGGACACACGCACGCACGCACGCACGCACGCACGCACGCACGCACGCACGCAGGCACGCACGCAGGCAGGCACGCACGCCACGCACGCACGCACGCACGCATGCATACACGCACGCACACAGGTAACAAAATTCGGCTGCTCGTCATATGTTACCAGTCTGCAGAACAATGCGAAGACGCATTAATAAATAATAACAAAATTAGTAACTCACCTACGAGTCGCGAAAATCAGGTAAGAATTCAGCAAAGAGAAAAGCACCGAGTGTGAGAACACGATGCATCCGACAGACATCACAGCATTTCTTGGAAGCGGTTGTGGCTAGGCGGCGGCGGCGGCGAGCCGCGTGACATACGATGCACTACTACTGCTAGGCTCTCCCTTGCCCGCATTTATCAATGAAACCGCGCGACACCAGAGCTGCTGCCTACGCCGGCGACGATGACGGTCTCGACGAATTCGGGACGTACACACACTTGCCGGTTCCGTGAAAACAAGATGAGATAGAAACCAAGAATGCGCGAGGTAGCTAATATACACGAGAGCTGCCGCGGCAGTCAGGACGACGACGCTGTCGGTATGTGTATGCAACGACTGACTGACTGGCTGGGCCCCTGAAAAGAGAAACGAGAAAGCAGAGGCGCCTTCTCTCTCTCGCCTTCTCTCTCTCTCTCTCTCTCTCTCTCTCTCTCTCCTCTCTCTCTCTCGCTCCTCACTCTCCGCGTGCCGATCGTCGTCTTCTCCTCTTTCCTTTCTTCGATTCTCTCTCTCGCTTCCTCACGTCCTTCGCCTTTATTATCTTCTCGTCTCTCTCTTTCTCTTGCTGTTTCCCTCCCCCTCGCTCTCTCTTGCGCGGTCTTCGCTCCTACATTCTTTCCTGCAGGCCCCGGCCCCCTTCCCGCGCTACTCTACGAACTTCGGTCAAACTTCAAAAATTCTTTACGTTCTCTCCTTTTTTTTACTTTTTACGCCTACCTAGTTCTCCTACTCGAGGCTTCGCTGCACAAATATGCTGCTTCGAAATGCAAGCTTCACATTGCATACCTGCGCTCTGTTGTTCGCACATTAGTCGATAATACATCATAGAGTAAGAAATTGCTTGCCGTTGCTTGTTTAACCGAGGAATTTAAATAGTATACCTTGCATAATCCAGCAGTTAAACTTGTCTGGGAATGCGTGCACACGCAGCACCGACACAATGTTGAATCAGACTCGATTCCAGCTCCACACGATTTCGTTCAATGACCGCGCTCGTACAGCAGTAGAAAAAAATACTTGATAACTACACTCATCATCGCGCTTATTCTCGGCATACGTAATTAAACTACGGGCATTCGTTTCGTTTGAACAGGCACAGTGCGTCTCGCACACATGCTGCCTTTATATTACGACACTTACCCGGCTCGAGCCGGAAGATTGTGTGGCGGCACTGGTGGCGGTGTCAACGGCGACAGCGACAAGGAAGTGTCGGTACTGCTCCACCACCGATCCCGCATGGTGTTGGCAGCAGCAGCGACCGCCTCACTGGCTCTTGCCAGCTTGCTTCCGACACTGACACCGTGCCGTTCGTCGACTCTCTTGATTGCGACTTTTATCACTCTCTTGCTCTTTCTGCTCTGGCCCGCTGGCGAATGTGGATATATGCTGAGGCGTGTGTGTGCATGTATATATTTTTTCGCGAATAGAAACCGACCGCAGCGGCGGCAGCAGCGGCGGCGGCAGCAAAGCCGAGCCGGAAACGGCTGTCTATCTGTCTTTCTCTCGGTGTCCCTACTATTGCGCTTTACGTTGCGTGCTCTCTCTCTCTCTCTCTCTGCCTCTCCCTTCCCCTTCATTCGCAGTCTGCCCTTTTTTTGATGCTGCCTTATGCACTATATACCTATATACAGTAGTCAATTTTTTGAAAATTCCCCTCCTCTCGGTCACCGTCTTTTCTTCATATGCCCTGTAAACTCTTGCGTTTATTCCGTCTTTGTCGCTCTTGCCTGTGCAGAAAACCGAGAAGAAAGAAAACATGCAAACAGAATGAGAAAACGAAAGGGATAAAATTTGCTCGCGAACGCAGGACGTTGAGCAACGTTGAATAAGATGCTAACGAAATGTGTAGCACACTATTGTATGAGCACATCCTCTCTCGCCGTTCGACTGACCTCATTTTCAAAAGCTATGTGGCTCTATTATATATATGCCATTTCTCATCGATAACTACGTTCTTTTTTGTTTCATTAAATATTTCCAATTCGAGTCCCAAAGCTTTGTCATTGGAGAGATATAACTACATTGTTTCCCTGTTTTATTTCTAGATAACAACCGCATAAGCTTATAAGAGTTCTGATTAAAAAATTGTTTGTGTTGCAGGGAATTCATCCATTAAATATAATATTCAATAGTTATTTCTCATGGATATGGAGGATGTATGCACGGAAATAAAAAAAATGTTCGAAAGACTGTAATAACCGCAACAAGGTGCAAAGGGGAACGACATACACCATGTGCAACAACGTCGCTCTCTTATAGCGACCCAACATCTGGAAGTCGTCGCACCTGGCGTTCCGTGTGCTTTACAAGAGATGTGACGTGCTTGGTCTTCCTTCGCGGTATATAGCTTTGCATTCAGAGTGTACCTGAACCAAATCTTTGAAGAAAAAAATTTGAACAGAAAAAACATTGTATTTAGTTTTTAGTACGCTCAGAATAATAATAAACAGTAAGACCAGCCTACAACATGGAAAATATCTTATAAAAAAGGAATAACGAAATGTGCACTGATTATTAATGAGTAGACATAACGAAATGAATCGTTGCAAGTGTAAAGCATAAACGGATAAACTTTTGCTCCTTTTTTTGGTAAATATGTGCCGAAGGTATTTAGTGAAATGAGAGACTGGCTGCAGTTGTTATTGGATCAGGTAGGCATTCCGGTAGACTTTGAGCTAGCGCGGCGCGCGTTGCCGGTGAACTGGTTTTGCGTTCAATTTAGTTGGCTCTCCATCTTCAGGGGGCGAAAAAAGCGACGAATAAAAAGTAAAAGAGGCGCCTATGGGAACCAAAGGTCTACGCGAAAATATGTGACCTTCGAACTGACCACCTTTTACCGATAGTTTATTCACCTCATCGACCTATTATTTCTTGCTGATTTCAGATTTTTCCACAACTCTATTTTAACTTATTTCAATTGCGATTTTTCCAAAGGAACAGAGGCTAGACAATTCAAACTAATTTGGTTTGCTACAAACTCTTAGTTAACTTCTTATGATGGAAAATAAAAGAACTTTGGATTTATTTTATAAATTGTACGTGCTTCGATACGTATTATTTTATGCTATTGTCAGCATTGAAAAATTAAGCCAAGGTCAAAACATAATTTTCATATTATTAGGGCAAGTTGATTCAAACAAAATTACATAATTTTTGTCGGTGTGTTATAATTCAGCGAAACGCTATTTGTGCGCTATATTTTTTCACAAAGTCCTAATTAAAATGAAGTAGTGCTACTAGATTGTGATTATCTACTTTCGCCAAATAGTCGAAGAGAAAAATTTTCGTTGAGTGATCTAATTACCATTTGGTGTCGGGAAGTCTTGAAGATTTCTACTATGGTTGGGATCGATAATGAAGAAATGTGCAACTACTACGTATTCGTATACAGTACGAATCATTTTAAGAGCCATGTATTATTTTTTATTAGTATACAACTACTTCTATTGTAACAAAAAATCAATCTCATTCGAATGCAAAAGGAAGCTAATAAATAGTTAAATTCTGTTTACAATTGCAATTTATTCTTGCAAAAATTTACAAGCACATTTCTAAAGAAATGATTCACTATAACACGACAGATAAAATAAAAATAGAATGGAAACGATACAAAGAATATTATTAAGATAAATCGTGTACGAAAATAAAAGACAATCGGATATAAATGTGGTGCCATTGAGATTCATTCAGAGCAATTGGTAATGTAAAAAAAATAAAACTTGTGCCGGAGATCTGCACTGTTAAAAAAAATTAACAATGAATATCAGTCGAAAAGTGATATTGAAATCAGGGAGCTTTCTGCATAAAGAGTCATTGGACGTCGGACGTGTAGCAAAATCATCACCATGCGAAAACCTAGCTGTTTATTCAACATCTGGATGTATCTGTGGTTGCGCAGGATAGAGCTACCTATATGACGAAGCATGTAGATAAATGATTATTATTAGCAGAATATTTTCAACCCGGTATTACAGACTTGACGTTCGATGTGTCCTTGTGTAAAATAAGCGAAATTTCGCCCAAGAATCGAGATTGAATAGCTCTAAAAAGCGCGCGTGTTCATAACAAAAGTGGCAGCATTTGCAAAAATGTTAGTGCGAGCAAATCCAACAGAATAGGTATGAACACAGGAGAACGACGTAAAATGGTCTGACGGTTGAACGATGTGTATAATTAGAGCGCTTTGGCGTAATAAGTAGGCGCTAGGAAGGAAGCAAGCTCGAGCTAGGCGCCAATAGATTGCCGGCGTCTCTCGCTCACATGTGTTAAGCGCACGGAGGCGCTCGTTTAAGGAATAACGTCCGCATGGGCAAAGGTGCAGGTGTGCACTGGCTCGTACGAACAAGAAGAAGAAGAAGAAGAAGAAGAAGAAGAAGAAGAAGAAGAAGAAGGAGTAGGATGGTAAGTGTAATGGAGTCGCGGCATTAAGCGCGATCGCAGTGAAAGAAGGGAGAAAGGTGGCAGGAGAGCGAGGAGAGGAGAGAGCTCAAGGAAGTGTTGAAAGTGGGAGAAGAGAGCCAAGAGCGAGCGGTGTGTGACCGTCGCCGAGGTAGCGTATGGTATAGTTCACCTTGCTCGCTCGCGCACCGCTGCTTGCGGTCTGGCGGCAGTGCCGAGTGAACGACCGACAAACCAACTGGTTCGCCAGCCAGCGACTCTGCCCGCTCGCTCGCTCGCGGATTAGCGAACGCACATCACCGAGGAACATCGGCATCGGCAGCGCGTGAGGAGAAAGCTCAGCGGATCAGAAGAGGCTGCGCGACATGGAGCCGGACGATCAGTGCCAGTGAGCCCAGTCGAGGAAGCGACAACGGTGCGAGCAAAAGTGGGTCAGTCGACGGCGAGTCGAGTCGAGACGAGACGAGACGAGTCGAGTCGAGTCGAGTCGAATCGAGTCGAGCGAGCGCGCAGGATAGGAGCATCGGGGGATGGCCGAGCCGGCGCCGCTGGCCTGCCCCGATTCACCAGCACGAGCAGTAGACCCGCGCCCACTTGGCCTTGGCATCAACATGGCGTCGTCCTTCGACTAGTCGCCTTGCGCTCGCTCGCTCGCCCGCCGACCAGTGAATCCGTGCCCGAACCACGATCCAGTCGGTCATGGCCGGCCAGCCGACGACGGCTTGCCTCTTCACGGCCCTGGCGTTGCTGCTCTGCGCTGGTAAGTTGCTGTCCTAGACGCGGTTCAACCTGCTCCTCTCGGTCTTCACCTGCGATCTTTTCTACGCCGATCGATCGCTACAATCGCGCAACTTCGTTCGCGTCGCGAAATGGCCTGGCGCGCCTCGAGCGCTACCCGAATCCTCTCTCCTCGGAATACGCTCTTGCTGCCAGCGGCCGGCGCCGAGGGGGCGAATCCAAGGGGCAGCGCGAGAACGCGTTTGCGCTCGCGCGTCCGGAGAGTCGAGCGCCGGCAGCGAGCACATCGGTGCGCGGAGACGTCGACACGGCCGCAATGGAAAAGAAGTTTGCCTTTTGCCCACGGCCGTACGCGATTCGGCGGAGTAGACCACGACCCGGTTCGCTTCGTCCTGCCGCGTATGCTTTCTCACGTGAGCACAGGAAAATGTCCTTCGCTCCTTCCTCGCGCTCGACCGAGCCGGTCCTCGTCGGTTGCGGGATCTTCGATTATTGGGCGCACGCGTCTGTGCTTGGACGCCGCGGATCAGCCGCTCGGTGGAGGGCTTCGAGCGCCCACGCTGCGCGACTCGCTGTTAGCAAAATACGCGTAGACCGTGGCTGGGCAAGTTCTCGCCGAAGCCAATGTGCCGTGTTTCGAATTCGAGGATTGTTGTCAGGCACAAATGGAATTGGTACGTTGAATTGCGCTGTAAACACACGAGCTCGCGGCGAGGCGACGCAATAGCAGAGGTACAGCAGCGAATTGAGATAGGGCTGAGCCATTGCGGCACGGAAGGTGAAACGCGCGCGAGGGCTCGGTGAAGACGGCGAGGAGTGTATCGCTGGAGAAAGCCAAATAAATTTTGCACTACGAGAGCCAACGCGCGTGGCGCTCCTCGTTCACACCCAGTGCACCCGCATACGTGCACACGGCCGCGCGCTCCCGCAGATAAGCGTGCGTTGCTCCATTTTACATTTTTATGTGGCGCTCGCGCTTCTCTTTCTCGATGCGCGTGCATCCTGGGAAAAGCTCGCAGCACCATTCGCTCGCTTTCTTTTAATCGTCATTCCAATTCCAAAGCAATTGAACAGCGCGAAATCAGACGCGTGGTCGTTCGGTCAGCAAATCGAAATATGATCGTAGCTGAATTAGTCAGACGTAGAACAGCAGATGGAATGCGTATTAAACATCCAAGTCATGACGTACCCGTACAATCGTTTTAGTTTTTCCAAAGCTGTCCCAATAGCCGCAATTTTTCTACATCTCGTGCTCTTGTTTTCCATTTTTTCCGAATCACTGGAGGCGGTTCTCACTGAGCACCCGCTAGCTCACACAAAACGCTTCATGCGAAATACATATCGAACCTCAATAGCTAGATGAAACAGTCGAACGATGAGCAAGCTCGACTGATGTACGCTTGGAAGGTGAAACGAAGATCCTGATAGTTTAGTGTCGGTAGCGCGAATAAGAAAGCCATTGGTGCTGTTTTAATAAAAAATCGGTCGATGAGCACGTCGGCGTCGCGCGGCCGAGTGCGTCCACAGCACCGAGCGTCGGAGAAAACCGAGAGGCGTGCTCGCCGGTCGGTGGGCCAGAGCCGCAGTGTTTCGTCACACGAGGCAGCCCAAAGACAAACCGGCCGGACTTTCGCCCGAGAAAGTGTTGCGCGAAGCCGTGAACCGCGAATTTTCTGCAGCCTGATGCAGAGAGCCGCCTTCGCCTTCGAGCAGCCGCCGTCCTAACAGCTCTTGCCGCGCGCAGCTCTCGCTGGGTTTTTCTCGAGAGCACGCGTTGCACAACGGACGCGCGGTCGCTGTATTGCTGTTCGAAGCTGAGTCGGCACATCCGTTTGGACGCGCGGAGATGCTTGTGCAACAGCTGGATTCCCTCTATTCGTGCTTGCATACCCTTGCATACTCCAACGCGAACTTTGGAAAATAGCGATAGCGAATTGATCGCTATCATCGTTTCACATGAAAATAAGTCATTGCTTACCTTGTCACTGCAAGTTTGCTCAGCTATTATTATTGTAACAAGTGCCACAGTCAATCAAAAGTCTTCAGTCGAGAACTACGTTTATTTTTCAATTGTCTTTCTACAACTCTGTTTCTCTAGACTACGTAATCGTGTGCTTTTACTTTCGATGGCCTAAATCCGAGTGTCGAACAATAAAAGAAAGTGTATGCTATGCTACAATACGGGTCGCAACGTGATACGAGCTGTGGCTAGGATATTTATCTGAAAAAAGCTTAATTTTACATCTGGGATTTGTTTCCAGGCGCATTTTATCCAATAATAAAGTGCAATAACAAGAAAAGTTACACGAACATTTCTGCAAATGCCTGTAGTTGAATAAAGCTGAGCTCTTAATATAAACAAGAATAAAAAAGAATTGGTAAAGTAAATAAGGAACCAGCGAGAGAAAGATATTTCGTTGAAAGTAAAGTATATCCGAAAAGCTGCAGCTGGAACGATCGCCCTTCCCACGAGCTGTATCGAGCTCCGCCACAAGTCATTCGATTGGAAGAAGACGCGTGGTAGCACATTTGCTACGGGACAAGCCTACGACTATCCACAGTCCTAGTTGAACGGGTGGCAACAGCGCGCCACGTAAAGCCACTTTAGCCGAGTGAAGTCATGCCGCGGCAAAAGCGATGGCGGGCATACGTCGCAGTCATGGCTTCGTCAATGGCCGAATTGGCGAATTAGAATCGACGAGGAAGAGATAGATGGGGAAGACGAAGAGAAAATACGGAGAACAGAGAGAGAGAGAGAGAGAGAGAGAGAAATGTGTGAAGGCTTTGCCGGTCGGGAGCGACAAGAATGAATATTGGGCTGGAATGGAGTCCCGTTAAGTCTGCCGTTAGCGCCTTGGAGCGGGAGCAGCCGCCGGCGGCCAGGAGACAGACGCGCTACGCACATACTACTACTGCTACGAGAAAGAGAGAGAGAGAGAGAGAGAGAGAGCGAGCACTTGCCCCACAGCCGCCGCTAGCCTCTCCGCTTCTACCGCATATCTCGCGACTTTATAAAGGTCCATTCACCATGTCTCTCTCCGCCTGCGGCTAATTATTATCGGTGCCAACTCAAACTGACCGAGACTTTTCTGCAGTCATTATTGTGTATCGCTTGTTGTTTATCAATTTAATTATTATCTTATTCGACAACTACGTGCTTCTCCTGCTCGTGGCAAGCAGGTATTTGCCATATTTTTGCAGCCCATTATGTCAAGTACTTTGTGTGTAGTTCAACAATTATGAAGCTTGATCTAATGAATATTATGTAGCCATAAAACTGGCGGTAATTACGATGCTGCCTGTTCAACAGCTGTTCGACGTGTTATTAAGCGACTAATCACGTGAAAGTTGATCATTTAACTTGAGTAGCCGCACTACATCTGTGAAACTTCTCTTGCTGAGATTTCACTCGGGCGCCCTTGCGAATCAACGTCGTAAAAAATTTCCATTTTCTCAAAGTTTATCTCGTAGAGGCAGCGACGCACAGCCGGCAATTTTCTTGTTTGCCATTATTTGCTCCTGGTGTTGCAAAAGGTGAAGCACGCGCAGCTTCGTAAACAGGAGCACTGTCAAATAGTCGATCGTTCTTGCGCGCCGGAAAATGCGGTTGAACAGAAGTTACGCAGTATCGGTCGAAAGCGTATTTCTATGCCAGCAGCAGCAAGCTAACTGTTCCGTGCGCGCGATGTCGGACTAGATGTTACAGAATCCTCGTGATCTAGCTGTGCAAAATAATAGTTTCGCTCCGTAGCGTTCGATCCATTTCCTGTCCTCGCGCAAAACTCCATTGAGGCGCGCCTCTGCGACATTAGTCGCAGGAAGAGAACAAAACCAAAGCCAGTAGCCGGCTCGCGATCGGCAGACATCGCGCCGCCGCCGCCGTCGCCGCTCACCTACATTCCTCTTGGGGTTTCTCATGAGAGCCGCAACTTGCACGTGTGATCTTCGGTTACCTCATTTGCATTTCATATACTCGGATACTCAACGCTCCCTCGCTATGTCTCGATGTGCCGTTGTTTTTCTCTTCCATCATCCTTTTTTTCCTTTCCTCGGTGAAGTTCTTAACTACCTTTTACCTTAACTGACTGTGCACAGCCCAAATAAGTCCAGTGCGTTCACATGAATTATGTTTGAACGGCTCATTTCGATTATTATTATTATTAGTATAGAAAAATGTGACTGTGATTAGGTGCCTGCTTATATTTTATCGATCGTATATCACAATTGCCGTACGTGCACTGATTTCAATGTAGCAATAATGCAAAATCTTGATTTCTTCATGACAGAGCGTAAAGTATGCTTTCGTTATCCTACAGTACATCGATTATTTTTATTTTGGCATTCCTCTATGTTAAATATTTTAGACTCGTTTCTTTGCTAAACAGCTTGTCTGTCTTATAGTTGTCCTTACAAACAGTTCAAAAATATTTGCTAAAACTAATTTACAATTGAAAGTAAAGATGACCCGTAAAGTTTAGTGCATTATTAAACATGCAAAGCTACGCAAGACCTTTTCTATTTTTATCTTATTAACGGCTTAAATGCATAGGTGAAAGCTTCTTTACAAATAGGAAAAACCATGTTAATGCAACGATTGAATTAGTGGCGCGAGCCTCATGCAAATATCTTTAAAAGATACGAAAGAAATACAATGGCACGTGAAACGTCGCAGTCGAAAGTAAATAAGTAAAAAAATAGTCGAAAAATAATTGTAGCTCGCGGTAAAATGTGCAGCAAGCAACATATGATTCAGCGCTGGGAAAGAAAGTCTCGAACGTAGCAGTGGATTTACCCACTTTCTCCTATGTCGTGTCACTTGTGACGCGCGCGCGCTGACCATTGTAAGTTGAGTATACATCTTAACGCGGGTACTGGCGGAAAAAAGTCGCTTCGTTATTAATCGCTGTTCTCAGAAAATTCTCATGATTCTAGATGTGAAAATACTTACGGCGATGAATAATCGAAAAAACCTAGTTCGCCACGCGAGCTCAGTGAAATCAAGAGACTTCGGTCGTTGGCTATCCAATTGTTACTCGAGATGACTCCCCGTCGCAATTGTCCGTAGCGAGGTTGCGAGCAGCTCAGGGGCAATAATGAGTGTAGGGTATCAGGTATGGAGGGAGGCAAAGAATAAAAATAGGGGGTCTGCAAGAAACCTAGAAAAGCTTGCTGTGTCTTGAGAAAATCTGATCCAAACAGAAGAGCGCGATGCTATTGTTTTGCTGCTGCAAGTATCACTGCAAGTATCATTGTCAGTAGTAGACTATTTAGTCTACTACTCGAAAATTATTGACAATATCCGACAAGCGGCATACGACGTCACTTAATCGCTGGAGTCAATTCAGCTCATTAACGCGGATTAAGAAAAGAATTATCGCAGCTCGCGGACGGAGACGCGCAAGCAGGCAGCAAACGGGGATAAGCCGTGTCAGAGCTGACGGAAAGCAGCGAGAAGTCTGAAAAATAGTGCCGCTGCTCCTCTCGCGCGCGCTTACCGTGTGATTAGCATTCAGCGCCGGTACGCGGATACCGTTACACTCACTGCCTTCGCGCGCCTCGTGCCTTGGCTGCTGCATGTAATAACGATGCGCACGCTCGTCGCCGTCGATTACCAAATCTAATAACGATGTAATGACGCGCCTTGCTCGACAAAATTCACGTTCAGCTGCAGCCAATTCTTGCGCTTACGCTTCGTTTCCCTTCCACTCTGCACGCACTCGAACGATCCTCCGTTATACTACTTGCCTGCTTGTTAACTCAACTTCCATTTGCCAGCCTCCTCTGCCTCTTCCTTCCTTTCTATTTTTCGATTCTTTCGTACGTTCGTTCTTTTCGAAGCCGTTTCGAATGCGACCTGCAACGTCGCTGCGCGAATCTCGCAAGTACATTTACTTTTTAGAGCGAAAAAAAGAAGCTGTACATATACCATTAAAACTAACTAGCTTGTTCGTTTAACCAATACGTAAGCCACTTATTTTGCGTTCTGCCGCCTCGTGAAAAGGCATTCGATCCGAGTTACGCGCGCGATCACAGTCGAGCAATTTACTCCAGAATGTATTCGCGATACAAATATTTTCGTACTACCTGCGGCGCGTAAGCATTATTTTTCTGTTGATCCTCAGTTTTACCGTGCGTCGGATTAACCGTTCATCGTAATGATCAACGACACACTCCGTCGCGGAGTTCGGCAAGCCTCGATATCGTGATATCCGAGTGCTCAGAGTACCTTGACGTCCGAACAACGGTGCTACTGATAGTCTCATTGAGAAACCTATTATGCACTTTTTAATCTCTCTGTGTAATAACGACTCCAATTAGGATGGCGAAAGTAGAGCAGGTGCCTGCATCCGTGAGATATATTTGTTTTTCGCGAAGATAAACTGTTCAACAATTTCACAGAGCAGAGAGACCATTGTCGTCCGCGGTATACGGATGGAAAAATGGAGCTTTCGTAGGGCTTCGTCGAAGGCTCCGTCGGGAGTCATCCGGAGAGAGGCGAGTGAGCCGCGTTGGCCATCGTACGATGCACTCGGAGGAGGGATTAGGTTCGTCGTCGACCGAGCACGCCGTGGAATAAGAAGGCGAGACCCGTTAAGCCGGTCAACCTGCGTACGGGGTCTAGGCCGCGTGGGCACGGACAAATCAGCTCTACCTTGGCGAGCTTCCCTTCGAGCAGGCTGTTGCGTCGTGCACGAGCGATTCGTTTGATTCACGCGGCTTGAAAACCAGTGCTACACAATCGAAGAAAACGGTACGCTCGGAATGGGAGAACGATAATTTTGTTTGCGCGTCCCTGTAACGAGAAGCACGGCCATTGTGCTCGCAGTCGACCACATACATAGTTTGCCATTGGCCGCGGAGATCGTAAAGGCAGAGCGGAGAGCGAGGCGAGGCTGGTCGGCAGCATCGCGCTCGCGGCCGCATCGTTCGCTCGGTCCGCGCGAAAGTACGTAAACCTTGGTGTTCGAAGGTCACGCCGCCGGGAAACAGCGACCGAGAGATGGCCCGTCGCGCTCGACCGGGTGCGCGTCCTCGAAACCAACCGACTAGTAGTCACAGTCCCAAGCGTGCCGATTGCGTTTCAGTGACGCAGGCCATACAAAACAACGAGCCGACTCATTGGCGCTCGTCCGGAGACGATCCCACGGTCGCGGCTGCCGCAGCCTCGACTCCGCTGCGCACCTCCGAGCACGAGCCGCAGGGCCCCGTGTGGAGCCTGCGCCGAACGCGCGACCACGCGGCCCCCACCCTCAGGCTCGAGAGCTCCAGGGGCAGCAGCAGCAGCAGCGACGACCCGGACGAGCTCGAGTCGGCGGCGGAGACGCGGCTGCACTCGGAGCAGTCGAGCAGCCTCGCCGACGACAGCCTGGACGCTGCGCTCAGCTCGTCCGCCAAGATCGTCGACCACATCGACGATCTCGGCAACCAGATCGAAGTGAAGGCCGGCGACTACTACAGGTAAGCGGGTCGCGCGAGCTCGCTTGGTGGCCGCGCGCCCTGCTCACGTACGCTTGGCTCGCTCCCTCGCTCGCAGGAACATCGTGCCGACGAAGAGCGAGAGCCTGTCGGGGGAAGGACAAGGGGCTCCGGGGGGACAGCAGCCGAGCAGTCCGTCGTCGGAGCCCCGGGAGCAACGAGAGGGAGCCTCTCAGGCGTCGACCGCGCAGCCGCGGCAGGCGCGCCGCGAGCCCGCGAGGATCTTTAGCGAGCACGCGCCGCCGCCGGTCCTGAGCCAGGCCGAGCCCCCGGCCAGCCAGCAGAGGCAGGCCAACCCGGACATCCAGGACATCATCACGGGCATCGTCAAGCTGCTCAACGGCAAGGTCAACGTGGCCGTCAGCTCGGTCAAGCCCGTCCGAGCGCCGCAGAGCACCAGGTCAGTCCTCGGGCGGCCCTCTGCCCCTCGGGATCGCAGCCAAGTCGCTCTTTGCCCGCTCTTTGCAGAATCAACAACAGGGGACCGCCGAGGATCTCGGACGTGGTGCCGCTGCCGCCGGACTTCGACACGCCGGGCATGAATCCCCCGCCGGCGCCGCTGCCGGAGCAGCCGTCCACCTTCGAGACGCCGCCGTCGCCGAGTCCGCCCTCCTTGGATCAGCTGCCTCCGGAACCCACGCCCTTCCTCGATGGCCTGGGCCAGCCGGAGCCCATTGTGCCGCCGCCGGCCCACCGACCCTGGAATCGACCCAAGCGACCCGGTATTCTTTCTCTCTAAACCTGACGTTACATCGCCAGCGGCCAATGCCGCGCACAATCGCTCCTTGTAAACGCGTGTTGCGCAGGTATGCGGAGGCCGATACCAGCGTATAAGCCGCTGCCGTCAGCGAACGCAAGCGCGAGCGCCAGCCCTGACCGCGAGCAGCAGTCCGAGTCGAACGCGGTGCTGGATGTTGGCAACAAGATCGAGCTGGACCAGCTGAACAGGACCAGCCGACCGACCGTCTCGCCGACCAGGAAGTACCAGTCGACGCTGAAAACCGATCAGTCGATCGCCGAGGACGTTCTGATTTTGGGCGGACTGCCGCCATTGGCACTGCCGATTCCCAACGCGACCGACCACAGCTATGAGCAGGGTGAGCCCGAGCCGGTCGTGCCGCTTAACAGCATCACCGACAACGGTACATCGGCTCGTTACTCTTTTTATCGAGCATTTTATTGCCGCAGTTCTCTAACAGCTAATCGCGATGACGTGCCATGCTTTTCCTTTTCATTAATCGAGCATTCACCTCCGCCTATACTATCTTCTTATTTATTTACTTATTTTGCTGATTTTACGACTCGACGCTCATATTTACTTAGTTATCGACGACTTACATCCTATTTCTTTTCCACGGACCGATCAGCCACACAGAGAGCTTTTCTTGGTCCTACAGTCACTCGAGTTCGGACCAGATTCAAATAATAACACATCCATATTTATCTTGATTGTAGATAAAATTAGTTTGAAGGCTTCTTCGTCCAGTACGAATAGCAAATTAATATTTCAAACGACACTGAACGTCGCGACGAGCTCCTCCGTTCGCATGATAGAGACGACGTCCACAACAACGATGCTCGAACCCAGCATCGCTCCAGCCGTTCACAGTGACCTTTCCGAATCGTTGACTGGCGCCACTACGCCGCCAAGTTCGAGCATTACGACGCTGGAACCAAGCAGAGCGTCAACGATTAACTCTGATTTATCATCGGCATCCAGTTCGTCGACTCCGACCGAAGCTCTCGTTCCGACGTTGCTCAAGACGACGCATATACCTCAAAGATCGACGGTTCAATCGATTACTTTCTCCAAGGGTCAGAGTGAGCATCTCTTGCTAACAGAATTTTCCACTCCTGAAGTTTCAAGTTTTAATGCTTGAACAATTTTAGGCTCCATCTATTCGTATCGCCCTCGTCCTGGGATAGTTTTGGACGACACTTTGGATTACACTGGAGCTCAAGGTTTGAGTACGCACCGACCTTACGGACCTCCACGACATCCGCCAAATCCTGATACCTTCGACGTCGTTGTATCGGCCATTCAAGGACCTGGAGGATCTGGTACCGGTACGTGATTGTTTAGTTACGAGTGGATTTAATCTTGAAGTTGCTGAGCATGGCTGTTAAAACGATGGCGACAGGTGAAGTCAAAGTACCGGTGAATTTTGGCGCTCACAGCGGTGCGGACGACATATTAACATCACCCGTGGAAGGCCAAGGCTTCGTGAGCATAGACGGGCAGAGAACGTATCTAAATTTGTTCGACAATACCGAAGGTACCGCGGCAACTGGCAAGGTGCAGCCTACAAGAGTGCATAATGCTCCTATCGCCGGGACGGGGTACGTATTCGAGTTTTATTCTCGGAGAGACTGACAACTATTAACAATCGAACGTGGTAATTGGGTAGCTTTGCCGTGACAACGGAGATAGCCGGTGTATCGACGAGGCCGAGCGTGCCGATCAAGAGACACAGGCGTCCAACGCAGCCGCCAGTCAGAATCGACACGTGCATAGTCGGCGATTCGAGTACTTGTGACGCTAGTCAGCATGAGGCCTGCGCCACCGTCCAGGGGGTCTCGGCCTGCCACTGCAAGCCTGGATTCGCTAGACTCACGCACTCGCTTCCTTGCAAAAGTTTGTTGCTTATCGTCGACTCACGCTGCAATCAAGCCACGCTTGCTTCTTCAACAATTTTCTTTTGGTTTCATTTCAGAAATCGTTAGCATTGTTGTTTCTATTAGAGTTGATAAGATTTACGATAAAAAGCTGATTTGGACGGCAGATCTCGAAGACAGAGACTCAGAGTTCCATCAAACATTGGTTTACGAGGCAAACAGAGCCGTGAGTTTATTTTCTTATAAAGCCGATTCCACTTTCGTTGGTTACGGACAGTTAATTACCAACATGATTGCAGATTGAGTCAGCAATGTCAATGACTCCGTTTTCCGACGAATACGTTGGCTCTTCCGTTAACAATATTTATCAAGGAGACATAAGCCAAGGCCAAGGAGGCGTTTTCGTGAACGCCACGTTAAAACTGGCCTACGAACCGAGAACGGCAAGGCAAAGTCTTGCCGGAGAACTACAAAAACAGCTTCTTGGTGTTATTCAGAGGAGATACAATAACATTGGAAATAGTGCACTACACGTGGACAGTCCTGCTGGCTCGATTTCCAATCTCCAAGGTGAGCAAATCGAAATCGCTTAAGCGTAGTCCCTTTCGACTGGTTTAATTAATTTCTCTGCTGTTTACAGATTTAGACGAATGTGCTTCGTCCGAGCTAAACGATTGCCACTCGTCGGCCACGTGCACCAATACGTTTGGTGGATTCACGTGCAGCTGTCGCTTGGGGTTGAAAGATCCACACAAATCTGATCAAAGCACATCTGGCAGAACTTGCCTGTCTTGTGCATCGTCGCATTGCAACAATCGAGGAACGTGTTCTTACAAAGATGATCAGATGCATTGCACGTATGTTTGTTAAATGATCGGTCAAACAGTTTATTCCGAATATATGTGTATAGCCAGTTATGCTGTATTGCAGATGTACTGGAAATTATTACGGCGCTCAATGCGAAATTGACGGTGAAGTTCTTGGAGTTGCGATTGGTGCCTCGGTTGCAGCGCTCATCATTATTGCCCTAACTCTCGTGTGCCTCGTGATGTGGAGGTAAACGTCTCAAAACCACACTCCGTTACATTATTATTTTTCAAATTAATGGCTCAAAAAGCGTTCGATTCAGTTCTCATATACGTTAATAAATTTTGGTTCTTTTCCAGCCGAAAATGGTCTCAAGAGCAAAAAGCAATATCTCCGGTTTATGGATACGTTCAAGGAACGCTTCCAGGCACGTTGCCAGGTAACAGTCAATTCACGCAAAATTGATTAACTTTGGCAAATAAGAATTGATTTAATAAAATTAACTCGCGTAGGTTCGATGGGAACTTTGGCTTCGGTAAAACAAGGTCCACCGACGAATCTGCCATCATACATGTGGGCCCAGGTAGCTGACCATTTAGCAACAGCCAACGTTTACGCGGTATCGCATATTGCAGTGTCTTTCCAAATTAACTGACACTCGCCTAACGAGCAACAAATAAACAGTGCGTAATACTTGCAGACAGAACCGATGGGACCGACGCGACCAAGTTCGGCGATGATCGGTTATCCAACCCTCAGTCTTCACGGGACGCTACCTCCGGTGCCGCTGCCACGACTACAAGCTCCTCCGCATACGGTTAATAGGCAAAGACATCAACCGGAACCCGATAGTTCCGACTCCGAGCCCCAAGATAAAGATCGCGCCGATCTAATTCCTCAGAGCAACTTTCAGGTACCCAGGCCGAAGTCTCGATCGTCTCTAGCTGTAAGTTGGTTTGTTTCTTTGAACTGCCAGTCGATAACCTAACCTTTTCTTTATTTTTTTTTTTTTTGATTAATGAGATCCTTGTCGCTTTTTAGAATCAAAGCGGGATTTACTACGACGTCGAGTATGATCAAGGAGATGCGCGACATTTATCAAAAAACAACATACCTATGTCCACTTACAGTATGGCACCATTTTACAGAACGTGATTTTGAATACGAAAACCAACTGAAAATCAGACATACTTCATAGACTGAATTTAAAGTGAGTATTTCGTTTACTCCAATGTTCATCGTTCTTATTGATGAATTTGTCAAGTGTGCAATAGATATTTAATGTTAATTTGTTACAAAATATCTGTATTATTATTGCCGAGTAGTCCGCGAAACAAATATTTTAACCAGTAATCATTAACTAGTATAATGAGTCTACTTTACAAAATGATTTTTTGAGGAACAAGTAGGCGATTACGGCTCTCTAATAATAAAAGTCCCTCAAAAAATACTTTCGTAAAGTGATAGCGAATAATGCTGAGTAACTTTTGAATGATCTTAGAATTAACGTTTAAAGAGAAAACATGGATATTTATCATTACCTTGTTATTAATATGATTGTACATGATGCCGTATAGCTTGATAAATTATACACGGTTTTATTATATTAAAAATATATAAAGTAAAACTGGAATTTTATTTTATTTGTTAAAATAGACTATTATTTCTTTAAGAATTCTCGTTAAACGTTGATGAATTCTTTGGTGAGTTGTTTTTTTCTGAAAAGTTTTATACTTCCAAACTTCCAAACCATAGTAATAATTAATAGCGATGATAACGAAATAATAAACACAGCAGTTGATCTTATCCGCAATTATTATTTTTATTTATATTATTAATATTAATATTACATAAGCGCATTTGCAAGTTGTGAAAATCGGGAAGAACGTACAGAATAAATGTATGAATCAACGCCAGATTCGTCTTTGACATAACATTGTTATGAGGTAAAGAAAATTACTACTATTACAAATATAGTCGAAACATAAATAAAAGAATAAATTAACAATATTCAATGACTCAGTCATCAAATGACACCATCAAGATATGTGTAAGTGAAAAGTATAAAAACATTTCAAATTTGTAACATTTTTTAGTAAAAGTATTTGTATTACTGAATGCAAATATACATTCGTATGTATATGTACAATATGTGTATATAATTTAATAACATTATATAGATAGATTTATTGATATATGCAACAGTCTTTATAGAAATACGAAATTTCGCAAAACTTTTTTAATGAGTTTTCTTATTTTCAGATCCATTTGTAAGAATTGTAATGAATTAATATTTATTTATCGAATAAATCTCTTATTATTTAAAAATCTCTGCATTAAAAGAACTCTCTGAACTTACGCCTGTTAAAAGCACATCCTTCATCTGCTATCGGAATCAAACATTTTTAGACAAGTTAGAATGTTTCGTTTTGTGGTTATTAGATATTCAATATTTATATTATATAGGTATATATTCATATAATTTAACAAGATACGTGTAAGTGAAATCAAACACGTTTATATGGTTAAATAGGTATGAGAATAATAAGTGAAAAGTGCGAAGATTTTTGGAAGGCAAAGAGTGGACGAACTTTAAAACTCTCGAATTGACTAAAATAATAGTCATTTCGATAGTATAAAAATCATTCGCTTGTTGGCGATATGAAAATGAAGCGTTGTTAATTAGCATGATAGTACTGACATTGGTTCAAAATATTTACTGTAACTGTTAGTGTGTGCGTTTTTCAATCATGGTCCAAAAAACGTGTTTCCATAAGATTTAATAATAAATAATAAGTAAACAAAGAAATACAAAATTTGTTCGTCGTAAGCACCAGCTTTACAATCATAGTAGTTCGCATTTTCGTTGGTTAATAGATAATTTTCGATGTTACTGAAAAACTAAGATAATAAAATCACTAGAAAAATTATCATCATTTGTTATCAATTTATTTGACTCGCCAAGAAACGAATGCGTTTACCGTTTCAATTATTATATAGCAAAAACGGTTTGTATGCGTGTATATATATTTACATAGAACAGGTATTAAAAAGTAGAAAGTCTAAAGTATCACAAGAACTAGTATGATTTCGTCATTAAGGCCCAAATTCATAGATGAGCTCTTTTTGACGTGTAGTACAAAGCACATATATGTGTATTATGTAAAAGCCACATTAATGAAAAAGATGATAGTATGAGGAATTATCAATCTACAGATCCGTACAGTAAACAATCCAAAAATAGTACGAACAAATGTGAGAACTTCGTCAACTATGAATTGAGAATAATGTAAATTTATTATTCCTTTGGCAAAGAGTCATAAATCTTTATTAAATTCAAATTTATTATGCACTAGAATATTTCAATTGAGAAATGTAATACGATTGAGTACTTTTACATATTACTTTTTTCTCAGCGTTTTACTAATTCTTATGTATTATTTGAATCACCAACGGAATTGTGATAAATTGTCGTACTTAAAATCTAAGTCGATCGTACAATTATTATAAGCGCTTCAATCGAAATCGAGTTGAGAAAACAAGTTATAGAAATATCGCTGAAGCTGATATAATTATTTTTACAGAAATATCCGTTTAAATACGTTACGTATATCAGTCTTTGGTGCGACAATATCAAATATCACTAATAAATACGCACCCAAAAAATTAGCTATTGAGAAGTACATTTTACGTAACTTTATTGAATTTTTATTATTTATCAATATTTATTTATGAATAAAATATAGCTTGTTATTCTCTGAGCAATTTAAAAAATCAATAATTAAATAAATACGACGATGTGTGCATCGTTCATATTTTACAAATTTATCACCACAAGTTTTGAAGAAAGATTATTAGTTAATTATAATTGTTTCACTGCCAAAAATCTTGATAATTAATTGGGTATTGATTTTGAGCAAAACATTGTGAAAAACATTATCACACGAGATTATAAATTATTTCACGCCAAAGACAATTAGCAGTGTAGAATCTATGATATTTGAAAAAATGCAGAATTGGTATTACAACATTTATCTTGTGCGTAAAAATTATCTAAACATAAACATGTACTTCTGGCAGTGAAAGAAGATATTTCGTTAGAATTATTCAAAGCATTGCGAAAATGAAAAATCGTATGTAAAATAGCTTTAAATAGGTTTATAATTTGCCTCAGCTCTAACTCATCGCATATTACGGCATCATTGGTTGTTCGGTATCTTGCTCTCACACTAATGCGCTAGGCAATCCTGTGCGATTGCGAAGACCATCACTATAATAATTAATAGTATTTAACACGTAACCTTTCGAGATTTTATTAATTGGCGTTTATGTCATGAAAATTTGTTTATCTGAATTTAACATGCAAGAAAAAAAAACGATTAAATTAGTATACAGGCTTACTTTTGGGCAGCTTGCGTTTGTGCTTGCACTTGAGATATTGGAGTAACACTTGGTCTATAAAAGCGATCAAATAACTGTTTTAGAGTCATTATAGTACCATATCCTTGATTAGGACTCATGTCAATGAAGGAATCCAAATTGTCAGTACAAGCTAGGAAAGATATATTTCTTATTAAATTTGAAATTGCTAAGATGAAACTATATGTTAGTGATAGAAACTTACTTGGGGTGCAAATGGGACTGTAATCAGGAGGAGTTTTAATCCATGTACCATCTTTTCTTTTCATGTGCTGTCTGTTTGAAGCAAAATATTTCAGATAATCACTAGCTGATATTAATCTAAACATTCTGTGCCATTCTGGAGGCAGAGCCTCATCTCTTCTGAAGGTTTCTGTTGCATATTTCCAAAAATACGTTGGAAAAGGCAATTCACTGTCCAGATCATAGACAACTGCTCTTTCATCCGGAGCATAAATTAATATGACATGATAGTCCTATAGAAAACAAAGTTATTAAGAGGAAAATAAAAATATTTTGTATCTGTATTGAAATAAATATAAAATGTATATCTACCCAAATAACTATTTTCTCTTCTTCTTTGCCAGATCTCTGTCTCCATAAAGGTACACTACGGCCAGGATTGCTTATAAAAGCTACATGACAATGTTGAAGTTCTGATCCATGTTTAGTTGCAATCTCCTGACAAAGCTTCCAAACATTTTCCTCGCTAAACAAAATATCATTATAAGTGATTTTTATTTCACACAATCGAAATAGTAGAAACGAAATCGATTATTTTTCAAAGGATGCCGAAAAAAATGTATACTAATGCTACGAACAGTGTCCCTGTCCGTGCGTTTGAAAACTACAAATGCGAGATACTTACATATTGTCGTCGTTAACTACGACATAAATTTGGTCCATAATTGATATATGAGTAAAAGTGATTGATATTGACGAGAAAAAATGTGAAGCGCGCGAAAAAAAAAATAGGATTGCAAGCATAAAAGCGTACGATGAATAGTTATACTATTTTCTTGCGTTTTTGGTTGCGGTATAAAATATTCAAACAAATGTAATCGATAAAACGATAAAACAAAGATTAAAAAAACGCGAGGAGGTAAAGAGCGTGCCCCATCGTGTTGTATAATAAATAAAGTCATATATATCTTTGAGTTTGAAATATGAAAATGCGGGAAAAGTAGCGTGAACGCGGCCGTATAAACAGAGCTGCCTAGCAATAAAGCTCGATGAATAAGTGATATGACGGTAGGAGCAATTCATATACGCGGGGGGTCGGCTGACCAGAGAACGATGTAGAGTTAGATATACAATAGCAAGGGCTGCTAAATATCATGTGCTTTGTGGTCGAGTGCTGGTCGAGGCGCGTTTATGCCTCTGCAACATACGTATCGATCCGCCGCGGGATCTGCCGCAATACGTGACTCCTTCCACAACTACTGGCCGTGCGAAATCAAGGCGAGTGAGTGAGACGGAGCGAGCAGTCGACAATCACCTTGGGCGCCCTCGTGCGTGTGCATGTGCGCTCAAAGCTTCAATCAGTTTTTTTCTTGATGGCTTTTGCAAGCTTGTTTGCAGAACCTCTCTCAATCACCTCCGACATGACCATTCTCGGTTCTTGCTCCAAAAACTACTCACCAGAAGCAACTCGTATAAATGCAGTCGGTCCTCTTGCTAAACAGCGGTATCAAGGGCTTCGTGTTCCCGCTCACGATGCTCTCTACGGCCATCTTCTTTGTTTACAAACGCTGTTTGTAGCCTCCAATTGAGTCTCCTCTACTAATCCTTATACCCTAGTCCGCTCGGATGAACAATGGAAGCTTTCACGAGCTTTCTTAAAGATCTAGTCGATGTCCAGTTGCTGATTTCCTCAACACCGCTGCATTCCCTGCTCTTTTAATTATCAATATGCACCTGTCGTTTTGCAATTTTGTGTACCATTGAACTTTGACACCGCTGCTTAACGCGCAAGCACACTCCAACCTATAAGCTACTAGAACTACGAGCCTTCGTGAGCTTTACTGGCACGGAGGTAGAACCAACACTATACTACAACTCGACGTCGAGAAGAGAGCAGACATTGTAATGATTGTACTGCACGCAAACGGTCTATGAGACTGTAAGCTCAAGATATGCGCACTCGACTAAATAACTACTTGACTGCTACATCACTAGATGGCTAAGCTTTCATATAATTTGCGACCCGCGAAGTTCAAAATCCAAATTGCTTTTGAGGCTCTGGTCGCAAATGCACATATGTTTCCACACGAAGCTCACGATTCCAGTGGAATCACCAGAAGTTTAGGGTTACAGTCACTAATGTCAACATTATGCCAACAGCTGATCAAATAACTAGAATTCGTGTTTTTTTTAACTGCATTTTACCCGGATAAACAATTCTTTTCAAAAATTTCATGGGTACCATTGGAAATAGCGTCCCTTAAACTTTCAGAATATATCACTCGTAATTTTTTTTTATGCCTGTAACATTAGTTATGAGCGTTCAAATGCCGGTGTACCGAGAGTAGCGTTTTCGACCGAAACGGGTTAATTGATCATAATTTGTACTTACTTTTAAGTTTTATGACTTGTACTTGTATTTTTTCTTTTACGATATTTTCTTTGTTCTCATTGCGATTAAAAAATATTTAGTTTTTGAAGTATTAAGCTGCCTCCTACGCAAGCTTTATACCCTTGCAATTAGCCAGAAAAACACTATTTGATCACATCGATGCTCAATCATCGAAAAGAATTCGGAGTTTGGACTTCGCGAGTTGCGAATTTATGTCCGGGCAGAGTATACATACAAATTTAAGCATGATATTCATAAATTATGAGATAAGTTTTTTTTTCACCAATAAATACATTGAAAAATACGGCTTGCAACGTTTCCGTATAATATAATTATATATAGTTTTTTTTCTCGACTAGGGATTTAGGGTATTTATTTTTATACTATCTCCAATATACATTGACAATATGAAGACATCCACAACAAATATAAATATAAAAGGAAACATCTTAACAATCATTATATATACAATATAAACTATAAGCCAACTTTACAAGGTATTTGTTGAAGAATATAATTCTGTTTTTTAGATCTTTGAAAATAAAAATCAATGATTAGGTGTTACAATCCAACCGAAAAACGTCTCCGATTTTACGTGGATTTTGCATATTAATTGTCAATCAATAAACGAGTTACATTAATCGAAAGCTCCTTATTCTAGGATTTTGGCACTGTAACTATTTTTTCCAATTTTCTTTTAAAATGATAAGATTTCTTTTTCACTAACTGGGAGCTGAAGTGACAAGTGTAGATGAATTATTACTAAAGTCTCTAAAATAAAAACGTAATTAAATGATAGAATTACATATAATTATGTTTTAATTCATATTTGATTCGATATATTAATAATTTGCCATAATCTTTATCTTTTTACGTAAACTATCAGTTATCAAAACTAAATACGTGTTAGTAAAATATATAGTATACATTTTGCGATTTAATTCAATTTATAAAAACTGTCGACCGAAAATTATATTGATTATTTCCGGGTACATTGAAATTAAAAATTTTATATGAATTGAGTGATCTATATATATCCTCTATCTACTGTAATAAAAGTAGATGAGCTCAATTTATAGTTTACATAAAGAAATAATAATATCATTGCAAATTATTAATAAATATATCGTAGAAATCAAGTGCATATGCGATTATTCCCCCAAATCTCTAAGGAAATTTTAACGACGTTTTTCATGTAAAAGTTCCATTAAATATGAGTTATTATCGATTAAGAAGACAACATTTAAAAAATTTTCAAATAAAATGAAACCATATAAAATGCAAAAAATGTATAGGCAAAGTTTTCAGCTACTGAAAATTAAAAATAATGGTTGATTGAATGAAAATTTGGAAAACATTAATTTGCGTCGATTGGCTATGATTTGAGTTACAATATTAGTATAATAATATTCATACAAGAGATAATCACGCTGATCTGAAAGCTTAATAATGAAAATTAACATTTTATATTATAGTTCTTCAGAACGCCAAGATAATCATGTTGTTTTTATTGGGCGTTAAAATCACAAGTCTTATAGGGTCGTTTCATTATGCGTGTCGTTGTGCATTTTGTAAATACCGTGTATGAAATACCCATAGGCCCGTAACCGCTTTAATCGTGTCATTTCGTGTTTTTGTCCCATACGCGTGTGGGGTGTTTGTGTGTGTGTGTATATATATATATATATATATATATATATATATATATATATATATATATATAGACTTAATATTGGCAATGACACGTGACTCCGTGTCATTGCCACAGACACAGACCACTGCCAGTACCAAGTGTCCACTGCCGCAGTAATGCTAATATTGCCAGCTGTTGCCAGTGCGCTCGCTGCCGTCATAGGCAGTGTGCAGTTAGGTTTAATTTGAGATCATTCTTCCTGTACTTTGTAAACAGTATACATTTAATGACTTAACACTGACCTTTTCTATGTATTCACATGTTTATAAGAAACGTTTTAATAGAGAAAATCTAAATCGAATTACAAGTCGTTGTATTAGAATCAGTACGTGATTATAGGTTAGAATTAATAAAAATTAAACAATGTCGACAACATCGTCAGAAAAGGACCTCGATTTAGCTAATGCTGACCGCGGCGTTTGGCTTGTAAAAGTTCCAAAATATATTGCTAATAGATGGGAAAAAGCCCCGGGCAGTATTGAAGTAGCTAAACTTAGAATTACAAAGTAAGTAAAAAATATGTAATATTTACTAACCATATTTTTATTTAAAAATATTACAATAATATATTTTGTAGTTTTTATGACAAATACTAAGGCTGTACTAACCAGGTAATACACCATGTAACATTCTACTATCTTTCAGACATTATAAACAAAAAGCAGAAGTTACTTTGAGGCTTTCTGAAGCTGTTTTGGCCTTAAGAGAAGCTGGTGAGCAAGATATTCCACAGCAACATAAGCTTGATGTTACAACTGTGATACACCAAACTTTAGGAGTCTTTTCTCATACTGCACGTTAGTATTTATTTTTAATTACAAATATATTTTCATAACAGTGTTATGAAATTATGTAATGCAGGGAATTTCTACCTGAAAGTGAAATTAATAATCTGTTTTATTTTATTAGCTGTGGGTAGTTCAGATGCAGTTGTACCTGATACAGAAAAATTATCCATGGAAGGAAAAATTGTACAAAAATTAGAATGTCGTCCTCATGGTACAGTTTCATAGAATTATTATTTTTATGCAATAAAAGTATGAATTTCACTTTACATTGCTTGAAATATTGTTTCTAGCTGATAATACCTATATGAAACTTAAACTTGAAAGTATCAAGAAGGCTTCAATTCCTCAAAGATCAGTGCAACAATTGGACAGAGCAGTACATAATTTCAAACCTGTTTCTGATCACAAACATAATGTAGATATACTTTACTGTTTATCATTTAGTAAAATTGTGAAAAATTACTTACATTTTTATAATTATTTTTAAGATGGAGTATGCTGAGAAAAAGAAAGCAGAGGGCAAAAAGATGCGCGATGACAAAGATGTAGTTCAAAATATGCTATTTACAGCTTTTGAAAAGCATCAGTATTATAATATCAAAGATCTTGTCAAGATAACAAGACAACCTGTTGTAAGTTTGGCATTTCAGTAATAATGAATTGTCTATAGAATATAACCATTAGAATTTTTTCTTTTTTTTAATTTAAAAAAAATTTTCATTGTAATGATAAAAATAAAAATTTACTGTTCTAGGTGTATTTGAAAGAGATATTGAATGAAGTATGTAACTATAACTTAAAAAACCCTCATAGAAACATGTGGGAATTGAAACCAGAATACAGGCATTACAAAGAAGAAAAATCTGTTAATGCTGACAACTTAAAAAATAATGATTCTGACTGAATTTAGCTTTAAAGAAAGTGTGAATATAATTTTATAAGTAAATAAATTTATTGACTCATTGAATAATAAGTGCAGTTAAATTTTAATTATATCAATATTCTTTGGCTATTACAAACACAACATGACTATGAAAGTATAGCTTCTACAGACTATATTTGTATCAGGTTAGTGATTATTGGAATCAATTTTTTATAGAATATAATAAAGATTATTTTTTGTAACACTAACATTTTTTAATATTTACAATTTTCTTTAGTTTCAGAAAAAAGATTTTATAAAATTGAAGTAAAATACTGTACATGTCATAAATGCATAAAAATATTGATAGATACATTAAATGTTAGAAACTAATCTTTGTATAACCAGAAATTACATAATCATCTCCAGTTCATATTTCTTGATATTAACTTTATATACTTTGAATTTAGATCGAGATCTAATTTCTTTTGTTTTAAAATAGAAAAATTCACTTATATAACATCAAAATTGGTTGAATTATTTATAACAAGTATTAACAAATGCTTGGAACATCAGCATTGGGTGGCAACCATATGAAATCTTGATATTGAGACTTTCATTTGCTGGTATAAATAAAATAGATCCATTATTGAGGATTTGTGAAACTGGAATTTCACCTTTTCCATTAATTACAATTAAAATACTTGCAGTATTTCGTGGAATAAGATTATATGTTGCTTTTCCAGGAGAAATCTAAGAAAACGAAAATATTTTGTTACTTATCTAGACATGGTTCATTTCAAAGTTTAGTTTTTTAATTTACCATAATCTTAGCTATGGCAAAATCTGGTATTGGAGGTCTAAAAACTTCTGTACACTCATCTTCTCTTACAGCTTGAAATTTTTTTGCTGTTACTGGTTCACAAACATAAGACAACATATCAACAAGAATTTCAACATCTTTCATTTTAGGAGTCAATCCTGCTCTCACAACGTTATCTGAACAAGCCATACATTCTATGCAATCTGAAAATTATCAAACTTTTATAATTGTAGTCTGAATTAAAAATTACTGAATAAAAATTACAAAGTGAAATTAAAAAATTATAAAATCTGACCACCAAACAGATATGCATGTGGCTCATTAGCTCCTAAATACATGGCTTCTCCTGGTTGTAAAGTGATATAATTGAATAAATAAATTCCAAAACATCCAACGTCACCAGGATAATCGGAATATAATTGTTCAAAAAGGCTTGCATTTAACATTTGTCTCATAGTTTTATCTATAAGAAAATATATTTACTTAATTATAAATGATGAAAATTAAAATATTTCACAAAACAATATATAAAAATGCTAGTAATACCAAGATTAGATAATCTTTCAAGCAATTTTCTCAATTGTTGTGCAACAATTTCAGGTTCTTGTGCCATAAGACTTGAAAAGCAACTTTTCAAAGCAGTTTTAATATTAACTTCATCACTTGACATTAAATTTATGATTTTATTTTCGCCAATACAATTTCTGAATTCTGGGATGGATCTTAAATAACTTTTTATTTCAGCAATTGGACGAAATCCACAAAGTGCTTCAAAAGGAGTTAAAGCAATTGTCAGTTCAGGCTTATGATTATTATCTCTGTAAATGGTTGGTTGTGTTCGGTGTAATTCTTCTGCTTGTTCCTAATATTATAGTGTTCAAAAAGCAATTTAGAATTCATAGTATAAATTATATAGTATTGCTAAAATAATATAATATATATTACCTTATTAGGATGCACCTGAATTGACAAAGCTTTTTTGATAGATAGAACTTTGAATAGAAAAGGTAAATTTGTACCATACATTTTTTGTACTGCACTACCCAGAACAGAGCTATTTTGTTGAATGTAATCATCCAATGATTGCTGTGTATCTTTCAAAAAAGATGGACCATTAGGATGTGTACCCATCCATAGTTCAGCATATGGTACATTGTCTTTTGGAACAAAATCTGGATCTGATGCTTTCACAAGTCCAGCAACTATACTATCTATACCTTGCTTTCCCCATGCATAATTCTTGATAGAGCATTTTAATTCCATTTTTGTTTTCTCTAAAAATGTATAAGATTATTTTTTACTCTTTAATCATAATGATTTGTATATTAAATCATAAATTACAATAACTTTCAGAAGTTATACGAATATTTTCCTTGTATACACAATAAATATTATAATGTAAACGATTTCACACAAAAAAATCTCTTATATTGTATAGCGACAATTGAAAAATGCGCGTTTTCTAGTAAAATTAAGCAATAACGAACGTATAAGACCATTTAATCCTCGTGATCAAAATAATGCTGTTTTTATAATTGTTCTGCTCAATGCCACAAAACCACAAGTGTCATCAACAATCTCCAATAATCTAACCATTTCAAGTGTACACAAGATAATTCTAACCTAAACTCAACCTTCGTTTCATTGTTTTGTTTCGCGAGTGAAAAATAATGAATGAAAGAAAACGAAAACAAAAACTTGTTATTCTATTTTTCAATTCTCTATAGGGCCTTCACAATCATTTTGCACTACGTGACTTGATGTGTAGTTTTGAAACTTCAGTGAATAAATGTACAATAAACAGAATGACACTTAAATAATTTCATCTATTCATAAAATGTTTAGAATAATTTTCTTAATAATTAAGAAATAAGATTTTATGTTGGAAAAACTTTTTTTCCTACAAATTCTTTTAAGTTATTATAACAAATTGTACTAGTAAATATTTTATTCTAAAAACCATGAAAAATACAACAAAGAACCCTATTGTTTTTCTCGATGTAGCTGTTTCTGATGAAAAATTAGGAAGACTAGTTATAGAACTATTTAAAGATAAAGTTCCTTTGACAGCAGAAAATTTTCGAGCATTATGTACTGGAGAAAAGGGACTAGGTAAAAATAATAAGCCTCTACATTATAAAGGATCTTTATTTCACAAAGTAGTACGACAATTAATGGTACAAGGTGGTGATATTATTAATTTTGATGGATCAAGTGGAGAAAGTATTTATGGACTACATTTTAAAGATGAAAATCTGACTATGCTTCATGATCAACAGGGTCTTCTTAGTATGGTAAACGAAGGCAAACCTAATAGTAATAGTTCACAATTTGTAATAACAATTGGTCCATGTCCTCAGCTGAATAATACAAATGTTGTTTTTGGAAAAGTTTTAAAAGGTATCGGAGTAATAAAGGATTTGAATGGAGTTCCTATAAACGATGATGTACCAGAGGAAGAAATAAAAATTACTGATTGTGGTGAACTGATTAATTGTGATAATTGGGGTTTGGAGGATAATGATGGTGAAGACATATATACTCCATACCCTGAAGATTGGAATCTCCCAACAAAAAATGAACTTTCTTACAAAAATATTTTGGACATAGTGCAAAAAATTAAAAATGTTGGTAATGCTTGTTTTATTAAAAAAAAATATACAATTGCTGCTTACAAATATAAAAAGGCCTTGAGATACTATAAATGGATGATGACATTTGAAGATACCCCAAAGACTGATAAAAGCATCGTAGAATTAAATAACATCTTATTACTTAATCTAGCCGCAGTAAGGCTTCGTCAAGCTAGATACAAAGATGCTATAAATCTATGTAATGAAGTTTTATTTGTTGATGTAAATAGTAGTAAAGCATTATTTCGAAGAGGTCAAGCTTATTCAGGTTTGAATGAATACAAATTAGCATTGACTGATTTGAGAAAAGCTATTAAAGATAATCCAACTAATAAAGAAATTTCCAAAGAAATTCAAAGGATAAAAAATGTTATGAAGTCTTATTTGGCAATAGAAAAAGCAACATTTCAGCGTATGTTTAAAATTAATTAAAGTGGTCAATAATTCTGATCTCAAACAAAAACAAAGAATTTTTAATTTAATGTTGGATAATGACTGCAAAAATATATCTTTTAAACTTCGTTATTTTCATTTATTAATTTCGAATTACGACATAATATTGTTTGTATCATACATATATGTATACTTTCAATTTTATATATTGTGAATAAACCACCACGTTTATAATAAATTTACTTTATTTATTTATATATATATATATACACATATATATATATATACATATATATATTTACGTAACTGTGATTATAATTATTTAATGAAGAAAACAGCGTCAAAAAATAAACACTTACATTATAATAATTAAAATAAATTATATTCAGTATAATTTGAGTTTACAAAATCTAAAGTTCATCTTTTTTATTATTTGAAAAGTTTTTTCCATTCAAATGAAAAAACAAATCAATTATCGAACTTATTTGTATGTATCGATTTGTATTCAGCAAACTTCATGTGCGTTTGCGTTCACAACTGTAATATACTGTGTAGGGCTGTAATGAATGACTGATGTGTGGTGGCACTTCCTTCACTTCCTTTCGAGTTCGGTGTTTAGACGAGGTAGGTGTGAGATTTTTATTTTTCATTCATATATGAATATTACCATTTTTTTTCTTAGTTTACTAACATTAATTTTCATCATATGCTATTTATTCAATTGATTAATAATTTATTAATTTTTTTATAGTTTCGACACAGTTCAAACCGCTACAATGGTTGCACAAAAGAAACAGGTTAGTAACTAGGTTATAAAAGCACGTGTATTTATTAAATCATTGTTGCTTGATAATTTCTTTTAAAAAGTTAGTTTAATTGACGTCATCAATCAAAAACAAATGTTAAATAAAAGTTTACTGATAATTATTTTCATAAAAATAATTGATAAGACATGCTTATTACTTCCTTATTAAAGTGAAAGAAATTTATGAATCTTTATTGATAAACAATTTAATGAAGACAATTTCATTTTTAATAGTTTACACATTATTCATAATTCTTATTTTAAAGGTAGTAGTGAATTTAATGTCCATCTATAAAGGTAGATAGTTAGGTAACCTTTGTTAATATATAATAACATTAATAACAACATAAAAAGATGTCTTCACATAGGTTTTCATTTCTTTAACTGGTAGTTAAAAAGAAAAAAATGTTTTTTCTTTTTCAGAAAAAGGCTATGGAGAGTATCAACTCCAGGTTAGCCTTGGTGATGAAATCTGGAAAGTATGTTTTAGGCTACAAACAGACACTAAAATCGCTTCGTCAAGGAAAAGCTAAACTTGTCATCATTGCCAACAATACTCCTCCACTTAGGTGAGAGACTGAGATGTAGTACTCCTTTTTATTTTTTTTTTTAAATTCTCTTTGAGGAGTCCTACGGAGTAGTCTCCTACTACCGCTTGTAAGTGCGGTTAGTATAAAAAAACATAAATTTTGTTGGTTTAAATGTGCTTATTATTTTGTTTCAGGAAATCAGAAATTGAATATTACGCTATGTTGGCTAAGACTGGTGTGCACCATTACACTGGAAATAATATTGAACTAGGTACTGCTTGTGGCAAATACTTCAGAGTTTGTACATTGTCTATTACAGATCCTGGCAATTCTGATATCATAAAATCTATGCCCACAGGTGATCAAGCATAATTTATATGGTACATTTTTTATAATTTAATGGTAAATAAATTATACAGTAAAAGACAAAATGGTTTAACTTCATTAAATAAATTATCCCTGCAAAATCTACTTTTATCACACAAAACTATCTAATGAAACTTCAATGCAGGACTGTAATATTTAAAGAAGTATTTCTTATTTAAACATCAATTAATAAGAAATTTCATTTTCAATTCTAATACAGTTTTAATTATTCGATATTTTTAATCATTCTCAATAATTTTTGTTATAGAATTCAGTTTAAATTGAATAGAAAAGCATTTTATTTTGATGACTGCACTTATATTACATTCCCTGAATGTTAATTCATAAGTAATGAATGTACTAATGGTATAAGATAGTTGTATTCAAATAAATTTAAAAAATGTATTTAGAATAAATTAAATGAAAAAATATTAATTTTATTTTGTATAACTTATAGAATAGGTATTTTTATTTCATACATAGTTCACCATTTAACATTATTATCACCATATAATTTACTATATATATATATATATATATATTTGCATCATACAAAACCCAACACTCATTTACAACTTTTAAGATTATTAAATATAATAGTATACATCATTTTAAAAATTAAAACAGATCTGGAAATGATCTTCCATCAGTTGTCTTAAATCCTCCAATATAAAAATACTGTCATGGAATATAGCTAATTAGTTTCTACTTTCCATGGTTAATTCATTGAATTGAAATTAGTGAAGTTTCTTAGAAACTTGTTCTGATGTGCCTAAAGTTTTGCGTCTTTGAGAAAACATGTGCAAATAGAGTTTAGGAAATACTAGATGAAAAGTAAAAAGAATTATTAGTAATTTGTTAAAAAAGATCTCATAGATATTTCAAAATTGTGATAATACTAACATGGAATATATAACAGCATTACTCCAATAAGGAAATATTGGTAACTGAAAGTAAAATTCCACTCATTAGGAAGAACATAACTCCATGCATTTTTTTCTTTGGCAGTATACTGAACAGCTGCATAAAGACACAATAGTTCTCCTGTTATTCCAATAGGGTACAATATAATAAATGTAGTGTACCTGTAAATAATTTGTGTTATTAATTATCATTTAATATCATGTGTTACTTACTTTAAATTTCAGAAGATAGTTTTACTTACCTTAGCCAAACTAAGAAGTGCGGTACAAATCCTATAAGATTTGCAAGATAGTAGCCATATCGGATTATTTCAGTTACAGACCAGGCTAACAGTGCTAGAGGAAGACCAGGTGATGCCGCTGCATAGCTTGGAGGAGTTGCTAATATAACTCCACACACAACCATAACTCTACTCAAAACTTGGAATGTAGTAATAATTGGATTTGACTTTACTACCCCAGTGATAGCATGCACAATCTAATTTAAAAAGAAAATTTTGTAGTCATGTAGATGTGAAAAAAATAATTTTACAATTAATTAACAAATATTTATTGGTACCTCTAAAGCAGCAGCATTTTGGAAGATATTAACAGAAAATTGTACTACTTCCCATAAGGTTTTATTCTTATCTTCTCCACCTAAATGATATTTAACTAATTTGTATAATATGTCACACCAACTGTAAGTATAAGTAGTATATAGGTGCATTAAACAATTGAAAGCTAATTCTGAAACTGATAAAAGAACAAATAATTTATACTTTTACTTGACTTACCCTAATACTTGTAGAAAGTTATACATTATTAAATAAAATTTAATAATAGTATTGTTTTCTTTTGGTTTTGTTGTTTTATTGCCAGCCATGATAGTTGTTATACAATAAATAAATAATATAAACTTTGTAATTTGGGGTGAGTCCGTCCGACTGCGCTGATAACTATTGAGCTTCCGAGTCCCGAATGACTTGCTGGATTAGTGCAACGGGGAAATTCGAAAGTTCATTATCATGTTTCGTAATGCATGCAAATTTTGTGTCCGCCAAGCAGTTTAAACTTTAAATATACCTAACCTAAAATCCGCATAGTAGGCGCATTTAAAGTATTTAGTTTATATGATCAATGACATTAGACGTATGATCGGCACCCGGCATGTTGTTCACAAACAGTATTGTGATAGAAATATATTCGAAATATTTTGTGTAACGTACTCCAAATATAAAATTAAATATTCTGATCATAAAGTAAAAGTGATTTGATTCTCGTAGTTGAATTTTGAATTTTTGAACGTAAAGAAATAAGCAAAACATTACAATGTATACTTGTAAAGTGCATTTAAATTTTTTAACATCAATAAGAAAGTTAAAAAAATTACAAAAGTATTTTTATAGCAATCATAATCATTTTGTAAACCCTATATTATCTTTTGGGGAAGATTTTGTAGCCGCAAAAGAAAAAAATCTTCCTATAGTTGCTTTAGAATCAACAATTATTACTCACGGCATGCCATATCCAGATAATTTAAGTACTGCTCTTGAAGTGGAAGACATAATTAGACAAAAGGTGAGAATCATTAGAAGTTTTATAATATTAAGAATCTTGAAAATATAGTTTAGTTATTGAGCACTTTGGGAATGTTTAACTATATATTAAATGTATTTCTTTTGAGGGAGCTTTTCCTGCAACAATTGCAGTTTTAAACGGAAGCATCAAAGTTGGTGTAAATAAAAAAGAAATTGAAATACTAGCCAAAAGTGATGTAAAAAATCTAATTAAAGTATCAAGAAGAGAATTTCCGTACGCTGTATCAAAAGGATTGAGTGGAGGAACTACTGTTAGTGGTACAATGTTAATAGCAAACAAAGTTGGTATTTCTATCATGGCAACAGGAGGTATAGGAGGTGTTCATCGACAAGTTGAATCAAGTATGGATATAAGTGCTGATTTAAAAGAAATGGGACAAACTCCAGTGACAGTGGTCTGCTCTGGTGTGAAAGCAATCTTAGATATACCAAAAACATTAGAGTATCTGGTAAAAACCTTAAAAATCTATATTAAATGGTGCTTTTAATATCATTAATGTTCCAAAAACTTATAAATATTGACTTAAACAATTATTAAGAAACTACATACTACAGATTGAACCCACGTACAAATGCTTAATACAATTACTTATAAAAAAAAACTTAATGATATTTATATTAACATGATAATAGTAATATTTAAATATTGAATATTGCATAATCAGATAAGAACTTAAACAATGGCTTGACTTTTAGTATAAGAATCTTAATTTTTTATACCTGATTCGAAAAAAATTTCATACTTGCAACAAGATATTTTTAGGAAATATTAAAAATTAAAACACAATAAAGGACACATTTGTTATGATTCATAAAAAAAACAACTAAGAAAAAGGACAAAAAAACATTTTTAAATGGAAGCAAGGAAGTAAATGCAAGTATATTTATTATTTTAGGAGAGTCAAGGAGTTCCAGTGGCGACTTTAGGACCAAGCGATAAGTTTCCAGCATTCTACAGTAGAGAAACTTTTGACGGTATTCAATCTCCTATGAGGCTTTCTGATGCGGCAGAAGCTAGTCGACTAATCCTTGCGCAAAGAAAGCTTGCACTAGAAACGGGTATTCTTCTAGCAGTTCCGATTCCACAAGCTTTTGCCCTCGATCCTCAAGAGATCGAACAGGCCATTCAAGAAGCTCTGAAAGTAGCTAATTGTAAAAATATATCTGGTAAAAATGTTACGCCCTTCCTCTTGGCAGAACTAGTTAAACTCACTGCTGGTCGCTCTCTTCAATCAAGTAAGCGCGTATCATTTTGTACACTTACCTATACGATAAATACATTTTTGGTTCGACATTTCTTCCAACTGATATTGGCCGATTAAATAAGTGCTTTATAAAATTTTTAAGCTCGAAGTTTGGGAATAAATCATTTGAAAGTTCATTTCTTTCGAGCTATCAGTCAGAGTATCTTGTTTCAATTATGTTTGTTGATGTAAACAACACAGTCTCTAGGTGCAACATTTTTAATTTATTTTTTCCAAACATCTAATAAATAAACTCATCCATTATTTCTTTGTACAAAGATAATCTTATTTACACTATTTGATATCAATTTTTTTTGTCGCCCGTTTTATTATTGTCGCTATAACCCATGTGCTATAAGCTTGAACCAATGACGAGCAAATACTTATTTATGTTATGATATATTTAAGAAATTACGTTTCTTTAAACATTTTAAAAATATTCTGTGATGCTAAATATTCTTTCATTGCAGATATTGCGCTCATTAAAAATAATGCTGAGGTAGCAGCAGAAATAGCATTACATCTCAACAAACTCCAAAGTCTCGACGACGAATACATTGTCAAAAAATCCACAGAGGCGTTGAAAACTGTGAAAAAAAGTCCTGTACGTTATTAAGTATAAATCAAATTAATGTTAATACTTTTGAATCATCACAACATTTAAAAGTTTCAATATTTTTTATTATTAAGATTTATCTACAAATATAATTTAATTGAACAGCTTTATATGAATTATAAGTCAATGTTTAAAAAATGATCAGTATATTTTAGTTTTCTTAAATGAATAATTCTTCCTAATTAGATTTTGTTCGGTACGCAATCTGAAAAGTGTAGCATTTTTCTTTGCTCAACCGTATGGAATACCTGATTATAAATGATGAATAAGTCTTATATCATATATCGTTCGGTTTTTCCTTTCAAAGATGTTTCTATTTAATGTTATTTTCTAAAAAGTTATGTTCGTGTATGAAGGTGGTGATTGGCGGATCAACTCTCGATACGATCCTGCGGATAAAGGAGTCGGAAATTAAAGTGAGTAACATATATACTATATATATATATATATACATATATATGTATAGACTAAAATTAATTATTAGTAACAAATTTGTCTGGTAATCGTGTTTGTCTATAATTTGTTTGTTTTGTGTTCAACAATATTTACATATAATTGGAACGACGTTCAGTTAGTCGGCTATATATACAGTTAATTAGGTTGTTCAAAATTGAATAATCATATACACGGACCAATCGATGGTATATACGTACACGACAGACGTAGATTAACACCGATAAGAAAATTAGGTTTGCGGTAATAAGTGTGTGTCACACTTAATTCACACAATGTATATGTAGTATCTGTTGCAATGATAATTACGACGAATCGATGCGACGCATACATGGATACAGCAGGACGTCAAGAGTTATTCAATCCTTTGATCGTTTGTTTAATTTATTTTACCGCGCGCGCATAACTTGCACAAAATACTTTCGATGTCAAAGAATGCCGTTGTTAAATACATATATACGAAACGTTCATATGTATAATAGAAAACTACCGTCGATCATCCACGGACCCATGAAAATGTAGGCGTCTAAAGGGAGACCTGACTTAAGTACATTTGTTACATATTTCTTATCCATGGTTTTTATACAATATACTTTCTAAGTGACGGAGTGATTATTGAAAAATATCGATGACAATGACGATAATGTTATTGGAAGTTTTACACATAACTCAAGGCGGAGCTTGTTCAGTGACGCATACTACTAAAAAGTCAAAGCACTTTATTCGCTTTCAGCTGTATCAAGCAACATATCCTATGGTCGTTTATGTCTTTATTTGCTAGTGAGTGCCATATTTTTATATGATATACAATCTAGACTTGAGTTTATACATTGAAAAAATTCTCCATTAATCGTATGCTACTTGTTGCTTTTATCTGTCATCTCACATAAGAATTGTTAATGTATATAGATCAATAAGCAGGCACTATTTGAAGCTCCATCACTTTTGATACGCATACGCTAATTCTCAGTCATTCGTCTAGCATTTGCAAATGCTCGTGTAGTTTTATCCGCTTTGCTCCCTTCATCGTTAATTTTACTTGAGCTTTTAAGCTTTTTTTCAAAGTTTCATTCGATTTATAGTTCGAGCCGTTGAGCTTCATCATTCGGATTTAGTCGATCATTTTACCTTTTAATCATTTTCTTTCAAATCAAAGTTTCTCGTTGACGCATTTTTCGTTATTTATTATTCGTACATTGCGCAACCATTGTAAGCAAATTTTTTTTTACAATCTCTTCTCAGTTTTTTCTCAGCGTCAGCGTAGCAGTTATAGGGAAGAAATATTATGATCGTTTTGATCAAACTTCTATGAAATATTGTAAATGGCAAACATTTTGTAAGTATAATGAGGGTGAGTGCGTCTGCGTGGGCGCATGTGTGTATGTGTACGTGTAAAAGCATTTGCGTACATCTTTGCGTGAAACTGACAAGTGTCAAGCTTGCAAAATATTCTTTTCAACGAGAGCGTTACAACTCACGCACACTCGCGAGCCATATGAATATTCAATCTTATGCTCTGTTCATGGACAATGTATAAAAATCTCTGTTTTGAACAATTGCAATGTTAGAAGCTCACCATCTAATTAGCTTTACACGTTCTTTCAAGCACATATTTTCTTTTAATTTTTCAACGCTACTTTTCAGATTATTATAAAGATAATTTAGAATTGTACCCACCTACTGCATTAAAAACAACATTTTATTGTATATTTCGAGAATTGCAAATAACTAACACATCTTAAATATTTTTATGTACCGTGTAAATGTCTCGGAAGTATTTATTTAGGCGTAAATATTTTCCAATAATTTTCTTTAATCAAGTATCAAAGTTTGATTCCATTTGGTTTGGTTTTCATATCGAAATATTTCTATTTCAAAGTCTGAAAGGGAATTTCGATTCGTTATTTCAAATAACGTCTATAATTATTGTTGAATTGACAAAAATAGCACATCTACTCAGGCATTCAAAAGAATGTTCTTGTAAAGGCTTTTTAAAATTGGAAAACTTATTAATTATTTAAAGAAGTAAATATTTGGTTACAGTACACCCTGTAAACTTGCCATTTTATCCTCTAAATGTATAATGTACACTATTTGATAGAGAAAGTCAAGAACTCGAAAGTTGTACAATAGTAAACAAAAGGACAAAGCCAGATGTTGCTAATTTGCTACTTCCTTAAATATCATTATACTGTTATCGTTTTTTTTTTAATTATCCGAAGTTTTAATGAAAATGACGATGTGAAATTGACGACGATAAGCAGTTACAATGTTTTGTTACACCCCTACAAATAAGAAATTAATTTCGTTTTTTTTTATTCTTATAGATTAATTTTTTCACACCAGTCTAAAAATCTAAAGTTTTCGTCTGCAATTGAAACGGAAAATTTTCGCTTTCGCCGCGGAAATAAAAAATATCATAGATATATACAGTCTACTAAAATATGACTAATCTTTAGCATGTATTTACCGTGCCCTGCCAATTCTTTACTGTTTTTACATAGCTTTTCAAATAGCTTTATTTTTTAAGTTATTTCTTGTCAAAGATTTACATGATTTTCGCAACGTATAGAACATAATTAGTTATACATATCTTGTTGACGTATTTATATTTTTATAAAACAATTTTATTTGCGTGATTATATGTTTTATATAGCGACATTTGTTTGTACGAAGTTATATTCGTATAATCTCTTAGAATATTATTGTGAAACTGCGAGGTGTTTATCATTGGAAACATTATTTTCCTGAAGCTCTAGTCGTAGTTTTATTTTATAATTCATATTTTTGATTTGGTTCCAATTGAGATGGTTTGCTTTTATCAATGAGCTGCAGGTGCAAAAATAGAAAGCAATGATTTCAATATACATTGAAAATTTGTTGTGCACTTGATGCACGTCGTCTACCTGGGTATCTACTGGTCTATAAAAAAATTTGTATAAATTTGTTGGTACTGAGTATACCATAGTTTAACAAAAAAAGTAATCTACTAGCTATTATGTACAAAGTATACGTGACGTGTATTTATAGTGTTTAGTACACCTATATCGACAAATGGTCATTTATTTGTTATAGACACGGTAATTTATACACTGAAAGAATGGTAAAGGGATGATTAAATGAGGAATAACTGAAAAAAGTAAGTGATTTGTTTTTACGAATGCGTTAGATGAAGATTTGTAAAGTAAACGGTGATGTACATTTTCAAGTTGGTCTTACAAATTGATTTGAAATTGGAAGAGATGTCAATCGATCTGTTTATTTTACATTTATATGAAGTTTTATTGGACGTCATTCCATAGAACCTTACAAAATTCTAAAATTAGTCACTTTGTCTCTCGATAACATAATGCTAATTGATCCCACAATAAAGAAAAAGCCATCGTTTCGCGCGATGAAAGAAGAAAAGAAACTTGCAGAGAATGGATTTAATGGTTATTTACTGTCTGACAGTCGATGCTAATGAAAAATCAGGCTCCTTGCTCGTCGTCTCGTTCCTTACTGTTGCGAAGGAATCGTCGCGATTTGGCCCGCCTCTGCGATTCATAATCGTCGAATTGCACGCGTAGTGTCGAGAGAAAATGTCGATAGCAGTGATCTCGCGCCTTTCGGAAATACGAATATTTAAAGATTAGCAGTGCGAACGTTGTTTTCGAGGATATACCGCGAGTGCGGCAAGTGCTCTGATCGTGTCATTTGGAAGCTGCACTGCTCATCCGTGAACTAAATGGAAATGGAAAATGAGAAAGTTGCCGAGGAATGGCATGCGTCAGATCGTTAGAACGGTATCGGACTCGCGCGTAAGCTGTCGCGAGAGTAAGGGCATGTAAGACGCGTACGCACCTTTGCACGGAGGAGACGCAGGCTATTTGCAACGACGACCCGATCCTGTCGAGACAGTCGGCGTTTCGCGGATGTGGCGCATATCGGAACTTGGACGTTATGCGGATTGGTCGCCTATAAATAGATCCGGCTGGCGTAAGCCGAGTGGCGGGAATCCGAGTTGGTTACTGCGTGACATATCCGTGCGCGGAGAGATAGAGAAGGTGGCGACGATCGATCGCAGAGTTCGCTCGGGTTTGTCCTCTTTTTCGTTCTCGGCCGATTGGTCGCGGAGCGAGGCGTCGCGCAAGTAGGCCGGCCGCGCTATCGGCGCGATTGCCGAGAGAAAGAAGACCACCGAGAGCGCTCTCGGGCCACTCTGGCGAGCCATTGTTTCGGAGAGACGGCCGAGAGAAAGAGAAGTAGTCCCCTCTCGAGAGCGGCCCGCAGTTCGGCCCTCGCTCCAGGTCGGCTGCCCGGCTGCCCGCCGGAGCGTGCCGAGAGCAGCGCCACGAGAGGACGCGGCGACGGAGCGGGGCAAGGGTGAAGGGCGTCCGCGCTGTCGTGCTAGCGCTCCGACTATAGCACCAATCGATACGAGAGACCAGAGCGCGCAGACCCGCCGCAGCGCGCCGAGATAATATCAATATCGATTGACGCTAGACTCGGCACCGCTGCCGCGACCTGCCGCGAAGATCCGCCAGCTCCCCGAGTTCCCACTTCCGCGTGGTCCCACTTCCGCGGCGTCGACCGTGTCCGACGGCGTGCGCTCCGGACTCCGAAAGCGGCAAAGAACGGCAAAGGAAGGGAAGGAGTAGGCGAGTCGGTATTCCGTTTTCCTTTAACATTATGCATCGACCAAACTCTAGCTCGCGTGCTCGCGTTCGTGCGGCAAACGCAGTCTCTCCGTCGCTCGAGCCGCTGCTGTGTCTTTCGAGAGCTGAATTTATACTGGATTGTGCAAAACTTGAGCGACTCCCCATCGATATTCAGCGAGCTGCGATTGCTAACCAGCGTGTACTACATCGCTAGCATTTGCTTCAGTGAAAATCTAATCGTTCGCTTGTCGCGGTAATGGGCTAGCACGAGTACATCCTTATTATTATTACTTCGCGCTTTGGTCAGTTTTTAAGCTTCTTTTTTCCGCAAACTTCCTCTTCGCAATCTCGCTTCATCAATGTTTAGCATATTTGCTAATCTTTACAAATTTCATCTCCATTGCTACCACGTCAGCCCTATATAGTCATCCTCCCACAGTCTTGTTCATTTCGTTCAGGCATTTTCATAATGTAGCAGCCCAATAACATACATAGCGAGGTCAACAAATGATCCAGTACGAGATACTTTCCTCTGCTTTCCGTTGTTTTTCCTCGTCTGCGATGCTCGCAACTGTCGCAGCTCGATTATTCCCTATCCGTGCCGTGCAGAAGCGCGGAGCTTACGTAAACTATGAATGTCTGCGCGCGGCGCGCGAGTAAGTATATATTCGTCCAAATGTAGCGGGTAAAACAGTGATAAGCTTATTTTCTCCTTTGTACACGCTCAGACCTTTACGCTTTCTAAACGGAATTCTACTTGTTATTTTTGTACATCAGGAACATTTTGTCGACGTATCCATTTCAAGAATTTCATTATTCTTCGAGATCGGCTTTCTTATCCGACTGCTGTCTATACTTATTTCTCTAACGTTCCGGCAATCAGTTTACAAAATATCTTGATTTTACCTTTGTTCTATTTAATTTTTTTTTTTTCTTGTGAAATTATATTAATTGGTCGTATTGGTTGCTTGCTTGAGAGCGAAAAATGCCTGTCCATATAGCGTATGTGTAAACAACCAAGTGGAAATGTATGTTGATAATTATTATCAATGAAAGCACGCATTTTTAATTTTTTTTATTTTTTTATTTTTCGGAGAAAAAATCTTCAAAATTTTATCTGCTACGAGTTTAATTATTCTTTCATTTTTATCTTGAGGCTCGAGAGCATTGGAATCGGCACGCGTTCTTGCTCGTCGTAAGTCTTAAGAATGTATTTACTTTTGTTATTTATTGAATGAATCGAAGTGACTGAGTCTACAAAAAAGATAATATCGGTATAGGAAGGAGGTGGAAAAATGTTTGTTGGATCGGTTCGAGCAGGACCGAGATGAAGCGTAAGTGTGCGAGTGATCGCTCAAGGTGGTGATGGCGCGCCCGAGACATGACCGCGCGCGTATTTATTTGGTTGAGGAGCGCGCAAGTTAGAGCGTGCCAATTGCCGCATGATGCATGTATACGTAATCGACAATATAAAAGGTTTTAGTTAGCGCGACTCATCGTTATTGATTTCATTTGCCGTCCGTCCGCCGCCGCCGCCGCCGCCGTCGTCGTCGTCGACAGACGAATATCTGCGACGCGAAGAATGGTTCTATCGGCTTTGGCACGTCTCCAAATTAAATTCGGATTGGGAGTCATAATTTCGCGGGCGTGATTGGTTCTTTCTGCTGGCGTAACACGTTGGCGTGCACTGCTAATGAGATTAGGCGAGCGATCACTTTTCTCGGGTAATACATTCCCTTGACGCCTTGACGCCTTGACGCCGCATGGATAAGCTCCTTCTCGCTGCAAGGATTTGAATGTATTCAAGCGCAAACTAGATATCGCGCACTCGCACGCCGCACACCTTCGCGTGCGTTCTCGTTTGGCTTGCCAATTAACGTACCTGATTAAATTCTGCTTATAAAAATAACTGCTGCTCGCAAAGGAACACAGTACAGTCTGTAGAATGGGTGGTCAGGTGTATCTACGTCGATTAGTAGTCGGCAGAACGCGCACGCGAACGGAATGATCGGTCGACGAAACAAGCGGACAGCAGACGGTTGCTCTGCTGGTGTCGTCGAGCGGTCAATCCATCGTCCACGTACGGAGCAGAGAGTGTCCCGCAACGTTCACAAGATAGATTAGCTACCGACGAGACGTGGAATCATTAATGCTGCGGCAAAATCAAGGGAGAAAAGCTTCAACCGTATGGACTGGTCGACTGGCGGACGTGCAGAGCGACTATCGGCAGTGTGTCACAGAGTTTGTGTGTGTGTGTGTGTGTGTGTGCATACGACTCCACGTACATGATGCGTACACGTACGTATGCAAACGCGAGCGGCGCGGTGTATATACTATATTATTACATGTACATGCACTGGTCGGAGCTTGCGCGAGCTCGCAGTTCTATCTGTTCATTTTCGTATAGGCAATAAAAGTCAGCTAGAGATTCGCACATGGGGGCGTAGCTCCGGGCGGCGGAGCCATGTTGCCGCCGTGGCGTCCGTGTCCGTTTAGCTATCGCAACTGCAGCACGATTCTGCCAGACAGTAGCAAGAGCGCGTGTCACTTAGCTGCCGCCGCAGCCTCGCCAAAGCAGCTGGGCAGCCGCGTCCACGGTCAGATGTGTCTGGACTGCTGCTGCTGCTGCTGCTGCTGCTGCTGCTGCTGTTGCTGCTGTTGAGTCTGGGAGCCACTGGCGCCGGGCGCCGCCTGGCTGGCGTCACCGGCGCTCGTGGAGAACAGCAGCCGCCGGTTGAACTCGCGCATCTCGTAGTTGTTGTTGCCGTTGCTCTTCTGCGCGGCCGTTGTCGTCGCGGCCGTGGCGTGGTGCTGGGCCGGCGGCGTAGACTCCTCGAGGATAAGGGCGCAGTGGCTGTTGGTGTCGCTGTCCGCCCCTCCGTCCTGCAGGCTGTTGCCCAGCAGCGGGTGCTTGCTGCTCTCGTCTCCCGGCACGTACAGCGACGTCGCACCTGCAATGCCAGCCGCGTTCTCGTTATGCAACCCCGTCTACTAGCTTTTTATTTGCCCACTTCGATCCGCCAACCACTACTCCCGGCCCTCTCAATCGAAACTTGGTTAAATAGTCATTGCCTCGACGGCGAATTTTATTGCTTGTTTTTCTCGCGTTCTCTCTCTCTCTCTCTCTCTCTCTCTCTCTCTCTCTCTCTCTCTCTCTCTCTCTCTCTCTCTCTCTCTCTCTCTCTCTCTCTCTCTCTCTCTCTCTCTCTCTCTCTCTCTCTCTCTCTGCCCGAGTAAAAATCCATCGACTGGATCCGTCCGCGGCAATGAAATTGCTCTCGAATCAATAGTGGAAACTGCTAATAGAATGACATTGCCGCGAAATATTGCGATTATTACTGTGCAAGTTTCGCAACAAGAGCGCGTTTAATAAATGAGCTTGAGAGATGGCGCGCGCGGCATTGGAATTCCAGCAAAAGTCTACAGGGCAAACAAACAAACGAGCAAACAAATGTCGTTCAGTAGTTGCACAACGAAAGTCAAAGAGAACGGTGTATGATTTGGCATGTATGTCGGCCAATGTAAGCCAGCTCGCTGCCGGCGTGCGCGGATTGCTGGCATTTCCAGCAATAATATTGATAGGGCGTTTCGATCGAAGGCTCGATGTAAAGTCGTTGGATCGTCAAGGCGAACGAACGAACGAACGAAGGCAGTGGGGCGTGAAACGTCCGCACGCGCCGAGCGACGCAAGAGATGCAAGAGAACCGAAGAGGGCCGGGAGGTGCAGCGCTGGCGGCTCGGAGGGCCGTCGCGCGACCGACCGCTAGCGCTGGCCTGGGCGCTGACGACGGGCAGCGTGGTGCGCCTGGCGACGTTGCCGTTGTTGAGCGACAGCTCGACCAGCTGCTGCGCCTGCGCCGCGCCGGCGCTCGGGGCCGGCGCCAGCTGCTGTGCCGGACCCAGGCCCAACGACTGGATGAACGGCACCATCGAGGCCGGCGGCTCGCGCATCAGCCGGATCTTCTGCACCATCTCGCGGATCTCGTAGCGCAGGATGCCCAGGAAGCACAGCTTGGTGAAGGCTATCACGCAGAAGCCCAGCACGAACAGCAGGTCGGCCGTCTGGCGCAGCCAGTCCAGCAGCGGCGCCTCGCAGCCCCTGGTCGCGGGCTTCTGGCAGGTCTCCGGGCCGCCGGCGCCGGTGGCGTTGGCCCGCTGGCCGGCCTGCTCCTCGCCGGCGCCCGGCGTCGAGCCGTTGCCGCCCGCGGCCCAGCCGTCGAGGCTGAGGCTCGCCGGCGCCGGCTCCGCCGCCGGGCAGCAGCTCTCCGGCCAGAACTTGTCGAAGTCCAGCGGCCCCGTCACGCCGCAGCACTGGTACTGGCGCTGCAGCTGGTCCCACTGCTCGCTGAACCTCGTGTCCTTGGCGTACTCCACCTGTGCGATCGAAAACCAGCCGGCCTTGTTAGCCGGTTTCGGCATCACCGCCCCTACCCCCGCCCCGTCGCCTCTCCACTGCGCTACCCCTCCTCGCCTTCGCCCTCGCTTTTGTTGCATTTCAGTCCGCACGAGAACCCACTGATTTCGCTTTTCACTTTTTTATCCTGCCGATTGTCGCGATGATAATGAAGCTTCGCGTTCTTCATTTCAGAGCAATATTCTTTTCAAGTGAGAGTAAGCTTAAAACTTCCCGAAGCATTTTATTCTCGAGCGCCCGAGTTTGCTCTTGCGCAATCATAATAACTGCAAAGTACCTTCAGTTACTCGGCTTTAATTTCAATTTCAAACAGTGACATATCTCTTTCATTGCCAGCGTTTGCAGTTTGTTTACTCAAAGGAACGTCAGATTATAAAATGGTGACGAAATGGCTCCTCTCCGTTTAAAATGTATTTTTCATCAATTTTCCAAACATTTTATTACGTTCAATTACTCTAATAACGATGTTGATTTATATGTATTGACGATAGAGCAGCTTGCAGTCAATGAAAAAGTTAACACCGTGACTTTCGATATTTTTTACCGTGCAATCTGCTTTCCAACGTTTTTCAACTGTTATGGGGCAGTTTAGTATTTTACTCCAATTTTTCTCTATATTTATAGGCATACTACGTGTCGAACGCGTTCGTAATTCAACCAACGGGTATCAATTTAATCTTAAGTGTAAAGTCGCTGCTGTCACAATATTTTATAAGTTTCTTTTTTATTCAATGTGAAAAACTTTTAAATGTAAGTATTTTATCTAGGAAGTAATAAATTAATTTTTTCATTTATTTGTTGTGACAATAGAAAATAATTACATTAGGCTAAGAGCAGCCGTCCGTTAGAGCTTTCAGCTGAAAATATCAATTTGAAAAACGGATTTTCCTTGACTCCAGAGGATTATTATGTTCAGTTGTAGATTATTGCGTCACTTTATTCAATTTTTCAAAAGGGCATTACTTGATTCATATTAACTGCAATAAGATATTTAATTTCATGAATTTTAAGACTATCAACATTTTAGTGTCTCGTTTTAAACGAAGTTCACTACTTCATTAAGTTGCATTATTCATTAACTTTCTTTTTAATATTTTAAAAACATGGCGTTTTTCAATATTACAATAAAAAACATTTATATAAAAGTCAAAATAGGACATTAATTATAAGCGGATTATTCAATAATTACTAAGAAAGTCTCAGAAATCGATCTCGAGTAAGGCAATCGTGAGATACTAGTAATTTGTAATTGAATTCATTTTTTGGAGATAAAGATACACACACACACACACACACATATATATATATATATTGAATTAAGAAGAAATTGAATTAAAATTAGGGTTAAGCTGATTCGGTCTTCTGGATAAGCCTGACTGAGAAAAATCAATGGATTTGTAATATTCAGTCAAGCTTCATTAATCGTTCGTGGCGAAGCGAGCGGCTGTCATGCCATTTCTGTACATTCAGCGCATTCAGACTCGGCGTTATAACTTATCATTGTCCGTATCTAAATTATAGGCATCTTATCCGTGGCATCATCACAGAAGTACAAGCGATATTTAGTTATTAACACTGCTATAATCCTTTACCTTGGCACCATTCGAACATTTTTTAATCGCGTCACACGGAGTGGCTCTAATCATTACGTGCATCTGATGACACAGTTTCATCAATTCGACCGCGCGAAAACTCATGTTTTCTAACCGTGTAAAATTGTATATCGAACGAACTGGTTAAAGAAAGAACTTTTTGGCCTATTTCGTGAAAATTGCGACGCCTCAACGAGATGCAAATGACAAAGACGCTCCAGAGTCCAGCTTTTCCACGCGAAGCTTCATCGCGAGACTGGCGTCGCGCGCGATCGTCGCAACCCTCGACCGAAGCCGAGTCGCGAGCGTCCGGAAGAAGCGAGCGCGGCGGGCACGCACCTGGAGCCTGATGCGCAGGCTGGGCCTGAGCTCGTCGCGCATCCGGTTGAAGCGGAAGACCCAGGCGACGCCGAGCACCGCGTCGCCGGCGAGCAGCGCGAACAGGATGACCCAGTAGGCGTTGAGCAGGCGCACGCTGAGCCGGCGCGCGGCCACGCAGCCGAGCAGCTGCACGAGGCCCAGCTGCACGGCGAAGGCCAGGTAGGCGTAGAGCGCGCTCGGGTCATGGGCCCGCGGCACGCCCGGCACCAGGTAGCGGCGCAGGTCGCCCGAGAAGAAGAGCGTGTGCGAGACCGCGGCCGCGAAGCCCAGCGCGCTGCACAGCAGCACCAGGTTGCAGGCGTAGATCCAGAGCCGGTAGTAGCGCATCGCGAGGCCCCCGGCCGCGGGGCTCTGCTGCTGCGGCTGCTGGCCCGCAGCCGCCGCCGCCGCCGCCGCCGCCCCGGCCGCCGCCCCGACCCCGGGCCCGGCCCCGGTCGCGGACTTGGGCCCGGCGCCGCCGCCAGCGCCGCCGCAGCCGCCCGCCCCGGCGCAGGCCGCGGCTGCAAGCGCGAGCGACAGGTGAGCCGCGCGAGCGGTGGGCCCGGCCGAGGCCGAGCGCCCACCTACCTGATCCGCAGGCGGCGGCGCGCCCGCCGGCGGCCGCGTGCTTGCGCGCGCCCTTGTCGGCCGCCTGGCCGCTGCTCAGCCCGCCGCTGCTGTAGTCCTCGTAGCCGCTGCTCTCGCGCTCCAGCGGCTCCGCGTGCTCCTGGATGTCCAGCAGGATGAGGAACGGCGGCTCGGCGCTGCTCTGCGCGTGCTCGGCTGTCTTCTGGCTGTGCGTCAACTGCGGGGTGGCCGAACGTTGCAGCAGCATCACCGTCATGCTACCGGGGCTCCCTGGGCACTCGCCGCGCGTTACTCCGATGCCTCCTTGCCTCGCCTCGCCTCGCCTCGCCTCGCCGCTACCCGCGCCGCATCCTCCCGCGCCTCAGCTGCGCAGCATAGCCTGCAACCGAGCAACGCCTCCGTCAGTCGACGCCTGCTCCTGGGAGTTTTCTCCTCGCAACTCCCGACCCTCCTTCGCATTTCTAATTTGTCTTTCCTCCTTTTCGAGCGCCTATTGCCCTCGGCTCCTCGAGTTTCAATAGAAAACCATCGCTTAAATAATAATTAGACCCCACTTTAAAGAAGCAATTCATCCGAAAAGTTGTATATCTAATAACCGTAAATAACGGCATGTTATAACCAGGAAACAATATACGCATAAATACTCGCTAAACTACGCGGCTCTAACTTTTTTCAAGTTTTTTATGCACGGCGATTATTACCGGTGGTACAATAGTAGGCAGTCGGCCGATCGAAAAGCCGTCGGGAGACAAGATTTAAAGTCACGGTAACTGCCACTGCAAACCTGAAAGTACCGTTAAAGTAAACGCTCGAACCTTTCTTTCTTTCTTTGTAACAATCAAGGCAAAATAATGATTGCAAAGAATTTTTTAACTTTTCTTAACCTGTTAACCGAGCGGGACGTATAAATACGTCAAAAGTAAACAATATCGGGTACGGGTAGGAGATATGCATACGTCCTCGATATTTATATTGCGCCCTGGAACAGGTGGGACGTATATTTTAGTACTACTATGGTAATACGTTATTCATACACGTCTTAGTGGAAAAGAACGCGCCCGTTATATGTTGCGTAATTAGAAAGGGATTTCCCCGGTTAACAGGTTAATATACCTGTAAACAACTTTTCAATTGATCTCGAATCGGAGAAATGCCTTTGTAAAAGCATAAACTGTTTACCAAAAAATTCTTCCCATCATATGTTACGAAGCGTTATCGATTAAATTTAAAAAAATTTCCAATTATAGTCCGACTATATATGTAATAACAGTTTATTTTATGCTGATCGAAGGCCGTCTTTCAATTCTTTCTCACTTGTTGTTTGTGTAACAATAAAATAAATGGATGACAAGTTACTTATATGTCCTCTACGAAGCAAATCTAGGAATTACATTTATGTACAGAAAGCATGGAATTGAAAAATACTCAAGCTTTCGTGCAACTTGAATTAAAAAGCGTGATGTTGCTAACCGCGATGCATACCTGTGGATTTTACTTTTAAAATATGCAACTGAAGCTTATGCCAGCTTGTCTACGTTTGTCTTTGCTGCGCGTGGCCTCGTTCGCTTAATTCATTTTTAACATTCTACGGTTAATCAAATAACCGAAGCAAGAGCTCCATTGATTGTTGTCTATTGACAATGATTATTTAAGATTTAGCTGCGTCGTGTTGTCAATTAATAATAAAATACCTTTAGCGAAAAAACTAAATAACAAAGAAAATTTATGCATACGGTTATCAAGCTTACATTTGTCAAGAAACTTTTAGGGCTTTTCTTACTTAAGTTGGAAAGTTTTTGGAAGATAGACTGAGATCATAAATGGAGAATATGTACCGAAATGTATGTAGGGTATGAAGCTCGTAGGGAAGAAAAAGGAGGGAAGAGCGGGGCTATAAAAATAAGAAATAGTCCGGTTGCTCTGGAACAGAGAAAGAATGGGAAAGTGGTAGCCGTATGACGGTGAATTCGGAACTTTAATGATGCACACACGAAGGGCTTTTACGCAAGACTGAAAATAGAATAAAGACAGGCCGTAACAAAGCCGGTCTTGGGCTCTTTAGCACATTCATAACCACGTGAAAAAAAAGCAAAGTCCCACACCTCGGGAACTTTCACTCGGCCTTTTTTCCTTGTCGCTTTGAGTACGTGCATGCAAAAGCCCGCGTGGCATGCTCTTTTTTGCGCCGCGCGCTTCCGTTCCCTTTGTTCCTCGAACGCCTTGCTTACGGCCGTGGGTGTTTAAAATGCATACAGTACGTCACACTGATTGCTATCTGAATTTAAAAACAAATTGAAATGAAGGCTCCTTGTGCTGTCGAGCTCTTTTTTCACTGGCGCCTTTTATTTTACTCGGTGAAACATTGCGCACCATTGCTTCAACAGTGACAAGGCTACCTTGCTTTTCGCCTGCCTGACTTAACATTGTCCGATACTACTGATAAGTCTCATTTTCGCTCAACGCCATTTACTTTGCAGCTGCATCATCCTTTTAATTCATTCTATTCGTTCACATGAGAATCATTCATTACTGAAAGTTATCTAGCTGCCTTTCGTTTTCCAACCTAATTCATATTTTGATTTTATTAACACGCACGGATACCCACTACAAGATAATACATAAGAACAGGCCTATAGTAAATTAACAAAAATTAACAATTCATTACTTGCATCATGTGAAATGTACGAAGCCTTGTTTTTAATTAAAAGAGCTCTTATTATTAATGTGTTGGCGACATTTCCAGTCACGTACAACTCATCAATTTCTAGGATCTCCTCCCTACCTCATCCCTCTACACCGTGGTATACGGATCTCTTTTCAAAGTCAATTAACATGATAATGGTAAATTAAAAATAAAATGATAATTATAATTCAGTAAAAAATCTAAATAAATACTAATCGGGTTATAAATATCGAAGACGAAAGTTTGCGAAATAAAACTACTGGGACCATAAGAAGACGGGCTTTGAAGAAGAGAAAACACTGTTAAAATTAAGATGCTGCAAGACGTGTAAAGAGAGAAAAGCAACGAAAGCCACACGTAATTTATTGAGTGTGTGGCAGCGACGAAGAAAACATTGAACACTTTTGGCACTGCCAAAATATAACTACATGATGATACGACTACATACTAAAAGCACGAAGATTAGACGAGCTGAAACGAGAGAGCATCAGCTGAAAATTAATGCGAAATAGTACACGTTCTTAATAATGATAGGTCAAAGGAATTCTTTAAAAACGTTTTAATAATAAATTAAGAAGTTTAAAGAATCAACATGCATTTTATTGGGAATCTACGATAGCATTATTTTTGAAGTTGTATCCGTTTATTTAAAGTGAACGTGAAACTGAAGACGAGGTGAGATAAATTTGAGACGATCGTCGATTATGTAACGACTAAATTGGAGAGATTTGTCGTAAAGGGTAGGAAATAATCTTAAAAGAGCACACAAATTGTCGAGCATATATAGGTTACTTAACGCTTTCATTAGACTCGCGCGCGCGCGCAAGGATTTTCACGCGGCGTTTAATTTAGGTTACGACTACATTTACGGCTTTTATAAGTTTACCTTAAGAAACGATTCTCCTTAAATTTTAACGTTCGCGGAGGTCGCTAGAGCGTACCGGCTCGAGGAGCAGCAGATTCCTGCGAGATAGCTTGTCGCAAGCGAGAGCCTGATGGATGAACAGTCGAGCAGCAGTCCGAACCTATGGCTGCATTGAACATCGAAGGGCTCGTGCTGGAGCTGAAGATAACGAGTGGAATATCTGGCACGAATTCGGGAGTTCCAGGAGCAGGAATTACGACTGTTGACTCGGCTGAAAGCGCGTTCAAATGAGTGATTGTCAGCGCGCGAATGGGCTTGCAGTCGTTAGAACGTGCAAGTTTCATTGTGCTTGGTGAATTCCATGGGCCCAGCGAGACGCCAGACAACGAAAGCCAACGAACTCCAGTGACTCTATTCTGGATCTTTTCCCTTCTGCTTCCTTTATTTCCTCCTCCGTCTGGGGAGAAAGGGCGCGGAAGAGCGCGCCATTGGTATTTCATTGGACTTTGGTTGAGAAAAATGACTGTTAGTCGAGCGACGCCAGGAGAAGAAGACAAACGAGGAGGCTGGCTTATCATTTGTCGGGAAGTATCGGAGAACTGGAAAACAAGGCTCTATTGATTCTCCAGTAACGGCGCTGTTTCCGAGGGAGACCTCGTTATAGTTATTCCATTGGAGAAGCGAGGCTGAAACGAACAGAACGGAAAAAAAGGTGAAGCCTGACGAAGCGTTTGGCAAAGTCGGCAGCGCTGCTATTAAGCTCTGTGCGCAGGCAGCAGTCGGCCGTGCATAACGTCACTCGACGATACCAGCTGCCATTCGAAAAGGGTCAAGTTGATTGTTCGCGGAGGCTGGCAGCCAGTGTTTGCGCTGCGAAGCGCATTCGAGCAGCGGCGAGATTCACTTGATCGTTCAGTGGGTTTGCTCGCTGATATAAGAGCGCCCTGCGCTATTTGCTCGGCACACTCGATCGATCCGATAGAGCACAGACACGCTCTCACAGGACAGAGCGAAAGAGCGAGAGGGGAGAAACAGCCCCCGGCCGAACAGTCGACACTGCGCTCGAGTTACGATTATAGGTTATAGTCGCGCGCGCGCGTTTATTAATATCTTGACTGATAGGCCTATTTCCGGGCCACGTATCTTTGCCCCCCGAAACCTACATGGATGTTAGTTCTTATATATAGCTCCTTAGGTATTATCGATTACGTGACATAAATACGGGCTTTCTTGTCGCAGCTTTGCAAATGGATGTTTTTATCGAGCAGAGTATGCCGCCGAGTGCTACGCGAAAGTGTCATTCCACCGCGGGAGCCGGATCTGTGCGCACGGTCGTGTGTTCTGGGCGGCGTCGCTTAATTTCTTCAAAGGCGGACAGCGCCGAGTGGCGTTACGGCTTACGAGTGCGCACGTCCACTCGAGCACGTGTGGCTCGATAAGTAAACGAGGTAACGCGATGAAGAAAGCCCGCAAAGGGAAGCTTACTGCTTTCCGCGCGGTTGCTGCTACATCGACTGTGCAAGGGCCTCGCATTCGCGAACTTAACCTCGTTAGCGATTCTCAGTGATCTCCCAATGTCTTTTTTCCCGTGGCACGATCGCGGCACACGCACGCGGACAACGGCTCCGTGGCGTTGGCCTTGTTCCTAGTTCGTGAATCCATTGCAGGATGCTCACGGTTTTTGTTGCGCGCCTCGAGCACATTGCCTCGGAAGACGAAAGAGGCTGCCAGCTGGCTACAGAATGGACGAAAATTTCTGTGCAAACTCCCTTTCACAGGGGAGCCCCGCGGTAAAAACAGAGAGGGAGAGGGAAGCTCGCTGCCGACTAGTAAGCAAAGTAAGCAAACCAAGCGAAGCGCGCCTAAGAGTCAAAGGCTGCTTAGCCGCGCAGATCCGATCATCGCGCGACTGCGATGATCATCGACTCGCGGCAATTTGCAAGACAGCTATGTCGTTAGCCTTCAATTTCCAAGATCGATCAATTATCTGAAAGCTAGTCCCGCTTTGATTCTCGCTACGTTGCGATAAGTATCGATCGCAAATGCGCGATACGCGTCAATTGACGCAAGCCCGCCAATTTAAATTATTGCCACGATCATTCTGCTTGATTCGTTGGCTTGAATCGCGCGTGCCTGCCGTCGTTCACCGCGCAAAGCTCCAGTAAAACTCATATATCGCGCTCTTTCATTACTCTAACTTTTATCAGAGAGCGTGCACGCAAGCAAAATTGTCTTGGAAAGTTGCTGCAAAGCGCGCCTGCTACAGACGGCTGCGCAATACTGAAAAATGCTTGCGCTATTCCCTCTAACAAGTCTTGAATATTTTAACGTCCGGCGCGTTAACGCTCGCGTCAAAGTTTCAGCGTCGTTCGCTCAATCGTTCGGAGCAAAGCTTGGCTTTGAATGCCATGAGTTTTCAAATCTAAATGTAAAAACTCTATTGATCGTTGGCCAACGTAAAATAGTCGCTTCGACAGATTTTAAGCGTCTAATGGAAATGAATTAAGGGGAACGCCCATCCGAAGCTCCACGTACAGGTAGACCGCCGCTCAAAGCTCTTCCGAGTAGAGCTTTAATAAAGCAGGTCCACTTCCTTGCACGAGCGCCAGTCACTCCACGCTCGACGCTATCGCATCAATCTACCTCCATCTTCCGCCTCCTTCCCACCCACCTTACCACCTTACCCACCGGGACTGTCGTCCTTTACTTTGCGCGCATCTATTTCTTCCCATCTCGCTCTCTTTTTATCTTGTCTTCTCGCTTCTACAGCCTCGCGTCCAATATCCAACTTGCGCGAAGCGACCTTTAATGTCCAGAGCTCTGCCGGCGCATCAATCTCCTAGCCACCATAAGAGCAACATGCGCTTCAGCGGAAAACAGATAGCGATGAGCAGATAACAAGGAAAATATCACTCAACTTCAAAAACCAATGGTAACGTTGAGCGAGAAGAAAGCGCGGAATAAGCCCGGAAATTTCGTGAAAAGCTTTCACTGCTTTCGGTCTCGTTTCGTTTGGATTCCGAGAGATTTCATCGATAATCCTCGGCGTAAGCTTTCACGCAAAAGAAAAAAAAAATACTCAACCATCAGAGCGGCCGACGAACGATTTCGAGGACACTTCAAAGCTGTCTTTTCCGAGTGCGTTTTTTCAGCTCTACTAACGCCGAGCAGCCTCTTTGATTTGAAGGACAATACCAAAGATTTTCTCTCGCAATTCATCGTTTTCTCCAATCTCGACGGATATTTCAAAAGTGAGTTTGCCATTAGAGATTCGTTCTTTCAAAAGATTTTTATGAAAAATAAGCTCTTGCGCTTTCAAAAGTTAACGATTGTTTGAAACGCTTCCGTTTCAAATAATGGAATGATTCAATGTTTTAGATTTCATTTGTTCCTTTTAGTATCGAAAAATTAATCGACGAACTACAGATTTAATTTATGAAAATAAACAGTCTCCAAAAAGATTCAATATAACAACATTATAATAAAGATTATCTTACCGGCAATTGTTCAGGCTGAGCAAACATTGAAACAAGCCATAACGAGTATATCTGAAGTATCGTAGATTTGAGTTGGGCCAATAATGCGTTATTCACAATTAAAGACAATAACATGAAAATTACGAGGGCGAGAATGAAAAATGGTTTGACTACCATCCTAAACCCAATAGAAAATCATTCTATGTTTGGGCTTATATCGTTTAGAAAGGCTATTTTCGGGTGTCGTGAACATTTTTCAAATAAAAGATATAGCCGTACCCACGATGTTTTGGCCCTACATAGGACTTGACGAAGGCACTAATATTGATAAATTGAAAGCGCAGAAGAACGTTGAACTTTATAAATGACCAATGAATACCAATGAATAATCAAGCTATTATATTTGTAGATGGTATTGACTATTCTTATCGAAAGCGTTTGCAAAGAGACGTACTTCAACCCAGCAAATAGTACAGATAAAATAGACAAAGAGAATTCAACAGAATGTATTGAAATATGACGGAAGAATAAAATTCAACGGTGCATTCGAATGTTACAAGAGTAGTGCCTCGATGCTTAGGTTCCAAGTAAAGCACAATGAAAAAAGAGGGAAGTTCGTGACTTGACAGCGAGCTATATATAGTAACCAACATAAAATCGGAGATTTTGTCGGCCGGCAAGACAATAAAGTCGTTTTATATTTGGCCAGCGGCAGAAGTGCGAGAAGCAAAAAATCGCAGAATTGCAAATGAGCAGAGATTAGGTGGGCAAGGAGGGAGGAATCGGATAACGGAGTCGAGAGAGAAACGGGTACGCGCTGTCCCGCGGCCTCGACGTTCGCAGGCAGGATCACGCCAACGCGTTAAAAGTCTCGAAAGTTTGTTCGTCTGCCGAGGTTGCCGATGACGCAATGGCAGACCCGGCCCGCCCGACGCGTGATCGCGAACAGCTTCGGTTGCCGTTATCGGGGCGCTTGCTCTTCTTTTTCCGCGGCAACAGCCCTTCCCTGCGGAGCGACGCCCTCGAGACGGTAAAACACCCGCGGGCCGCGCGCGTCGACATAGCCTGATGGCCTTCGCCTGTTCACGTGCACACACCTCTCTTTGCGGCTGCGCGCGCACCTTCATTTACATCTAAATACCCCTTGCCCAAGTGTCGTCCACTTGTCGGCAATTTCGCGTGGGCGAGTCGGACAAGGGGAAGCGAAACCAAAATCGCACGTTCGCGCGAGTGCGACGACGAGAGCGCGCACACCTTTCGGTTCAGACCTCCGGACCTCTCGTGCATTTGCCCAACAAGTGCACTATTGCAGCTTCGCGCAAACTACACGCCACCCACGCGAATACCTTTGGAGTTTCTCGTCGACCGCGATTGCAGCGAGTAAACGCGTCACCGTTGCGTTGTCTTTTCTCGCGAAGCAGCTACTGCTAACTCGTTTGCCTGTACGTTTACCTGCTTAGATAGCTGTTTAATAATGAACGCGTAACGCAACCAATGTACTCACAGCTGACAAGCTGTAGCAAATAACGAGGAGTCGTGTATGTCGAGGAGTCGTCATGTCGAGACCGCAAGCTTGCAAAGGACTCGTGAAACTGGGTACCTTTACTCTGATCCGTGCAGTGCTACCGACTCGGTTCTCAATGGGCACGGACATGGACGAAGATTGGATAGCGAAGAGCGAATCGGATTGCATTAACGGCTGTGTCAAGTGGAGCTTAATGTAGCTTGATTTCATCGGAAAACGGAGAGAAAAAGAGAGAGAGAGAGAGAGAGAGAGAGAGAGAGAGAGAGAGAGAGAGAGAGAGAGAGAGAGAGACAAATCTCGGTGGAGATTTTGCGTGGAATCGCGGATCACCGGTTGATTAGCGCGCGTGGCGCGGTACATTCGGCGATCCGCGGAGCGCAGGCGAGGTACTCGCGCAGCCGCACGAAAGGCAGCGGCAAAGCGATTGATACTCGACAAGGGAGGATAAATTGGAGGCCACGCGAGAGCGGAGAGCGGAGAGCGGCGGGCTGGAGCTTGCGGGCGAGACGATGCTCGCGAATGCGGCGCGCGACGCAAACGCGGACGGACAGCCGGCGCCTACGCAGCGCTGACGAAGCGGAGGCGGCGAGGGAACGAGGTCGGCCGAGCGGTAGCCGGGCGACGCATCGGGCGCCCGAGAGCCGCGCCGCTGTGCCGTGTCGCTGGGCCGGCCGCCGCGCGAGCCCTGGTCATCTCGCGCTGGACCGCGCGGCTGGCGTGCCGACGCCGGGCGCGCGCAACCATTCGGCCGGGCGATCGATCGGCCGGGCCGCAGGCGACGTCGCCGAGATTCGAGCGCGGTGGGCCACGGAGAGGCACACGCAGAGAGCTACGAGCGTCGGCCGGCGCGCTACTCCGAGGCTACTTTGCGCCCCCTCTGATCGATCGCGCGCTCAGCCCCGCCCCGACTCGCGCGCGCCGAGCCTTGCACATTCGTGCAGCAGACTGGCGCTGTCGACGAGAGGGACGCGCAGCCAGTCGCCCTGTCGCCCTGTCGCCCTGTCGCCCTGTCGCCCGCGCACTTCGAGTACGTCGCTCGATGCTCGTTCGATCGAGCCACGCGGGGCCGATCGCGGCCAGCCCTCGCCCACTCCGGACTAGGCTCTCCGCCCGGCTGCTCGAGCCGCGATCGCCGCGGATAGACGGATAGACTCGTTCGTCGAGGCGCTTGATGAGGCTCGACTCGAACGAGCTCTTTGACGACGGGAGATTACGAGCCATGTCATTCGTAATTCATGGAACGATACGGCCGCTTTACGAGATACTCAGCCCGGAGAGCGGCAGCCTAGAGTGCTTTCCCGCGGCGATCAGCGACGGCCCGTGCGCCCGAGCGACTCTTCGTAAAATATGTAAAATATGGCTTTGACGACAGGCAAGAGCCGCGCGCGCGCGCGCTAATGATCCAACGAGGCCACGGCGATAGGCCGCGCGTAACTCTGCAGATCAATCGGCTGTCCCCGCGATTGCCTCGCTCGCCGGTGGCCTTCTGCTCTGCAGGCGAAGACGATCGCGCGCGGACCGAGCAGCCGCGGAAGCAGCGTCTCTCGCGGAAGTCGTGGGGGTGCGACTACGCCGACGTAGCTGGATCGGCGGCAGCTCCTCCAACCTCCGTCGAGCCTTGCTGCTCCCGTTGGCCCTTCCGCCCGATCAGCTGGCCGCGCAAGGCCCAACGGGCGACCGACCGGATCCCACCGGGGTCCCCGCTGCAGCCCCAACCGAACCAATCGCGAGGTACGCGCGCGCGCCTAATACGCGCGTGCTCTCGTTTCGCGTGTCCGTACCCGCGCGGCCGAGCTGGCCCATTGCCGCGCTGCTCGAGCTGATTACCGCCGCTGACGCCGCTGCCCTGTGCGAGTTTTGCCGCTGAAAGCTGCTTTCTTTATCCGATTATCGACCGCATGCAAGCTTTCAGCTCGATATAATGTTAACAGCGGCGAGTGCCCGCCGCCTCGGCAATGACGGAGCCGTCTGGCCGTGCCGACGAGCGTTCGCCTCGGGCACTCGTAGCGGTCTATTTGTGTATTTTGCGGTATCGGCAGCAGTCGGCAGAGGAGGCCAGTCTGCTTCTGCGATGCGCCGGAATGCACGAGCGCAGATCGACAATGGAACGACGACCACCGCGCGCGAGGTGCATCGGGCGAGAGGGCTCGCTAAAAATACCGACTCGCCTCCCGTTCGCTCGGCTGCGTTTATCAATCTTTCGAATCTATCGCTTCGGCGCCCGCTGTGCACTCGACCGAACTCGCCGCTCTTGTCCCGCAGCTTCGGCCGGAGAGCTGCTGCGAATTCGACAAACGGACTGCACGCCCCTGTGCGACTCCTCGCAAATGTAACCGGGCAGCTAGTCGAGGTCGGACCACGACGATCGAGCACCTTGCGCTGGAACGAGGCTGGCACTGGCAGTCATTGTCCGGAGCTAACGAAGCCGAGCCCCTCGTGGAGCTAAATAATAACCTGGCGAGAGTTGTACGATGCCGCGTTAATGAGAGCCGCATCGGAGTAAGCGAATTAATTGCCTCGAAAGCAGAACAATGCAGGTGCAGGCTACGCAGTAATGACCACCATTGTGCAGAGCGTAGACTGGGCCAGGCGGATGACTCGCCACCGTTACTAAGATAATGCGAGCGGAAGCGAAGAAGGCTGGCACAACGGCGAGCGGCTGAGAAGGGAAGGAAAAGAGGGCTTTTGGCTGGCAGCCGCGCTGCACGGCGAACGATCGACCTTTCGCCTGGGAGGCGGAGAAGAGCGGCCGCGAAAAGCGCGCGCCCGGACGGCTGCCGACGGAGCAGACAGCGGCTCGCGAGCGCCGCGGAAGAAGGGCTAAAAAGTGGCGTAGCTCTCGCGGGGGCCGCGACGAAGGAGGACGGCGGGGAGGGAGGCCGGGCGCACCGTTACGCAACCCGACCTTCCCGCCGCGCGCACCGCGGAATCCACACTCGACGTCGTCGTCCGCCGCGGTCGCCGATGACCCAACGCGAGCGCGCGCCCCCCGGCTCCCCGCGCCGCTCGCCCGGTCAGCGATTGGCGACGCGCCGGCGGCGGCTGGCGGCTCCGGCGCCCACGTGAGATCGAGCTGCCTGCCGCGGCAGGTGGACAGCGACGGGAGGCTGGCTGGCTGGCTGACTGGCTGGCGCAGCCGTAGGCCCGGAAATACCAACCTTGAGCGAGGGCGGCGCCTTGGTCCTCGCTGCGCTGCGTCACCGTCTGCCGGGGCGCGAAGCGATCAGTCGCACTTTGTCGATGCACTCGCGGTCAATCCAAAGCTGCTCGCTACTCGAGCACTGGGCGATCACGATGAACCGATACGGCTGCCGACGTTCCGCCGCTGCATGCCGTCATCCGGGGCTTCGCCGACGCGAGAGCGAAGGCAGCAAAGACGTAGTCGGAGATCGGGCCGGAAAAAGGGAGAGAGAGAGAGAGAGAGAGAGAGAGAGAGAGAGAGAGAGAGAGAGAGAGAGAGAGAGAGAGAGAGAGAGAGAGAGAGAGAGAGAGAGAAGAGAGCGCGAGGAACAGACGGACGAGAGGAGGCGGAGAACGACGGAGGACGGCAGAGGAGAGAAGAGAGCAGAGAGAGAGAGAGAGAGAAGGGGGCTGTGGGTGTCACGTCACGTCGATCATGTTGGCGGAGCCGCCGTGAGCTGGGAGAGGGCAGCGAGTGCGCGGCCAAGACTCGCTGGGGCAGCGGAGACACGAGAAGACGCACTCGGCGGCGCGGATGCTGCGGCTGCGGCTTCGGCTGCGCGGGACGGGGCCGAGCATCGCCCCAGCAGGGCTACTGGTCAGCGGCGTGCCATCGAGCTCGCTGCCTCGGGGCCTCTGGGCCTCGACCTCGAGCTGTCGCTGCTTCCGCGCTCGAGCGCTGGGCTTGGCTGCTGTGCTGGCTCGGCGCTGTTGCTGGCGCTGCTGCTGCTGCTGCTGCTGCTGCTGTTGCTGCTAGCCCAGTGGCCGCGAGCCGACGACTGCCTGCGTGCGAGCGACGCAAGCCGCGGCCAGAGCGCCTGCGCCGCGCCGCCACGCGACACGACCCTCCGACGTCCCGGCTCCGTCGCGTGCCCGCCTGCCCGCCCGCCCGCTCGCCTTCGCCGCGCGAGACCGAGCGAGAGCTTCGTGCCGACTCCGGCCACTGCTCGGTGTCGCACGTCCCGGCACCGGGTCCGCGCCGATTCGCTGCGCCTCGCGCCCACTCGGCCCGCTACGCTTCCGTCCTCCCTCGGCTCGCTCGTCTCACTCGTCTCTTGCCGCCGGACGCCTGCGTTTCGCGCTGCCTTTCGCGCTCCACGCAAAATCCTTCCGATTTGCTTTCCTTCGCGCCCGCAACCAACGCCGAATACGCTTCTGCCGTCGAGTTAAAAATATCACGCGAACGACATTCCGCTTCGTTTGTCACCCCGACTGTCTATTTTGTTTTCCGACCGAGCAACTTATTTTGCTTTTCATGCGCCAACTGCTGTAGCCACGAAACATTCCGCAACTTTTATATCGATGATTTACTGCAAACTGTTGAAAGGCAATCCCATCATAAGACCAAAACTTTTCCTCCCCGTACGTCTAGTTAAACAAAGTTTGCAGACTTGTAAACAACTTTTATTGATTAGGCTCGTTCAGCTCAGGTACTCCGATGATCATTTGGCAGCGTGCTAAAGCAAACAGCTGTGCTTGCGGCAACTTTAGAACAAAATATACCAAAGATAAACGCGATCGTGTTATGCTGTCTTTCCACTGTAATACCAAAGAATAATACGAAAAAAACTTTGAAGGATGTTCAAAACTCTACTTCATTTAGAAAAGCATGTACCGAAATATCCGGGAGCACAACAATCTGTATTTTTTCACCAAAGTGGATGTTTATGGCTTTCCAGTCACATTACACCTACACTCATGCTACTGACCTACAAAGTAACGTATTTTTACTGAATCGCTTCATCCTGCAATTTTGAAGAACACTTTTGAACAAAACAATTGTAACTCTTGTTTTACTCGTATTTTAATATGTCTTTTTCGAATCGACTAACTTTATGCGATAAATGTTTCAAATCAATGCAAGTTCAGAAGTACTTAAAAGTTACAATATTTACTTAATTCCGAAAAGAGCTTTTTTATTTGTTGTTTTTTCTCGTAATTGGGTAGACCTCGTGAAAGCCTGTATATCATCTTGAATTATTTCAATAACTTGAGTCGTATTCGTTATACAAAAGTTGTTGCTAGTAATATGGAAACACAACATATTTGCAATTAATATTGACCACGTATTAGATAAACTTAGATTTAGCCCAGATCCGCGGGAATACCGAAAACTGCTTATATTTATATTATGCTAACTGATAATAATTCTTACAGTTAATTTGTTGTCGAGTCGAACTAAAAATATTTTCTGATAAACATTTCTTTTTAAATATAGCCATGTACGCAAAACATCAACAGATGCAAATTTAAAGAAATATCCTAAGACGCTGTAATTTCACGCAAAAGCGATCTTTCTTTGCGTGAATAAATCAAAAAGGCATATGCCCCGCTTTATCGGAAACTAATAGGCGCTTCAACGTATAATAAATGAGAAATGTACGTATCGGGAGCCAAAAATTACCGCGATAAATTTTGCGACGGGAAGCGTTCGATACAAAAATAATATATGAACAAACTGGTGCTGCTCGACCGATATTTATGTATATATATTTGTCTTCTGGAATTTTTCACGAGTCACCGCAAGCTTAAAGTCGTGCACTTCGTTGCCGGAAATGGCCCGTCGGAATAAGCTCCCAATGCCACTCTGATTCCCTCTCTCGTTTGCGAAGCTTTTATTTCATTTTTCCCAACTGTCCTTACTTCTTCTCCTCACGTTTTCAACTGCTCTGCCGAGAGATTTTACGTGCCGAGAGAAATGACGCAATAAAAATTCATGATGGATGAAAAATCAATGCCCTGTGAGAACATTGTCGGTTATACCCTGCTCGCTCCGTTGCGACTTTCACGATTTACGAGTCATTGCTGCCGGTGTTCAAATTCGTAAAGTAGTTTATACCTGTGTGCGCTGTCGAAAAGTTCAATAAATTCAACCGAAACTTACTGTCTCTTTCAATACTCTTATAGCTATTTTCTCTCAAGTAAATTGACTTTCTTGATAAATTATCCAGGCTCAATGTTATTTACGTTTATTGTCCGTTTTATGTACGGACGAAAGTAAGAGTACCAATAAAAAATTTAAACTCGATATAAGAGCACTATTCAAGTTTATTTCTATTATTTATTATTTCATTACTCAATGAAGTTAGAAAAGTGCGGACGACATTATTAAATTTTATTCCTATAAACAGAAAATTAATAAAAAGGATCACATTAGACCTCGAACTGCATAAATTCAAACGAAATAAATACCCTATGAATAAACGAGTAGACCTTCTTATTTAATTTATTGAAGTATATGACTTGAATTAGTATTATTAGACTGCATTTTTCATCCAATTCCTTCAAATAAATCCTAAATATATTTATATCTTAAAACAATCCTCGTTAATGATTACAGATGAATGGCAGCACCTATAGGGGCGAGAGTCATCAAAGTTACGGTGGGGTTGGTCGAAACTTAGCGGTCGGCCTTATGAATCTTGGAATAAGTGATACGAAACTTTTGAGTGTGATCGGCAATGATGAGTATGGACAAGCCGTAATCGATAGTCTCGGAAACGCTGCATCAACTATTCGTACTTTGTCTGATATGGGTACCGCTCGGTTAGTATTGTTACAACTTATTTTTTTCACCGCGAACAATTCATAAAAATCTTAATAATGCTGAATTGGATAAATTTAATTTTTCATTTAAACAATAAATTTCAGGTACACGGCTATCGTTGATACAAACGGAAATTGTTGCTTTGGAATTGGTGAAATGGATGCATTTTTTAAAATTGATAAACAATACCTCCAAAGCCATGAAGACACTTTGAAGCAATCATCACTCATAGTAATGGACGGAAATGCACCCTTGGATGCCATGGCTTACGTTATCAATGTATCAATACAACATAGGATACCGAGTAAGTAACGTACAAGCATATTTTCTTCTCATATTTTTAATTTCTTTCCACAGTTAAAATACTTTTTCTTATAAAATCAGCGGAATTTCCTGACATGTATAGTAAATAATAATCATAGTTTTAAGGACGTTACCCTGAATCATCATACTTTGTCGATATAAAGTTAAATTTTCATAAAATAAAAAACATTATGACGACGTATGCTTGCTTGAAAATAAACTCAATGCTGCTTGCTTTATTAATTAAAAAATGCTATAATATGAAAAGTCATATTGTATCATAAAAGTACTGAATTAGAATAAACATAATCTCTCCGCGAGTCGCTTCTAAATAATATTTGTATCAAAGTTATTATAAGATATGCTCAAATTTTGTAGTATTATTCCATTAATGTTTTTTCTATTAATGTACCCAAACTTATTCATGTGTGTTATTTTTATCATAGTTTTTCTTCGTGTTATCAAGCCTTAAAAGCGCATATTAAATATAGCATTTTCAACTTCGAATTTCTGAGTATTTTGTATTATAACAAGTCAAAAAAATTACTGTAAAATGAAAACATTGAAAACTTTGATATTCCTAGTTTTCATTTAATAAAAGAGGGTAACGTCCTTAAGCTCATTGCGCTAATACTACTCGATAAAATACGTACGTTCCAACATGCTTCAAACAAGTCTCTTGCTATGGAGCTTATACAATAGCGTGGTTAACTTAACAAATTAAATATTTCAAAATTTATCGTTGCAATAATTTGTATAAAGTAGTCTGATTTTCTCATAGGCAGTCATTTTTCACTTTGTATTATTGAAAAGAAATAATACAGAAATCAAATATATTAAACATGCACATTTTGGACAAGCATTGTGTTATTTATATTTTACAACATTGTAAAGGCACTTAAAATATTAATCAATACACGCATGGTAAAAATACTACCTATGAGTTGCTTATTTATAAAATATAAAAGACATTTCGTCTTGAAACCACAAATGTATGTCCATAAAATTCTTAGTCTTTTATCACATAAGATATAAAATCGTGAATGTATGAAATTGAGTTATAATGGACAGATTACAATATTTTAAATATATAAAATTATATCTCAAGTCTTAATATATATTAGTGAAAATTCCATTGTTTAAATTTTCAACCCTACTTGTGTATTAAACAAAGGACACATATTTTAATCTAATAAATTCTTAGTATGAAAATGGACGGAACAAGTAATACTTGTACTTGATTATGTTGACTTTGTAAGACAACATACCTTATTACTACTCTTATAGTAAAAAGATTCATCAGAACTTCTTAGTCAATTTATCTTAAATGTAATTTGCTCGCTGTAACCCATGGTGAGTTTGAGGATTTGGCTGCATTTGCATAACCAAATTCCGAGATTCTCTACGTCTTCTGTAATTTGATCGAGCATCCAAATACAGGAAGAAAGCGCCAACTCCATGAAACATGAAAGATATTACACATAATCCATATGACCATGACAGGTGATTAAAGTTTGGATACATCATCCAATCTCTCCTCCAACATTGACCTCCAAAAATAGAAACCGCAAGAAATAGTAATGCACCTAGAAAATAAATAAAAATTTCTCAACACTCTAAGATTAAGATTTTTAAAGCTTGCAATTCTATGCTAAAAGACTTACCAGTAATACCATTACAAACACAAACAATACTTGATAGAAGCCATTCATTTTCCAAGACAAATTTTAAAGGGAATCTGATCAAAATTAATACTAGAACTATTTGACCAGCAAATGATAATAAGAAGCTAAGTGTGACAAATGTCTGGACAACCATGAGCCATCCTGGCAGTAGCCACTCTCGAATAACATAATATTCCTCAGAAAATATGTGATGGCAGCCATTAAATAATTTATCAAACTGATAATATGGATAACGGAAATTTTCAAAGCAATATTCCCATAAACCCATGTTTTTAAAAGTACTGAATGTTTCTACATATGATTGTATCCAGTAAGGACTGCAAGCAAAAATTACATGAATAGAGTGTTCAATTGCTCATATATCGAAACTTTAACATGATTGAACATACCTTGAAAATGCCATGAGCAAGAGCACACCTCCTGCATAAGTAATAATTCCTCCAAAGACAACAGCATCTAAGTTTAATTGTTGTTATTAGTAGTTCAGGTTAAGTTTCAATGACTTTATAAAGTAACTAGATGCTTTTATACTTACTGGATGCTCTTGGGTAATCACCGTTTTGACCCATTTTTTTTAATATTTGTATTTAATTCTTATCAATCCGTACTAAAGTACGGATTTTAAATTAAACTATTTTTTACGGTTGTTTATGCCTTATATTTGAGAGTAGTCATCAAACAAACTCCTCAGCCACGCCTCATCTCATGCCATGCATTCAGCGTTCAACTTAGTCAGTCTGTTCTGTTCTGTTCAGTGTGTCAGTCCACTTTTCACATTCATGGTTTGTTTTGACTAACAGACGAAAGAGGGCGACTACTGTCTGAATTAATTGATAATTTTTACGCATATCTAGATTAATTACTCTCCTCGACTTTCAAAAACTATTCGTTTATATTAACAAATTATTGTTAATGATAACCACCATAATAGTAATATGATTAGACGTTACAATTTTGAAATAATTGGTTTGAAATAATTATTTGATAATCAGAAGAAAGCTTTATTCATAAAAAAGTTTATACAACAATATTAAAATAATACTTACAAGCAATAAATCATTGATTACTTAAATATAATATAAACATTTTGTACTAATAACCATGGACGGATAATTAGAGTTTATGATTAAATCTACAGTTGTATATTTAAAATATACACTGTTTTGAAAAGTTTGCTTTAAAAGCTCGTCATTCTTTTCATTATATCTTATCTTAATAATACTCTTAATTATTACGCAAAGTGGACGGATTGGTGAAATAGTTATCATAGTTGACAAAGTCTTACAATTTTTTTGTATATGGTAATTTTATGAATGACCTATTAAGTAGGCAATGGTAATAGGCAGCAATCTAGTTTTTTAGGCACGTGCTTCAAGCGAAAATTTCGTTTGAGATTCTTTGAAATCTTTCCGTTTTTCCTTTTGAATATTTGCTTCAATAAAGAATAGTGCACTAGCTATTAAGCCTATGATACTTCCAATGACAGATATTATAAAAGAATACCCAAAAAAGTTATTAGAATGGCCAGGCATCCAACCATCTGTATTACCAAATAATGCAAATACAATAACAGCAATACACCCACAAATACTTCCAAATAATAAAAGAGATCCAATTGCTGTAATCAAGTTGATGTAATTCTTATGCTCTTGATCCCAACATGTTGAGTAGAGTACAATCAGGCCTAAACTTATGAGGAATGACAAAAAGCAGAGAGTGAAGAAAAATTGTGTGGTCACCATAAAAGCTGAAAAATAATAAACAGGAAATTTAAGTCAAATATTGCAGCCTGTTGGAACAAAAGCTCTTTTATGACAGTTGTATTGGATGTTTCTCTATTCTCACTTTCAAGCATTCAAAAAAACCCTGTAATGTTTATTTTTTAGATCTGGAAACTTTACTTTGAATGACTTAAAAATGACTTAATCAAACAAATGTAACAATGCTTTAGAAAATAGTTATGCAATGATTTTACACATACAAGGTACAATTATTAAAATGATTAAAACTGTGCGACAAGATATTTTGTCATGAAAATCGGTAAAATTTTAAGAATATTTGGAAACTAAAAATGTCAGTATGAATGCTAGTAAACAATGCAACCGGGATACGTGAATGTGAGACTGCAAGTGCAGTGAAAATCGTAATATGAATAAAAAATAAAGCAAAATACTTACGTGGTAGAAGGTAGCCTCGTATTTCAGAGTATCCAGTGGTGAATGGATCGTAAACCCATCTGCAGCCGACGAAGAAGCGCCTGGGCGCATCAGCTTCAGCTGGATTCGGTAGAGATCTAAAGCAGTGCCTCCAAAGGCCAAGTTGGTCCATTTTTGCATTAACGATGCGAGGATCGCTGGTGAGCCAGCTGGCAGTACTAAAACCTACGATAATACAGATAAAGCCGACCATGAAGGTGCCGATGCCGACGTTTCCGGATAAGCTTCTGCTCTTCATCTTGCTGAGTGGATGGCGTCACTGACGCTACTCTGATTGTTATCAATTTTTCAATCAATAACTCTTGTCGTTCAAACACTTGCGCACTTGTGGACAAGTGTTACTGTAAAGCACGTCAGGCTACGAGTGTCAAATGCTAGACGAACTCATCGACCGCGCATCTAAGAAAAAGATCCCACGTGAACCACACCCAAGAGCTCGCTCGCTTGGCTCGGCCTCCGTTGCATACTCACTGCCTGGCTCGCCTCGCCTCGCGCCTGCCTCGCTCTCTCCCGCGCTACGCGCGATTCACGATTCAGGCCCCTTTGATTCTCATGTTGCGAGCGCTTCACGGGCGTTGTTACTCAATTCCTAACCTAATCCTTTGCCACTGCTACTAGAGGCACACGTACGATTATGCTGTACGTCCAATCACTCACTTCATCTGTTTCATTAAGTTGTGAGGCTAATATGCTTAAACAATGACACCTTTCTTGAAATTCGTCCACCGTGAATGGAGACAGTAATTGTAAAAAAATCTAATATTTTGAATTTTCAAAAGCTTGAACTTCATTATAACAATCTTCAAACTGTAATCTCGGTGGAAAGACAGCTTTAAGTGCTCACTTATCCACACATACAGCATGTCGTGGCGAGTGCACACCTTACGAATACGTTTGTGCTACATTCGTTTGTATACGTATGCATATCTTGAAAACATACAACTACCATTGTACTACGTCAATGACGCGCTCTGAGATCTAGATTACTACTTATTCAACTCGCGTACATGCATGCTGAGATATTCCACTTTCGATTTTTGATGCCGCAACCACTTACGCATGTACTGTATTTTGACTATTCATAACGCACTTACGTTCCACAGTCAATTTACATTCTTTTACATCTTCTTTACATATATATACATGTCAATGCTGTACAATTGTACTAAGTGCTTTATTTTCAATCATATTTATTTACCATATAAAAATGTACGGCTTAAATATGCGTAATATCACAAATATTTAATAATTTTAATAGAAATAATCATTTACTTAGAAAGCCCCCATGAGACGTCGGACAACAGATGTTGAGGAGTAAAAACTAATTGTATGTTTATCAGGGTGTTCCGTTATTGCGCAGGATGTGAACAATGATAAAACACATAAGTCTATATTACCATTATTGGTACTGTAATAAATCATTTAAGTACTTTTTCGCCGTGGTACACATCTGACAATAACCCATGTCCGCTTATATGCATAGGAATTATAGGTCGATAAAAATATCAAAAATAAAATGTCAATTGTAAAAATCAAATTGGTAATTATATTGATGCACAGTTACAGTATTACGAAACATCTCAAGATTCCATCTATTAACGGAAGTTTTGATACAAAGACAAAAAACAAAAAGGTGTAACGATGAGAATTTACCGATCGCTTTACATGTCGTCAAAGTAAAAAGAACACAAAAAAACAGCCCGGGAGAAATAGAAAAAGAGAGCGTGAGTTTGCTCTTCGTGCTTCACGTTTGAAGGTCGCCGCTACCGAGAGGTGATTCAATGTTTTGACCATGATTTTTTCTATACATCGCCTTCCAACTGTAGCGTGTGAAAGCGACAGCATGTATAATTGCTCTCAATTTGTTGTGCAGAAATATATCAAATTGTAATCTTTATATTTCTGTTTAATTACGCGTCGCGAGTCACATTACTACTGCATGTTTATTTTTTACTGAAGCAATGCTGAGGCTTTCAAAATAAACCAGTCTTTTTTAAAGCATTTAATAACGATTTTATTAAAATGGTTGAACTTTCATATAAATTCATTTTTTTTAATTTCAAAGGCACTTAATTCATAATCTTGATGAATTCATCTCTTGATGATTCATGTACATGTATATTTACAATTGTTCGCAGTCACTTTTCTAATACTAGCTTAGACTATAATATTTTGGACGGATTATTTTTCATTAAAAGTCACTTTGCATGAATAACACAAGTAAATTAATAAGCTATTACATGCAAATAATCTCACAGTTGATCTTGATTGGTCTTAATTGTAATTAATAAAGTGTTTCAAAATGGACATACAATTGTTAACTTGTATTAGTTGATAATGATATGATTAAACTCTAGATTCTTTACAATTTTTAAAAATATATTATTTAAAATTTTAATAAACCTTTGAAAATTCATGAATAATACTTTGTGTGAACAAACTACATTTTTATAGAATAGATCTGAATCTTATTTATATGAGATTGCTGTATCTAACAAATTCGCTTTCTTTGTTGTAGCTGTATACAATTAAAATTTTCCATTGCTATGTCAATTATTACAAGTTATATTGTTTGTTATATTTGTACGTTTAAACATGGAATCGTTGTTTAGCTGTAAAAATAAATTATAATATAAAATGTCTAAATTTCAGAATGAGCTTTCTGTTCATCATACAATATTCGTTCAATCTTCTTTCTAAATCTACGGGCTTCCACTAGGAATAAGGTTCCAGAAGCTAGTAATGTAAAACTTCCCACTACAGCTAAAGCAAATGACCAACTTAAGTCGTTGTGCTCCCAATTAGGCATCCAGTCTCTGCTATCTCCTTTAACACCAAATATTATCACTGCAATAATTCCACAAACAGCTGCCAAAGTGAGATTGGCACCAGTTGCCCATAATAACAACTGATACTTATCGTGATGACGAGAGCAACAAGTGTACAATGCTGTTAAAAAGCTACCAATAAGAAGTAGTGTAAAACATAAAGTAAAGAAAAACTGCGTAGCCACAAAGAAATCGGGTAATAAGATATCATGAATGATATAGTATTCTTCTTCAAAAACCCACCAACAACCATAGAATCTTGTGTCATACAAGTGACGAATATCTTGAAAACCATTGAAGCACACTTGCCACAATCCTGAAAATAAAATATTCAATTAAAAATTTCCTCTTAAAAATGTGACATTCTTATGCATAGATGAGCTGTGAAATGGCTTATTATCCATATTATAACCTATAGTTTAATAGATTGAACTACAATTTTTATGCTCTAAATCTTTATGATACGAATATGACTTGTTCCACAATATTAGATCAACAAAATATCTTTCATAATTAGATATTTAATGCTTGATTTTACAATAAAGTATACATTTATCAATATATTAATTTTTATAGTATATTAAAATTATTTTTGAGTAAATAAACAAAAAGTAATTAATGGCACATCTTCAAATAAAGAAACTTATACATACCAATTTTCAAGAATTTAGGCGTCTCCAATTTACCATCAGTCTCAAGCCAGTTGGGTGTGGTAAATGCAATCACCACAAATAAAGCAGCTATAGCCGCTAATATAACGGCAGTTTTCCCCGTGAGTGATTTCCCCATAACGTAATTGTATTAACACTTTCTTAGGAATTGTTAAAATTAGAATAAATTATCTTTTTGGACACAAAAGACAACAATACCTATAAAATAATAACAAATACTGATACTGATACACCCAACTGTGTAAACTTTAACGGAAATCACTAACTATAGAACTATAGTATAGAGGAGAGATGGTGTATCTGTATGGTGTAAATTTTCGTATGCTGAGGAATGAGGATTCAGTCGAAAGGAATGATGCTATAATAGGTGGAGATACAAATGCATATAGCGCGAAAATCAAATTAATCTTATAAGTGTTACATAAGTAACGATAATCTGCTGATTTAAAAATGTAAATGTATATATTATAAAAAATTAATTGATACGTGTTTTGACAGTTATTTTATAAAATTGTCGTTACACTTGAAAATTCAACGAAATAGTATTTTGAAAATAAAAACACTAAAGTTTATTTATTCATTTACTACTGTTTAATATTAAAGTATTTATGAATAAGCATATCTGATACATTGTCTTCGCATGTCGATCAAGCACTTACATGGTTTTCTTTTATTTTTCAGTTTGGTATGAAACTACAGATCTTCCAAAAGTGCTTAAAATATTTCAAAATGGAGCGGCATGGCAGAAAACTTTAAAATTCGTATCTCCTAATATCAATGAGCTTTTGCTGATAGCGAAATATTTTAGTATATCAGTGCCGTCTGAAGAATCTGATGTAGATATCGACACGATAAAAAGCATATCGGAGAAATTAATTGAGTGGATACCAGTTGTGATTGCTACCATGGGCCCGAAAGGCGTACTAGTATGAATTCATTTATTTTTTTTCGTTCAAAACTTATTGAATAATTTTAATAATTAAAATGATTAATAGGTAACGAGAAATTCTTCGGGAGATGAACCTTTTCTGAACAAAGATAATACCGTGATTGAAAATGACAAAGTCCATTCTCGTTTATATTCTCCCGTGAGTGTTAATAAAGATATTGCAAATGTTAGTGGTTGTGGCGATTGTTTAGCTGCAGGGATAATAGCTGGCATTCTAAGAGGATGGAAGGAATCAAACAGTATTTTATTGGGACTTCACGCAGCCAAGCAATCTCTTATATCTCATCAAACAGTGCCTCATACGCTCAAATTATTACCAGTAGATGAAGAATATTATTCCCGAAAAAACCATACGTCAGCCATAAGTGCGTATGCATAGATTGTATGAAAAATGTAAATTTTATGTGAATAGAGTGATAGGAAACAAATATCTAAAACCGTGATTATTGATGAATATCATTTAATACTAAGAAGCAAATGCAAATCAATTGAATCTATAATTTATTGATTGTTTTAAAGTTTCTATAAATACAAGTAGGACGTAAAAAGTTATAGATAGCTTATATTTCAAAATTTTTACAGAAAATATATTAGAAATGGTCCTTGACTAGCTAATTGTATTTTCACAAATAGAAATCTTATTCCTTTATTTATAAAAAACAGTAAGAAGAAACGCAATAACTTTATTTCCTCGTGCATATACTTTGCGAACCTTACATTATATGATACAATATGGACGGCTGATTCAAAAGTTTAAAATCTCAAAGCTAAGTTTTTTTATGTTTGACTCTTGTCTTAAAATAATTAATAATTATGCTCCTTTGTCTAGTAATACTGTTATTATTTGTAATAGAAAGAATATAATTTCAATAAACTATCTGTATTTACTTTAGATCACTTTTTCTTCTTTTTATCAACTTTGAACAATTTTTCATTCTTTGTGTGAACCTTTCCTCCATATTTGTTTACAAACGCTCTTACATCAAATTTTCTCTCGCAACCTTTATAATTCATATAACGAATTTTGCCAAAAACTTCTCTTTCTCTCCAGCCTTGATCATGGATTCCACAAATGGACCACATGCAACCTGTAGTTTTAAAGTTAAACATGGATAATTTTTAATCCTTTTTTTTATATTAACTAATATATTTAAAAATTCTTTAAAAAAACAACATACCAACATATCCATTTGGATCTCGCCCATCCATACTATACTTATCATTTAAGTAGATAGACCATTTGAGAGCATCCTGTGGTGTTGGAGTCCACTCAAGAATTTTTTTAGCCCAATACATTCTAAGAAAACCATGTATTTTTCCTTCATTTATTAATTGGATTTGAGCAGAATTCCATAAATCATCATGCGTTAATCCTTTTTCAAATTCTTCAAGCGTATATATATATTCTCTTTTATCCTTTCTACATAAAACAATTGATAAATCATATGGGTTTTAAAGTTTATTCAATTTGTATTGAAAAACAAAACTTAAATTAATGTCACATATCTTACCGATGCTGATTTAGTGTCTCTTTGGCCCAGTCATAAGCTCCCTCCAGACTATCGTAATTTTGATTGTAAAAACAAAAATTATCACTTAATTCTCTACGAATAATTGCCTCCTCCATGAAAGCTTCAACTGAATCTTTAAATTGAGTTTTGAACTTAGCTACCTCCAAAATACACCTTTGTACAGAAATCATTCCAAAATGAAACCATGGAGATAAATTACTCAATGCATCAACAACTGGATTATTTCTTTTTTCATTATATATATGAAGACGTTTTTTTATGAAACTGTCAAGTTCAGCAATGCCTCCTTTATATCCTGGCTTAGCCCAACTAATTTTATCAACAGTTCTATCAACTAATATAGCATCTAATGCAGTATCCCATTTATTTTGCGGAAACTTTTGATCTGATACATATGGATGTTTTATTACAGGAGGGTACTCAGTAAGAAATTCTTTAAGTTTTGAATTTATCTTATTCCTAATAGTACGTGCTGCATATTCCAATTTATCAGATGCAATCCAACAGGGAACAATATTATGTGCATCAACCTATATCCATAAATGATAAACTTGAAAAAATGTATCAATTTGTAAAATATAATTTCACAATACGCACTTGACAAAACGGTACATCTATTGGAAGTTGTTTTTTTATATCATCAACCCAATGTAAAGGTAGCCTTAATGGGAAAAAATCTGCTACTAATGCTCCCATTTTATATTTTTTTACAAAATCAACAATCACATTATTTGGTTCTCCATGCAAAAGATGAAAATTAATATTCAATGCTTGACAATCTTTGTCCACTTCTTTTAAAGCTTCTAGTAAAAATTTATAATGGCGCAATGTAGCATCAAGAAATTTGGGCAGTATACAAAAACATACATGAAGAGGTACTTTATTTTTCAATGCAGTTTTTTGAGCAAAAAGAAGTGCCCAATTGTCTAGAAAATAATTGGTAATTAATATAAATTAATTTATAAAACATTAAATATTACAAAACTATTTATTATTAATACCTTGGACTCTGGCATCTCTAAACATCCAATAAACAATTCCCTTAGACTTTACTGCTACTTCATCTAAATCTGTCAAAACTCTTACTCTCTTTTTATTAAAATTAAATTTTAAGATATTTTCTGCAGTCTGCAAATAAAACAATATCTAATTACAGATAGTTCTGCTGCTAATAAGTTGGTTAATAGTGATAATTTTACACTTTTTCTCTGCTCATTTATTTGTTCCACTAGATCAACAGTTTTCAATTTCTTCAAAGACGGTTCAGCCATATTTGATGCTGTAATGTAACAGTAAAAAAATGCATAACATTATCTTAATGTCATATTATTAACCAAATACAAACTTACAAAATTCTGTATAGTGATTAAATGAACAAATTTGCTTTTGCTAAATTTTCAAAGAACATAACTGATAAGAAATAATTAAGTTTTTAATCAGTTTTGATCACTATGAAAGAAAAATAAAAAAATAACAATTAAATATTATATTTAGCAGCTGTAAGCTTATTAAAACAATACTTGTAGGTTAATAATAATTTTTATATTAGTTGTACGGTCACGGTATATATGAATGTAATCTATAGTACGCATTTGGAGATTGATACACATCTTTATTAAATTTTTTGTTTGTATTTAAATTCACTCATATATACATAAATAGATTGATGTAATAACAAAGACTAAATCATACAGTAAACAATTTACGAAATAAAAAGCAAAACCATGCAAAGTTTGCGAGAGCGCTCGACATTCGGCGCTCGGCGCTCCAGCGCCGCGCATTGCATTGGCGGAAGAGAATATAACTGGATCGGAAACTAAAACTCGTGATGCTAAAAAATTGAGTCATCATAAAATTATTGAAAGAAAAGTTTACCGTACATAATTCTAATTCAATAAGTTTTTCGATTAATGAATCTTTTAAGGATGTGGAAGGACAATTAATAGTTTTTACGTATAGCCAAATTTGTATGCTATAATATACTCCGGTTTGATAGCCGATCGCGTAAGAGCGCGTGCACATTTGAGTGGCTTGTCTAAAATGGGAAAATAGAACTTGAAGCGATATTTTTATACGTCATACGATTCACGACATATCATACGGAAGCTCGCTTCACTTGTGCGCAAATATTGCAAATGAGGATACAATCCTTATACTCGTACATAATATTCTATATCAAATTATAGATATTTTTGTACGACTGATACGAAGCAAGATTTTAATTGCCATTCCAAAAAAATTGGCATCTAATTGTCGTATTAAAACGATTCGATACATTTCTTATATTATAATTAAGTACATGTAGATCTTTGAGTTGTATTAATGGTTTCAAGACAATTAATTAGTCTGTGCGTCTAATACGGAAAACTAGTCAAGTATATTATTATAATAAACTATTATTATGCAATTCGAAAATATTTTTTCACGTGACATTTGTTAGAAGATTTAAAAAAAATAGAATTGACAACTTGTTTTATTCCGAATGCAGTCATAGATTAACAAGTCAAAACTCATAGAGTGATGTACGCTATTATTTAATATTTGTTTTTCGTTAAGATTATTGTATAATCAAATAGTCCTCATCAAGGAAAACGCACATCATCTAATATTCCCTTACAACTACAATTTTCTCAAATAGTATACTGCTTATATCAAACATTAAAAACATTTCGCATACAGCGAAAATATGATTTTTAATTTACATTGAAGATAAAAAAGATACTTCTTGTTGATTTAAAGTCGTCATTTATGAGATTTATTTAAAAAATTTGGTTGAAAATTAGATTTTGATTCTCAAAATTGTTATCTACACTATTATAATGAAATTGCTTTATGAATAAAAAAAGTGAAATAAAATTTAACTTTGTATTTGAGCATATGCAAATATAAAGTAATTCTACAAAAAACATCGACATTGATGCTTCTAGAAGTGGCCAGCAATATAGATTATATAAGGTGTATGGCTGCTGTACGTAAGCGAATATTTTCTCCCGGTGTTTCGATCAGTTTGTCTTAAACATCTCACTGAACAAGATCGCTCGGAATCTTAGATTGGATAAATTCGTTGATAAAAAGTAAACTATAGGGCAAAATGGCAAACTTTCTGGCAATACAAAATAATCAAGTTTTTCGGCACTTCGCCTGGTGGTCGGCTGCAATGTCAGTTAAAATGATGTGCATGATGCCACTTATTGGTCGACAACGGTTTCGCAAGAAGGTCTGTTGTTTTAGGCATTTCTCTCCTTGAACGCGCGTCGCGCGTGTAATAAAAGCATGACGTTCGTGCATAAATTTTGCAAGCACTGGCACGAAACGTAATGCTATATCGACGTGCGCGTTGGTATAGCATTGCGGTATACAACGCGTATAAGAAACTAGGAAATCGAAGGATATGAATAAAAAATCGATGTTGGCATGTGTGCAGATATTCATGACTCCGGAGGACTGCGCGTTCATAGGTAAAAGCGCCAAGGTGGCGTTCGACGATCCGGACGTGGAGCGGCCTCGGCGAGCTTTCCTCAACGACTTGGAAAACATTGTACCCTGGTTTATCTGTACGAGCGTGTTCTTGACCACTTCGCCGCCTCCGGCGCTCGCCATCAACCTCATACGCGCCTTCGGAATCAGCCGCATAGTCCACACCATCGTCTACGCCGTGATCCCCATGCCCCAGCCTGCTCGCGTTGTAGCTTACGCTGTCGGATACGCTATCACCGTATACCAGGCTTATCTCACTCTGCTTCACTACACTTGACTCCCTTTTTGCCACCTTACCCTACTTATTTCTTCGTACAAATATACAAATCAATTTCTAGCGTTAACTTTTCGTTCTAATTATAACGACATGAACCTTTATTAAAGATTAATTTGAATAGTTGTTTAGTATTCATTCATTTCGCCTACTCAAAAATTAGCTTTATATTTCTAGCAATGTGCCGCCACAAATTTGCTTCACTTACCTTATTTATAGTGTACGAATTAATAGATTATTTTTTCATTGAAAAGGCAATGCTTTAACTGATCAAATTTAATTATTTGTAAGATTTTTATTTTTTAACGATAATTTCCTCGCGCCGAAATTCGTATTTACGGGTCCGTTCGAACTTTGTAATTTCAGCTGCTGAAAAACAGGCGATATAATATAACTCTGGCATTATTATTAATGCCAAAATAATAAAACGCCTGAATAATGGCTATAATATATTTGAAATATTCGTAATATCAAATAGAACTCTATCTGCCGTTCTGAAAGCGCATCAAGAAAATATGCAGGCCATCATGACTTTGCAAGATTTCTTTGTTAAGCGAATGCGTCATTAATAACCATCTCATACCGCTGTATTTGGACAATGCTGTGAAATTGTTATTTTCTTCGTGTATTATGTTTGAAAAAAAATAACAGTTTTTATTTCTAACTGTATTGTATAACTATGATCATTAATTGCTTTGGTAAATTATATTTAGCGTCACAGTTATATATTTTGAACACTGATTAATATGTAGATTGTATAATAGTTTAAAACTTAGTTTTGATCGCTTCTTTATATTACATTGTTAATTATATTATATAATGTTTAGTAGGTATATCATTAAAATTTTATTATTAGCGCATCTTAATAAGGTGAAGTGGAAATGTATCGTTTTTTTTGTTCAAACTTTAAACCAAATACGCGAGACAAGCATGGCCCGATTATCGTTACGTTGAATATTTATATAATTGGCTTACTCTATAAAAGTTATTATAACTAAAAAGAAAGTCGATATACTAACTAAAATTTTTAATAGACGTAAAGAATAAGTGTATGAATATAATTTATTTATGTTAATTATTTTTTCCTGATCTTGTCCTCTTGCATTTAAATGATTGAAATAATAATATTTTCTACAGCTACAATTAATGTATTTTTGCGGATTCGCGCAAAAATGTTACATAAATATACTTTTAAGAGTATATAAACTATAACCGTGTCTACACTTATATAGTGATCAATACAATAACGTTATTCCATAATTCTACACGGTTGTTATATTAAAAATTACGTTATAATATTATGTTATTTATGTTAATAATCAAAATTTATGTAGGTACTTCTTTCATACTAGATAAAAACCTTGTTCGCGTATATCAACTTAGAAATTCTTCACTTTTTTGTCATTGACCGGTTCTTAATTTCATATCTTTAAATATTACTACCAATTCTCGGTCGGACCATTAAAAATTAAAATCCTATATGCAGATTCGTTGTTGATTCATCGATGAAAATAAAAAATTTGCACAATACTTATTATTAAATACACTTTTTACAACAGTACTTGTAAATTTTTATTTCAATGCCGCGATCAAATCAAAATATTTTTTATTGGTTCTTCATCATATTTTATTAAAAATTAAAAAATATATATTAAATACATGCATACCAAAACGGCGATATTAAAATCGATACGTCCCTGACAAGCTCAAAGTTTAAAGCTACTTTCTAGGTTAGGTACAACTCATCTAGAATGACAAACAATCGTCTGCTTTTAAACTTTCCCAGGATTATCTCCGTTTTTATTCTTTGTTATCTTTCGTTTGGCTATATGTTTTTGTTTTTGTGATTACTTCATTCATCATATTCAATTCTGGCTTTATAATTTTAAATTATGGGTGTGCAGTTTGTAAAGAATTACTAGACTTTTATAATGTAAGTATCGTAATGTCTTGAAACTGAAAGTTAGAAATAACGAAAATGTGTATTTTTTAAAAATTTTTAAATAACTTTTTTTCTGTGTTACACGGATATGATACTCATATCTTTTGAGTTTTATAAAATTTGCTTCACACAATTTAATGATATGCTAAGCATTTTTGGGCGTAACATGTGATAATCTTAAAAGCTCAAGAAAAATATTCCTAACCTCGGTTTCCGTTTTGTGGTTTGTATGTGGTTTGTACTTAAACTCACATTGTTCTTCACAATAAAATATACGTAAATAAATTGTAGGTATGTATCTTTTGAAAATTTCTATAATATTTTTGGTCCTTTTAATTATTACAACTTCATATAATATGCTTTGGTTGTATTCATAAATATCTGATAAGTACCTGATGCAATCAATCTTTGGAATTAAAAATAATCCTAAGTGAATTTTTCAAAATTTTTGAAATTTTTATAGCATGTATATTTTCATTGAGCTTCACTAATCAAATTTTATTCAAAAGCAAAGAAGATTTTTGAAATGAAGAAGCATACCATTTCTAATTATTGTACAGCAGCTCTCCAGATTTGAAATTTCTTATTTATAGGATGAATCGTCACTAGCTATGTACAAAAATAGAGCTTCCACAATTAATGCGAACTTTTCTTTTATCTTCACTGAACAAAATGAATTAAAATGGTTAGAATTACATATGTGAAAGAATGTGTTGAAATTAAGCACTGTTTTAAATTATACAATTATTTAGATAAATATTTAATCAACAAAATTACTACCACTTTCAAATCCATTACTTTTTAGGGTTCTAGACATAAAAGGCGCTGCTTCGGCTTAGAAATTATAAAACTTGCAGCCAAATTGAAACCTGATGATAAAAACATGTATTGTTGGGGTAATACAAAGCATGGAGAATTAGGATTAGGGGGGATTGAAGATGAAAATATTTTATTACCCAGAGAAGTTGATTTTCAAAAAGCAACTGAAATTGAACAAAGTACAAACTATTTTCTAATTTTGTTACAGAACAATGTAAGCTTTTATAAATTAACATTTTATTTTTTAGTTGCTTGTGGAGCTAATCATACAGTTCTTATTACTGAAGATGGACAAGTTTTTTCATGTGGTAACAATGATTGTGGACAGTTGGGCCATGATAAACCAACTAAAAGATTACGTAAGAATATAAATATTTAATTTAATAGTTTTATTTTTCTAAAAAGTTATATTTATTATGTTATTTTATATTTTATTATTAGAGATGATACCAGGATTAGATGCATTTGTATTTAAACAAGCAGCTTGTGGTGCATCCCATTCAGTAGCAGTGAATAACTGGGGACAACTATTTTGTTGGGGTAACAATGCTGATGGTCAATTGGGACTTGGAACTCCATTAACAATTGTACAAATGCCAACATTAGTTAAAGCATTGGGTACAAGTGTCATTGTTCAAATTGCATGTGGTCAAAACCACACTTTAGCTCTTACGAACAATGGTGAACTGTATACTTGGGGATCAAATAGTGATGGACAGTTGGGACTTGGTCAGGATATAAAAATGGAAACAAAACCTAAACTTATTTCAAGTTTGTTTGGAATACCTATTGCTTTTATTGCTTGTGGAGGTTATCATAGCATTATTGTTACAAAATCAGGTTAGATTAAGTTTCTATAGTATGAGTATATTTTGTTTGATATTTCACAATTCTGTTTGGCATATCCTACTATGTTGACAATTATATCAGAGATAAAAATCTAAAATTTATATTACAGGGGCTGTATATGGCTGGGGTAAAAATACTTTTGGCCAATTAGGTATGAACGATATGAGTGATAGATACATTCCATGTCTTCTGAAAACTCTTAGAAATACAAAAGTAAAATATGTATCATGTGGAGAAGAATTTTCCGTTTTTATGACTATGGTATATGACTTATGATATTTTTATAAACTTTTATCATACTTTTATCATACAAAATTTTTTTCTGTTTTAAGGATGGTGGAGTTTTTACTTGTGGTGCTGGAATGTATGGTCAACTTGGTCATGGTGTTAATGGTAATGAAATTTTACCTAGACAAATAATTGAACTCATGGGCAGTGTAGTGACTCAGGTAAAATGAAAACAGATATACATAATATACTGTGAAATCAAATTGTTACTAATATATAATGAGTGAGTTTGTTTAGATATCTTGTGGAAAGAGACACACACTTGCTCTGGTACCATCTCGAGGAAAAGTCTATGCTTGGGGTTTAGGTGGATCTGGACAACTTGGGAGTCGAACAGCCCGAAGTGCTTCTACTCCTCAAATTGTTCTTGGACCATGGACATCAAAAAATGGTTTATCTTCTATGGAAACCGAATCTATAAGTCCAGTTTCTGAAGACTGTGTAGTCAAACATATTTTTAGTGGCGGAGATCATTGCTTTGCCACTGTAGTTCCAAAAGAGGTATGGACATTATCTTCTTTGCATTGATATCGTAATATATAGATATCGTTAATACAATTTTAATTTCTAGGATAACATAGAACCAGACGACTGTCGTATTTATTTACCTACAACACAAATTTTAACTATCAATGAAGAACAACTTATTACTTGTCAAAGACTTCCACAAAGTGCCTCAGTTGATCACGATTTAATGATGTAAATAACATTTTTCAATTAAAAATGCAAATTTATCATTGATAAATACATATATATATATATATATATGTATATATATATTATAGGTACATAGAAACCGTATTTAGGAGTCAAGCTTGTATAAATGCTTCATTTTTGTCTGCTTATGAAAAACATTATAATTGCTCATCTCGACAACATGGTGTGGATTTAGAATTTGCTGCACGTTGTTTTGGAATGATATCTGAAATTATAAACGAAACTATAAGTGAATTGGTAAAATGAATTTTTTTAAACTTTTATCTATTCTGTGTGATTGAAATTATATTATCGAAGTGATAATATTTTCAGATACTCACTTGTATTGTTGAATCCCTATTACCTTCTTTAACAAAGTCACCACCAGATATAGAGTGTCTTAGGATTTATTTGATATTGCCTTTGTATCATGGATTTGCTAATCCTGATAATTCTAATACATTACATAAACCATTTTCTTTAGTTGTATTAAACTTGAAGCAAGAAGCTAAAAAAGTTCTTGAAATCTGGTGGACCAACTCTCCAACACTCTATTTTGAAAGACTTGTAAGAATATTTAGAGCAGTTGTAATAGATTACATCAAGCAACCAAACGTTAAAGAAACAAAGGTAACAATAGTTATTTTACTGACTATTGCATTACAATGAAAAATATTTTTTTAGGTTGTTTCATGGAATATGGCTCTTGCATCTGTATTAGACTTTTTGAAATTTCTGAATGAATTAAATAATTCTGTAGAAGGGAAAAAAGTTCCTCATAATGTATTTTACATTCATGAATTAAGTGAATTAACAGATGTAAGAGGAGATTATTGTCGTTGGCTTTCCGATAACGATAAACAAGGTGTAAGTTTGCTAAGAAAAATTTACTATGTAAAATTTTGTATTTATTATTTTGTAAATTCACTACTCATTTTTCAGGGTCACAAAATATTCTTCTGCAATTACCCATTTCTATTTGATGCAGAAGCCAAAACAATACTTTTGGAGACAAGTCAAGCATTACAAGTAAATATTGGGATTTTATAAATCGAAGTTTATTGTGTAACATTTATTAATTTTTTCAGATGCAAGTAGCAATGAATGTAGCAGCTAGCAGAACTTTGACTAATATGTTTTTCAGTGCATTTCATCCTATTAATACAGAACATCCTCAATTTGTAACTCTCAACGTTTCAAGAGAAAACATAGTTGCAGATACCTTGAGAGAACTATCAGAATATTCGTCTGATGATCTCAAAAAACCATTGCGAGTATGTACATTTTCTTCCAATAAGTAAAAATACTACTTAACAGCAATTGTTTAATATCTTTTTTCGATAAATCTGCAGGTAAAATTCTACGGAGAAGAAGCAGAGGATGCCGGAGGAGTTAAAAAGGAATTTTTTATGCTTCTATTGAAAGAAATTTTAGATCCAAAGTACGGCATGTTTAAAGAATATGAAGAAACAAGAGCTATTTGGTTCAGTGAGGATTCATTTGAAGATGAAGTTATGTATTTTCTCATTGGTTTATTGTGTGGTCTTGCCATTTACAATTTCATTATTATTGAATTGCCATTCCCGTTGGCATTATATAAAAAATTACTGAAAGAGCCAGTCAGTCTTGCAGATCTCAAAGACTTATCACCAGTTCTTGCTAGGTACGTTTACTATGAAGAAATGTTGCAGTAATGTTAACAACATATGTATATTGTTGCATATTTTAACAAAGATATGGTAAATATGTGCATATTTTCAGGAGTTTGCAGAGCCTATTAGATTATGAAGAATCTGATTTAGAGGCTGTTTTTTCTTTGAATTTTGAAGTTACCAAAGAAGTGTTTGGTGAAAAGAAAGTTTATGAACTTATTCGAAACGGTAGTAAAACTCCCGTGACAATACATAACAAGTTAGTTGTTATTTCAAATATGACTTTCTAATCGATTACTCACAATTGAAAGTAAATTTTCTTTTTTAGGAATCAATTTGTCGATTTGTACGTCGATTACATTTTGAATAAATCTGTAAATTCACATTTTAAGGCTTTTTATAAAGGATTTCATAAAGTGTGTGGAGGTAGAGTTTTAGAACTATTTCATAGCGATGAGCTAATGTCACTTGTAATTGGTAATGAAGAATATGATTGGGAAGAATTCGAAAAAAATGCATGTTATAAAGAAGGCTATACAAAGGATGATCCTACAATCATTCTTTTTTGGCAAGTTTTTCACGAACTGTCACCTGAACAAAAAAAGAAATTTTTATTGTACTTGACTGGTAGTGATAGAGTTCCTCTACAAGGCATGAAAGCAGTTAAGGTAATGCTGTTAGAATCTTTCTTATTCAGTGTTTTATTACTACCCTTTATAAAATTTGACTTGTTTATTTTATTCTTTGTTCAGATAACCATACAACCAATGACAGATGAACGTTTCTTGCCAGTAGCACACACATGTTTCAACCTTTTAGACTTGCCAAGGTATCAAACAAAAGAGAGACTTCAATACAAACTTTTACAAGCGATCCAGCAAACTCAGGGATTTTCATTAGTTTAAAATAAAAACTTGTTTTGAAACAGGTGTGTTTATAGAGTACAATTTATATCGATATTTTATTACAGATAATAACTAGTTGATCTTTTATTAAAAGAGAAAAAATAGAATAGCGAACCAAAAACTCCTTTTCTGTTAAAGAATCAGGTTTTAACGGTTTGTGGATCAAATCTTGGAAATAGAATAATATATGTAAAAAGTCAAACACTATGTGTTCAGCTACATTTCTCTTTTCTCCATGAAAGGGAACAGATTTTGAATTTTGTTAAAAAAAGGCTATAATGATAAAAAATATATTATCTATTTTTAAGACACTGTTCATGATTATCATACAGTGGGAACTTAAAAATGAATCTATTATTCGGAAGTGAATATTTTTTAGTATACGAAAGCTTAACGCGTTTAGTGCAATGGAAGCACTATTATTTTATACGTTTATTTCAAATTCCATCTTTTTCTCAATTTTAATTTTGACAATATATAATTTGAAAAAGGGACAATCGTAGAATACATTACCGTATATATTTTTTATGGCCTAATCAATGTTCAAAGGTTCCTATAAAATTTCATTATATAATCTTGGCATTGTTTTTCGCAAAGTTGCATGTTTTTGTCCTTTTTAAAAACGGATTTAACCCATTAAATCCCAAATGGACGATTTTTTTTCTACTGTTTTCAATTGATTTTCTGAATGTGAAATCGGTCTTCAAAAAAATCAGGAGGTGACGTTTCCGACGTAAAATTGTCTGAATTTTCGATCTACGTTGTCAGAATTTTGAAAAAAATACATATTAACACATTTATAATTGTTTATTTATCAAAAAATGCAATATTTTGAGTGATAAAAATTTTTAAATCCTTGTTTTCCAGTTGAATGTCAATGTAGATCTTTATGATTAGCCCATAAAGGCGTCCTCGAATCCTGGACTTATTCTTATATATCACACTCTTTATATTGAGTTATAGGGGTAGGTTTTTTGAAATTCAACATGACGCCATCCAATATGGCGGTTCAATGAAGGAAATTTTATGCTACTTTTCATTCTTTTTCGGAAAACAATATTTTTTTACCAATATTCATCAAACTTCGCGTATAGGGGTTTTTTGGGTCACTGATTACGAATTTACAATAAGATTTTTAAAATTCAAGATGGCGGATCCAATATGGCGGCTGAAAATGTCGAAAAATGTCAGATTTTTATGCAAATTAGTGTACAGGGGTTTTTTGGGTCGCTGATTATGAATTTACAATCAGATTTTAAAAATTCAAGATGGCGAATCCAATATGGAGTGAATTTTTAGTCAGTTTTTGATTTTGGTACTTAAAAGCTTGAAAATATTGATGAATCTAGCTTTTGACTATATTTTTTAACTGACATTTCGAAACTTTAAAAACTGTTAGTGTATACATGATATAAGCCCAAAACACCCCTATATATACTTTTTCTTAAGTTAGAAAATTGTAAAATTGTAACTTTATATTTAAAGTTTTCTATCCTTTTATTAGCTATGTATTAGCTATGTATTAGATATGTAAAGTTTTGAAAATTTGACTACAAATTGTTAATCAGTGATTTAAAAGACCTGTAGGTACCGATTTCTATAAAAACTAAGAAAATTTGTGGGTTTTCGGCCGCCATCTTGAATATTCAAAATCTGATAATACATTCGTAATTAGCTACCAAAAAACCCCTATACACGAAGTTTGATGAACATTGGTTAAAAAATATTGTTTTTCGAAAAAGTACAAAAAGTAGCAACAAATTTCCTTCTTTGAACCGCCATATTGGATGCCGCCATGTTGAATTTCAAAAAACCTACCCCTATAACTTAAAGTCTAAGATTCGAGAACGCCTTTTATGGGCTATTCATAAAGATCTATATATTGAAATTCAATTCGAAAACAAGGATTTAAAAATTTTTATCACTCATAATTTGCATTTTTTGTTAAATAAATAAATATGTTAATATGCATTTTTTTCAAAATTCTGACAACGTAGATCTAAAGTTCAGAAAATTTTACGTCCTCTCCTGAATTTGTTGAAGACCGATTTCACATTCAGAAAATCTATTGAAAACAGTAGAAGAAATCGTCCATTTAGGACTTGATGGGTTAAAATAATCCAACGGGTTCTCTTCAATAATATATGATGAATATATATATTTATTAAAAGCTTTCGATAACGTTGCAGTTAACCAAATAAAATGAAAAAAAAATAATAAATGCTAATAATGAATAATGCAAAGAAACTGTTTAATAATGTAAAAAGAAAAAATATCGTGCTTTTTTTTATAAAAAATGATCGCTAATACTACTAATTGTTAAGCAAATTGTTACGTAGACACTGCTGGCTATCAAATGTTAATAATACGTAACCGTCGAAGAAAAAATGTGGAAGAGATTTCTATGTATGATGTTGCGTTTTGTGATACATTTTGTACATAAAAATGAAGAGGAGAAGATAAGATGGATGGAGTTGAAGCCGAAGGAAGGAAATAATAAAACCGAGTTGTTGGAAAAGAAAATGTGTAGCGAAAGTGATTTAATTCCTTAAAGAAGATCGATTTGATCGTGAGTGTCTATATTTATTGATAAGCGATAGACAACAATGTACAGTTGACGTTGAAAAAGAGGCGCGACCGCAAGTGATGAACAGTAATCAAGGTAGCAGGTCGCGAGAACAATCGTGTGGCGAGTAGTCGTTAGTCGTAAGAATAAAATCGTTGATGCAGTTCGTGCGAAACCGGAAGAATTGGTTGGCTTGGGGCCTCTGCGGCGACACGAGTGGAGTTAGCTGCTGGCGTAGGCGCATGGCGAATGAATCAGTGCTGGTAGGCCGGAGTGAAGAACTGAGTGCCGGGCGGGGCCCGATAGCCCGGGTAGTTGTTTGTCACGGCGTGCTGGGCGAAGAAGCCGCTGTAGTCCTTGTGGACTTTGCGCGGTCGGCAGGCCGGGCCTTTGGCCAGCTCGATGCGCGCTCGGTTCTCCGCCTCCGTTTGCTGCTTCACCGAGGCCGGCGGCCACTTCTGGTCACCGCGCATGTTGATGCCGTCGTAGGCCGCTTCGGTAGCCGCTGGCTGTGCCTGGTACACCGGGGAGGGCTCCTAAAGCAAGCAGTCGTCACGGAGAACTGGCACGTCAGCGTGGAGCGTCTCGCTCGTCAGTCGCTTACCTGTGAAATCGGGGGCTCTGCCCTGAGCGTGATCAGCGTTGCCGGCGGCTCCAAATGCACAGCCGAGCTCTGCGGCTTGTAGTAAGACTGTGGGCTTTCGACCTCCTGAAAGCACCAAGCAACGGATCTCACGTTAGCACCTCCATTTCGCTAAGCCGTGCGCTGCCTAATCGCTCGCCAGTTTCTTCGCGCTCGCACTGGCGAATTACTTGCGGATACGCGTCGTAGATGCTTTAATTAATCGGCTATTATTTATTGGTAGCGACTCGGCAAAACCGTTGCGATCTCCGGCGGGAAGGTGAAAAAAAGCCTGATCTCATTTATTGGCGCGCGTTCAAAGCGTCGCGTCGCTCCGAGATAATTCAAGAGATGTCGCGGAGGCCGTTGTTGAACGCGCTTCAGCGCACAACGAATCGTGGACCTTTTCTAAATTTGCATCTGCCTGGTGTCGTCTAAAGCGACTGCTCGATTCGGGCAAACGAGAGTCTTCGGAGCCGTGTAGTTTGTTGTGCAGCCATGTACACGTTTGGCAGTGCGCTCGGAAACGACACGCGGAGAGAAAAGCGCGACGGAAGAGAAGGAAAAAGAGAGCCGAGAGGGTGCTGGCGAGTCCTTGCCCGGAATAGAACGTACGACCTCGTGAAGCTGCAAAGAAATAAACAGTTAGCGGAGCTGAGCGCAGTGAAAGATGATAGAGCGACGAAGGAGTGAGAGGTGCGCACGCAGATGCTTGTAGGGAGCCCCTCGAATCGCGCTGCTCACCTGGCTGACGGTCAGGTTATGCTGCCGGGGGTAGCCGTTCCAGGCGCCGTCGCCGAACTGCCGGGGCTCGTCGCCGAAGCTGCTGCCGATCGGCGTCGCCGGCGTCTGCTTTATTTGGATTTGCGGTCTGTGCTGGGTCCACGACTGGGGCTTCCAGGTGTCGAGGCTCGGCAGATCGCTGGTCGACTGCTCGTTGCAGCCGGTCGAGCTGCGGCCCGGCGCCTCGCTCTTCCAGGGGCAGCTTACCGGTACGATGTACTCCCTGGGTCGGACGGAGCTCCAGCTTCTCGGGGCATTCGGCTGGCTCTGAGGCGGCGCGACGAACTGCTGCTGTTGCTGCTGGCGTTGATGCGGACGGCTCGCCGTCGGTTGCGGCGAGACCGAGGCCCAGCCTTTCGCTCTGTCCGCACTGGGCTGCGGCGCCTCGGTCTGTCGTCGCCACGGCTGCCCGCCTTGGTCGTATCGCGAGGGACTTGCCTGATCGTTCGGTTGGCCGGTCGCCTTGGCCCAGGCGACGGCTTCTTCCCTCAACGCTGGACTCTTGCTCTGGTATGTGGCGCGCTCGCCCTCGGCGCGAGTCTTCGTTCCCCATAACATTTTTATTTTTATATCCTACGATGCGCGCGTTCTAGCCTTTCGTCCTCCCGTCGGGAGCATTACTTATTACGCGACTCGCCCAGAATTTTCGAATATCAGAGCGCGTTGCGAATAAACTCACCAAAATATCGCGCGTTCTCGGCATCGCAGAAAAAAAAAAGAAAAAAAGTCTCAACTTTAAGAAACATTGGTGCTGTTTAACAGCAGCAAAGCTCAAAGTAGGACGCGCAAAACAAAGAGTTATTTATTGCTGAACAAGTGAAATAGATTGCATATGGTCAGACATTGATCGGTGAGCTATCGCGTGAACATGAACACAAGCGAAGCCGAAAAAAGCCATTATTTTCATTTTCTACACTTTCTAACGATCGGCGTCAGCACGGAACCGTGCACGTGTACAAATCATCCGAACATTTATGGAATCCATGTGAAAGTTACAACGCCGAATTGACAAATGTCCTGTTATTCAAATTGTTTTAGACCGAGAAAACGAGTTAGTTCGATCGAGATTGATCAACTGATTAGTTAACATACGGAGGAACAAATTCATTCAAACTTGCGAAAGCAACGACGAAAGCTGATCGCTACACATAATTACAATGAGTAGAACGTTTCGACACTTTTGGCACAGTTATTTTAGTAGTAGCTGTCAAACGAACTCTCGCGTAGTTTGACGTTGCCCCTAATTAATTGAACAATCGAATAATCAATGGAGACTTTTTGCGAAAAGAACGAGGAATGCTTGAATCGGTTGTATAATTATTGAAATAACATAACGATTTGAAGGGCTCCGATGAATGAATGTCAACTACAGCTCTACAATCGAATAGCGTGGCTTTCAAACAAAAATTGTTACCTTTGATTGAACAGGGCTCTGTTCAACGAAATCTACGTAATCTAAGCTTCCTTCTTTCGTGGGTGGCCACTCAACTCGTCTCAAGCCTGCATAGAGAAAGAAATTATTACTGACGATGAATGCTTACAGATGAATTCCGAGTCCGCTGGACAGTGATCGTAAGAATTAATGAGCTGCTGCTCGAGTTAATGTACGCGAGGATGAGTAATGCTGAAAGAATGCTGGACCTTTAGGTCCGCACCAAGCTTTCAACGCGTTCGCGTGTGAAATTCGTCGTGTGAATTAAGAGCCTTAGTATCTCGGCAGTCTCTTGCCAAAGCGAACAAACATCGCGATAAACACAAAAGCTCCTGGCAAGCGCGATAATTTGGATCAGTTTTCCGATTACACAAGTAGCAAATGACCAACGCATACTTTTGAAAACGACCGATGGACAGAAAACGAGACATCGAATTCGTATACAAGCTATTTCTGGCGCGGTAAGTTTTCACAACTTATAGTCGAGCGTCACTGCCGATTGAACGTACACTTCAACGCGATCCGTGATTTTCATTTGTTTTCCGTAACTACCTTGTTCACACTCCGTAATGCGACAGAATCAATTCGGGAGGCTGACGACCTATGCGCTCTGAATTTATGCAAAAATACATTGTCATTATATTCAAAGTACATTTGACGCCGAGGTGCGCTCGCGTAAATTAGTTTGGCGCCGATCCTGAAAAAAAAAAAACAACTAGCAAACGATTTTTCAACCAAATGTCTTGAGGTTGTTCTTCGACAAAAGCATCCTTAGTCGGATGAGAATTGATCTGTTTGCACTGAATTGTTATGGTGACTTATCCTTGAAAGAACTGATAAACGCCGGATAATAATTGAATATCTCAGAAAAGGCAATTAACGATGCACTCTCATAACTATCTTGTGCTTCGACTAACGATCGATTAGAAAGGCGCGCTGCTTATGCATCGCATTGCAGGTATGTGCGATCATTCGAGCAATGCGAAGGCAGACGAAAATCCGTAACGCGCAAGATTAGTGTTGTTTCGTTAAGAAGAAGCATTTTAGTTGCAAATGATTTACACTGGTTCGCAGCAGAATTTTATGATCGGACTGAGACTGGAAATGAGACTAACGTCAGCGGAACGCGCGAGTTGTGTCGCTCACCGAGCTGCGGAGCGATAACGATGCACTTGTCGTCGGCGCTAGACAAATTGCAACTGCCATTTTTTGGATGGCACTAGGAGGAGAAACCGCGACATTGCAACGCTCGCGGGGCTTCGCGTGTCAAATGGTCGCGAGTGGGGACGATTCGCGAAAAGTGGGAAAACCGACGTATACGACTCTCCGATCGGGAAAACGCGGAGCCACGCGTGCACCGACGACATTTATTACGAGGAAAAACCAAGTTTAATTGCACGTGCTCGTGGACTTTGGCCATCGCACTCGACGAAAGTCTCCGCTGAAAATAGACAGTTTTGTGCTCTACAGCTGATTTCTCCCATTCTCCGCCTTGCTTCTACTCGTTTCCACGAGTCCCGCATCTTCGCTTTAATTACGATCGCGACCTCGATTTCGATTTAATTCAGTCCGTTAAACCTTATTATACAGACAAACTCACGTCTTTATTATAATCTTGCAACGATTTACTCCTTTACTTGCGCTACACGCATAAACTAAACTTTATTAAACAAACTCTTTATTTTTATTTTCCATTATTCGGCAATGATCGCAATGATATTTTCAATATTGTCATGAGTTTTTAATTATGTTTTAAGGGTTGACTTACCACGTCGAGTATTATCATTATTTCGTACTTCATAGCTTTATTTACGTATAATTCATACGCTCACTTAAGCAATTTTCCAAGTTTGCACGATCGTTCGTTTGCAATGCAGTCGTTATCGCCAAAGTACAAAACTTTTGAAATTAGTTAGAAACCGAAGTAGCCACTTGGTTATTCAATTGAGTCATCATATTTCAGTGAAGTAGGACGCGAAACAAAATTGCCCATTTTTTTTGTTCAAAAATCTCAGTGTTTTCATATATATTATAAGTACGTCCGAAACTTCGTTTAAAAAATTAAACGCTATGTATGAACTATTATCGAGGTTCTTCAATTTAATATAGGCTACATCTTTCAACGAAATGTTAGTCATTGTTTTTCGTGATAAATAATTAGCATGCGACAGTGCTTTAGTAGCTGCATTGATATTTCTCAATTGTGAATTTTGAAAAAAGTTAAAATTAGCGAAAGATACGCGTTGACGAAGTAGCTATATAAAAATAAACTGGAGACTACGTCAGCAAACACCTTGACAATTAACATTGTATACCACAACATTTCAAGGGTGGTTACATTCGTTTTCTGTGTTGGCAAGATTTTCTTAAAATCCGTTCAAAATATTAGTCATTAGATAATCATTTGCCAGCTATAAATACATGCAATAATGCGACAACATTTATTCTCATGATACTTTTTGGCTGTACATCAATAAATTCATCAATGGCAGCTGGCGAAAATTGTAAATGATAATTCTCAACGCTATAAATATATATCTTGTAAGATGAATTTTTTGGCTTCTTATTAGCTCACTTGATTTGTAGAGCTGAACGAATAGAACGCACAAGCGCGATTGGCTGCTTGGCTATTCGCGTGATTCGAGCAAAGAAACAATTTTCAAATACTTTTCTCAAGTTTTACAAAGAACAACCTTTCATGAAATTTTCGACCTTGAGTAGTACGCGTTACAGTCGAAATCTCGACGCTCTGTTAGAATCAATCTGGAACGTGTGAAAGGTTGCGTAGCACGAAAACTACTCTCTTTTACTTCGTCACAAGGCTTTACACGACTTCATTACTTTAAAACGGACTGACTGAAAGCGTTAACAATTGACAAATAACCGCTACTAGTTACTATTAATTTAAAATGTCGGAGACACTGTAATTAGTTAGTCGCAAATGCGTTTTCGAGAACACTGAATCAGTATTCATTTAAATATTTACGTTCTTAACAATTTGTTTTCATTATAACGGTTTGAAAACTATGATGCCAAGTGAATCAAGTGATAATGCTCGATAATTACTGCTCCCTGCCGCTGAGTGGAAAAACGTTTAACAAACGAAAGATCGTTGTTTAAGTTAAAGTCAAGCCAAGAATTTCTCAATTGACTTCGAGGTCGTATTAAATCTCCAACTTCTGTTGACGATATTTCGTAGTCATTCCATTTCCAGCTATCTTCTTTACATTAAAATGTTATGAAGTAAAAAGCACATATAAGCGAGTAATGGCCTACCTATATACTAATAGACGTACGCCGAACAAACAGATTAGATTATCAAATTATCTCCAATTGGGTACTCATATTTTAGTTATAAAAGATAGAATGTTGCATATGTTATTTCGAAAATTACTGTTTTGCAATTCAAACAAAATATTACTTGTATGAAAAAGAAATAACGATGTCCATTTGGTGCGCATGCATTGCAAAACGTAACTTATTATTATTATTATTTTTACTATTATTGTTGTTATTATTTTGCTCTCTGTGTGCAACATTTTTTATGTTCGAAGCAATTGAAAATTAGAGCTGAGCTTGATTAATTTTTACAAGAAGCCGATGACATCATGTTTAATAAAAGTAATGATTGGTTACTACTATTACTAAGAGTTTGGATGTTGCATATAAATTTACCAGGTTTTCCTAATCTCTTCCTTTGCTCCTCCTCTTCCAACATCCTTAACACAGCACTGTTTTGTAGATTTGCGGGCTTGGATAATTTATTAAAATCGATTCTGCAATGGATTGTACGTAATAAGAATCAGCGAAGGAAATGTCGAATGCAAACAATGATGTGCTGTTTAACAGAGCCTGGACTCGATTTAATTTTATCAAAGTATACCTTCTCTCCTGAATCATCTTGCAATGCGAAGGCTTAACGGCAATTTGAACGAAACGTTCGCTATGAGAGCAGCACGATGGAGATAACCGAGAGGAAAAGTACGGACGCAGAAAAAAGCTGGAAAAGCGGAGCTTTTGGCGAGGGCGCGAGGCTCAAACTGAGGAGTACGCGTGCGCGTGTGCGCGACTTGCGATGACGGGTCTGCGCAACAACGCAACAGGCAGCCGCGCGTATAGGTGAGCCGTAGGTACGACGTAAGCGCGCGCGCGCGCGGATCGACTTTGCGAGGTTTATTTTGGTTGAGCGATGAATCGGCCCTCTGAAAATACCTCTTGACGGCGCCTCTCTCGCGCGATCGCCAATGGCCCGAGACAGGGCTGCGCCGACTGCTCACTGCTGACTCGCCTATGCTCCGCCGTCCGCGAATCGACGCGCTACTGTCTGCGTATACGTTGAACTCGCTCTCTCGATAACCAATACACGCCTGCCTGCACTCTTACTTAATCAGCAATCGCTCGCTCGCTCGCTCGCTCGTTCATCCTGTGTGCCCCCTATTAATTGCTATTTGGCCCTAAATCCCCAAGATTATTATCCCCAAGACGGAACTATTTTTCTCGTTCGTTTTAACCTCGAGATTCGAACGATTTTTCAACGGTCCATCAAATGATGTTAGTGTATCGACATACATAATGTTCAGCTTCTGCACTACGTAGACCAGATATTCGTCTCATGATCTACATTATTTTACGATACACAGCGAGCATCAAAGCACATATAACTTTTCCACTTGAACAAAGATCTGAGCTCTCTTGCTTCCGTATTTTTAGCGCGCTAAAAATGATTTCATAAACATAGTCGCTACATTATACCAAATGCTTTGCTTTTGTGTGTTATCAAAACCTTTGCAGACACTCAAGCAGCACATTTTTAGCTACCGATTTTTTTACAACAATTTATTTGTCGAGCCTTAAGAGATTTTGCAATTTTCGATGTCTCTCGAAGCGCTATTCAATGGTATAGATACAGAAAGACCTAATTAAGAAGTTTACTGCTTCACCTTAAAGAAAAGAACAAGTTCATTGAAGTATCATTGGAAAATTAAAAACTTCAAGCATATCAATCAAACATTATCGCTTTTACAAATGCTCGACCATTCACCTTTCCTAACTATTTTAGTCTCGATTCATTGTAACAGTCATTATACCAATGCGCACATATTCCGAATGATCTTGAACAGGTTTTTCACGTAATCGAATAAATATTTTTTTGCCGATAAATCCATTCAAAACAAAATTATGAGCCGCTTGGAAGACAGCATCGCCAAATGATAGCTTCGGTGAAAACATGTAAAATATGTATAACTCTTATTGATGTAATTTTGGCTAATATATAGTTTTAAGTGTCTTTAGCAATTTGAATAATGAATAATGAATAATACATTCTTACCCAACTGCACCATTCGATAGCACTTGAGTCTGACGTTCGAGTGTTTCTTGGATATTCTCCGGGGAATACAATCTTATTGGAGAGTTGAATTGGTTATTCACCAGTCTTGGGGATGTCATCATCTTTCGCACAATAAAATTCTTAATTGCCTCAATATTAAAACCTTATATTTAACATGAAAGCACTTGATAACAAAAATATGTCTTGCAACAGAGAAAGAAAACTGGAAATCGTAGAAGTTTTTTTGCTTTTGAGTATTGAACGGGCATTGAATAAGCCGGAACGATCCAGCAACCGGTTCTATTTTAACCAGGAAATTCCTCCGAATATATCTCGCGGCATGGTTGTTGGCTCGCGTTACGTGAAATTGGATTCTCAGCGTTCGCGTAAAAATTAAAAAAATATCAATTTTTTCATTACTTTTCACCGTCAAAAAGCTTCAATTCCTTTCATTTTTTATTTTTGCCAAAATCATTGTCGAGTCAAAAGTGTCAATGCTTTTCAATCTGGAACAATTCCACCGTTTTAAGGAATTTTCAAATTGCTTATTGACTTATTGAAATGCAAAATAACGAATCGCGACAAAGTAAATGTCAATTTGATTGTTATTCGTCAAAACCTCTATTGCGACATATATGTATAATGAGTGACAATTAATTGTCGATAAAAGTTGATGTTACCTTGGCGGCAAGGCCCTGGGAGCAAAGCACTAACTGAAACTAACAGCAAAACCAGGGAAACTCGGTTCTCACTCTCTACTTCCCTCTTTTCGCACCATCAACACATCTCTCCCCTCTATTTTCTCCAAGATTCTACGTTATATTTTTACATCTACTTTCTGCGCTCTTGATTTCACGCGCATGTATATATATATATATATATATATATATATATATTACTATCTACTTTTTTCTACTTTACCTATTTATTTGTTCGATCGCATGTCTTTATTTGAACGAATACGGCAAAAGCCTTTTCCAGTACTTTAAATTTGTGTGCGCTTTTGTGTGTATGTGTGTGTGTGTGTGTATGACGACCTGAAGGGGCGAATGTAATAAATAGCACTCATATTTTATATTTTAATTGTTTTTGTATTAAAAAGAGATTAATTTACATACAATGTATAACAATGACTTTATCGAATAAAATTTTGTCACCGTTTATTATTATAAAGTAATAATCTTTCGTACTAGTAAAAGTCGTTGAGTCAGGTCACCCACACCATTAATTTGCGACTGCGAAACAGTCCTTTGCAAAATATTTATAATCTATCTAATATTTACAGACTTGTACAATCGCCAACAAAATTTTTTACCTGCATCGTTTTCAAAAAGTAATTGGTATGAATTTGAAACTTCATTCAATGAAGCTTGAAAGTGAATCAGATTTGTACGCGCTGTGCATAACAATCAACAGGTATCTCATAAAAATGTAGTACCTTTTAAAATTCATGTGCTAGCATGATTCAACTGAAGTTGTGTGTTGATGTTTCATACTGCATTTTTATAATCAAAACCATATTTATATACTGTACTGAAAAGTAAGTAAATATATGAGCAATTCCACAAAAAATGTGCCATAATTCGGCATAATTCGGCGTTATGTTCGAATGTTTTTACTAAACGTTTAGAATGCACGCACTTAAATTCTTCATTCCTACTGCCACGCATGCTCCTAATACTATTTTGTTGCTCATAGAAATGTTGACATCAGTAAAAAATAAAACTGCTTTATTGATTATGGGGTTTCGTGCCGAATTAAGGCATTATATCATTGGAACTGCTCGTATAACCACAGACAACATTTTCTCAGGTATATACATTAAATCCATATGAAAACATATAAGTTATTTCTTAACGCTAAACATATTGATCATTAATTTTACGATTGATTTGTAATAATGTAGTTAAACAATAACATTATACATATATAACTTTATGACATTATTTTATATTACAAAATCAATTAATTTCTATTTTTAAAACAGACCTTACGACAGATATCTTAGAGTATAAATGTCGAGCCTCGAAACACTTGAGAAAACACATTTTTGAAAGTAAAATAAAAACGAGAACAAGATGAATAAATAAAAAATAGTAAGAATGGTGTACGTTATGGAAAATTAACTGGCTTCAACGCATACAACTAATAATGTAATGTATTTTCCCAAGTCCTTCATGATCTTTCTGAGAAATCCTTAAGGTTCTAGCTAATGAATTAATTAATGTCTGTAATTGTAAATATTATGAACGGATGCTTGCCAAGCACGTAATAGACTTGTGAGTTTGTTTTAATATGCCTCCTGCATAAATTTTCTTTAACTTAATTTCACATGCAATCGGTGTTTTCATATGAAAGTAAGCGATTGAGCAAATCCATTTACAGAGAGCACACGTGACAATTTGATAAATGAAAATTGTGCTCGCGTGTTAACACATGTATGGTTAGCATATATTCTATGAGTCTGAACTTGTTTGATATTTACAGTGTTGTATTTAATCTAGGCACTTTGTCCATTGATACTTTACTGTTGTGATCGTCATACGTAATTATGTATAATTGTACGGTCTTAATTTTCAGTTTTAGTATTGTTTCTTAGGATCCTATTATCGGTGTTTTGAATGTCTTTATTGCTTTTCATTAATAAAATGATCTTTGTCCATTTCGATCAATCAACTTTTCATGTACACTCTCCCATTCTCATTAAAAGTCTTTCTCTAGCATTTTCCAATATGTTTGCGTGTTTCAAGCGGCTATTTCCTACATTACGTTTTGTTGTTGATCTTTGCCTCCAACAGAACTTGGTCGTTTTATTTTCATGTTCAGATAGTACGTTGAATGCTGTCTTTTATCGGTATGAAACGTTGATTACTTGGTACGGTTTATAACCAGATCACTGACCACGACCAAGCCTTTAGAGTAAGGGCTGTCGGCTAAAGTCTGGGCAAGCCTGATTGCTTCTACACAATGCTTTTTCGCCAAGAACTTGGTCTGTTCCAGTCCTTGAGACTTGTGGACGAGCTCGAAGGCCTTCTCGACGTCACCTGGCTCTTGAAAACGACGCATTATCATTGGGTTCAACTCGGGATACTGAGGACAAACAAACGAACGATTAAGATAGAATTTGTACCGTGTAGAAGCTGAGTGATCATCAGTAGCTTTGAGGAAACTCGTTGGCTTATTACTCACTCGTTCGCAAGCGAAAAGTACTGGCGCAGTAGCCAGGCCCAGCTTCAAATCAGCCGCCGTCGGCTTTCCCAGTGCCTCGGACGAGCATATAAAATCCAGCAAATCATCGACAAGTTGGAAAGCTAATCCGATGTTTCGTCCGTATTGGAAAGCTACCTCTGCTAGGCGTTCGTCGGCGCCAGCGAGCATGGTAACCTGAAAGGATGGCGATGCGTGCACTGATTGGCGCGGTCGAACGAAGGGAGAGAGAGAGAGAGAGAGACAGAGAAGAAAAGCGAGCAGGCAGCTGCTTACCGCTTTCGCCGAATTGGCCAGCAGGCTGGCGGTTTTTCTGTAGGTTTTGGTGAGATAATGGGCGAATCGCTCGTTCTCCGTCTCCTTGGAGCCCAGCTGCATAAACTCGCCCTGAACCAAGTCCGTGACGACCTGAGCGCAGAAAAGCCGAGAATGAAGCTGAGCTAGTCGGCCTAACACGCGACTCGGCTGCGCGCTCGCTGCTTTCGCTCGTATCTGATCGCGATCGCCAAGCCGATCCCATTTATTCGGCTTTAATCACACAGCTGTAGGCTCTCGCGAGAGAGCTCGGCGCTACTCGTTTTTTGCGCATTTTCCAGCTGCGCCAGGCGAATTGAATTACGCGCTACCTCGCGCAGAACCTTCCGAGCGTCCAGCAGCACTTCGCGCTGGTGTTCGCGCTAACGCCACGCGCCGATCAACGAAGAACCAACGCGAAATTCCCCAGCCTCGGATCGCCTATAGAAAGTAAAAGGACATTTGGCTGCATTCCTAAACAGTGAAAGCTATGCTAATTGGAAGTATATTTTTAGACTGGTCAGCTTCGTCAAAGTTTTTCTCGCTTGACAATGCTCTCATCGACTAGCGCGATACTCGAGCCTTCTAACTGGACTTGTTTTTGAAGCTGCCCCCCAAAGCGATTGCAGCGAGGTATTATTCGCGAGCAGGCTCCGTGATCTTTACTCGAAATCACAAAAACCAGCATTGATTCTGCGAACGAAGCGATGATTTGTTCAGCAACTTTACAGACTACTCGATTTCACTTTGTGCGCGTATAATTTAAAACTTTCTACAACTGCGTTGCCAGCTACCGCCATCTGCAGACCAATTGAGTTCTCAAGTGACTTTTACGAGGCGGACGATAAGACAAGTCATCATTGCAAAGGCGAAGATCATTAGCTACTGTTGCACACGATCGTCACGATAGCCGCGCGTTATTTGTCGATGAAATGCGTTCGAGGAGCCGATAATGGATTACGAAAGCCGCAGTGTCGAGGCTTGATGAGCAATCGGCGCCGATCCGAAGTTTTCCTAATATTCAGAGATAACGCACCTGGCTGAGCGTTAAAGTGACATCGTCGTTTCGGAGACGAGCAATCATCATTGAGGCAACAGCGAGAATGAAGTCGCCAGCCATCGTCACCTGCAAAGAAAAGTAAGCGCTTGGTTAAACGTAGTTTCTCACTCGTCGCTTTATCGCTGTCTTAACCCATATTTACAAATTCATGAATGGAACTGACTGTTTATTTCTGCGCGTACATCCAGATAAGACTGGCTTTTCTCGTACGCTAGCGCTCGGTAACCGTGCGCCGTGCGTTCGCTCACCCAGACTAGTTGGGTATTCAAACGAAAAGCTTTTATTTCGACAATTAATGCGACGCACACACGGCAATTTCGCTTTTATTTGACCGAAGAGCGGCGAGCTGGCGAACGCGAGCAACTTTTCCTGAGTTATCGTTGACAGTTACGAGCTTGAACTTGAGCGCAGCGCGACGCGCATGCACAATCAAGCTTTTTTAATCCGCGAGCACTCTCGAGCCGAGTGAATCAGAGCGAGGGGATCGCGGCCAAAGGATAACGGGCCAACGAGTAGAAGGAGGGCATTTTTGCGTACCTTAATACGCGCAGATTAATATTATATGAATAGTTAATTACAAAATGAAAACGTTGAGAAAATTAAAGGCCGCTAAAGCGCACAGTAAAAGCGCAGTCAAGCGTAAATCGCCGCGGCGGCGGCGGCGGCGCGCCGGCAAAATTAATGATCGCGCCGCTACTGCCGCTGCCTGTTACAGAAACGCCACTACGCATGTTTATGCTGTACTTGAGCGTTGCGTTTTTCTTTCACTAGGCGCGCTGAAAGTAAAAGTTTACGGATAATTGTGTTTGTCGTAATTATAAAGCCGTAAAACGGCAGTGCGCCTGCGGGCCACTCACTCAAAGTTCCATCCAAGAAAGTGCATTCTGTGCGCCAATAATAATCGGCGCCCCTCTTTCGCGCGACACTCGCTCGTTCGCAAGGCCGCCGAAAATTATCGTTCAACTAAACGCGGAACAACGATTAGTATATTGCGCGATGCTCTCCCGGATAAGCTGCTATTTTTGGATGATTGGCCTCCGCCAATGGAGACGTCGCTCGTAAACAAACGGTCTGTCGAAATTTCGTAGATGCGTGTACGAGGATCCGTAATCACTCGAATCAAGTTTCACAGGCATCAATATATGGATGAGCTTGCAGTCGATACAGCGTTACACGTAACTCTGGTAATGCCTGACGTAATCCGCTGAGTGTTACACTGTTCGATTCAAATTTCCAATTCTTACGCAGCTCGCGCAGCCAGGCCCAATGGAGGCATTGGCATAACCGGCTCTTCCTACCTGATTTTATTCGACGAGCGCGATTATGGGGAAACGAAAAACAGGCGCAAAGAGGAGAAGCGCCGTCGACGGCCACATTGACTAATGAATACATTGGAAAAGATGTAAGAGATGGTGTTTGCCCCGGAGAAACAAAGATGAGCGAGAACCAATAGGCTTTGGAGCGACGGGAAGGCTCTTTCCATTGAGTATCTGCTCTGAATCGTCATAGTACGACTCGAGCCAGGTGCTAACGAGGCTCGCCGTCCGTGGACCTTGCGCAATTCATTAGCGAGTTCTCATTTCTTCGTGGGGCTTGGCTGGTCAGCCGGTCGTCGCCCAAATAACCCATCGCCCACACACAGCCGACAAGGATTGCCGGTCGAGGAGGACCGCGAGCGAGCGAGAGAGAGCGAGTGACGGCGCGCGTCGAGTTCCGGAAGAAAGCCGAGCGCGCTGCTCGAAAATCCGGGCGCCCAGTGGATCGCATTAACCTCGTTGCTTGGTTCCTTGGCCGCGCGCCGTCCGCGTAAGAACTGGCGGCGGTGGCGAAACCGGTTCGCGCGAGCGCGCACAGCTGAGCCGATCAACGGGGCTTCACCTTCTTCTGGCTCCAGAGCGCGTTGATGGACGGCTTCCCTCGGCGAAAGTCCGACTGGTCGATCACGTCGTCGTGGATGAGGGAGGCGCTGTGGATCATCTCGGCAATCATCGCCACCTGCCGCTGCGACGCCAAGAGATTGCTGCAACGATCAAGCACAAGAGGCGATTCGCCCGTCAACTATTGGACACACGCTTGCCCAGCGAAAAAGCTCTGTTTTTACATAAGGCGCGCTCGCCACTCCTGTTCTTTGGCAGTTTAAGAGAGGAGGAAAGGAAAGTGATCGCGGGATGTTTATGTAAAGAGTGCGCATGCGGCTGCACTGACTTGCTCTGTCTGTGGTAGTTGACGGCCCTAGCCATGAGTATCGCGACCATGGGTCGGAGTGCCTTGCCCTGGCCACTGAAGTAGTAGGTAGCTATCGTCCTCAATTGGTCGTTCGTTGTGTTGCCCACCAGCTCCTGTAACAGACCACCATGGCAGCCTTTCAGCTCCATTTCCTTTTTCTTTTCCACTTGCCCGAGTCGATCGGCTGTTACGCCGCGCGTTACCTGTCTGATGTCCTCGTAGACGTCCTTCAGGTCGTCCTCGAGCAGCTGGTAGGGCTCCACTCGGTAGTCCGCCAGAGAGCCCGGCTGCTGCGTCTGCATCGAGCTCATCGCCCGAGCCAGGCTGGCGCAGTGCTCGTTGCCAGTGCTCATCTGCAACACGCGCGCGAACGTCGAACATTTATAAGCTTGTAAGCATCCCTTTTCCCTATTTCACTTTCGTAACGAGCCTCTTTCGAAGCAATCGAGGCTACCTTGTTCGATGGGGCTGTACGCGGTTTACTCGTAGGTCGGCTCGTAACGCCTCGTTAACGCCTCTTCCAGATTGAACGCTTATCCGTAATGCACCGATGTACCAATGCGATACAACTGTTGCACAGCTTACATGATAATTAGGGTGTGGCTAGGCCGTTGGTCACCTACTTTATAGCGCTCCGGCGTTTCTACGCGCGAACGTTTCTTTTTCTCTAAACGCTTATTAATTCAATTCGAAAATATTTCACATTTATAACGGTTTTTTGCCATTTCGCATCTAAATTTACAGCTCAAGCGAATGTGTAAGAGCACCGACTCGAGGCTGATTATTGAACATTAGGCTACAATAATCTGCGTCAAGTAGTCAGCAGGTTTTCGAGTTTAAAGGTGATTTATCTAATTGTAAGTTAACCAATCATACATTTTTAACTTAGCCTACGTCAGTCTCTTTGATGCGCTCGACTCAGATATTCAAGGACGTTCTCTTGAGAATGACTACTTTATAATTTCTTTCAACGTTCGCTATAACTTCCTTCGTGTATTACCTATACAGCGAAAAAAAATTGAGCATGGCCAAGCTCAGACAATTTAAATTTGGTATGATTGCGAAGTCAATATTCCTTAACTTAAAAAAAACAACAAAAAACCGATGTTATTCTAGCAATTATAAGGCATTGAACGCTACAATAAAAAACACGGAGTACCGATGCTAATTCAAAAGTTTATGGCATACTATATAATTTGATTGCTGTTTTCACTATTTCCATGCGGTTTAATTATATTTTATATTTGAACGACCATGTATCATCTTCGAAAGATTGTTAATGTAAACACCGCGCAAAGTTTAACTGTCTAACTTGACCGTTAGAAGTAAGCGTGATTGCATTTCGATGGCAGAGTCCTGCTCTGAAAGTGCCCTTCCGGTCGAACGCTATGGCTGTTCGTAAAATTTGAAAGTAGCCGTATTGGCACAACGAATCAAGCAGTGGCTCGCTGAGTACCATCAAATTCATCGTACAAGAGTTGATTTTGAAGGTTAAAGAAACAACATTTAAATGAAACGTCGTAGATTGAGTAATTCGCTTCCAGTGGACGGCTATAGCTGTTTTTATAAAAAGCACGGAATTCACTTAATTAGAAAATACTTGTAAGAGACAAAACATCGATATGGGTGTCGAATATTTTATGAGATAGCATACGTGTCGAAAAAAAAAACGTAGCTCATTTGATTGCTCACGGAATTGATACTTTTCTCGTTAGCCGGGTGCGCCGGTACGCCGCTGATTTATCGAATAAAGTCGAGAGATTATTCCGAAATCGCTGGTAGCAGACGATACGGCGTCCGTAACAGGTTTCTTTCCGAAACAGGAAATTGGCCGTACACTGTGAAAAAAAATCTACATTCGACAGGACGACACGTGCCAGGAATACTTTTTTTTTCGCATAGACGCGGAGCGATGACACGCGCGCAAGCCGTTCGTTACAAAAGAATCTCCGTGTTGTCATACAATGAAATTTTCGAGGGTCGAGCAAAGAATTTTTCGCAAACAGGCGTTGTCCGCGACAATCTACGCGGAAAGACGCGCCGAGATAAAGTTGGACGTGAAAAAATGCGCACGGCCAATAGCGAGCTTCGGGCCGGCTTGCTTGGATGCTATGCGAAGCGAGATTGCTTCATTGTCGCTTTTCTCGGCAGCAGGCAAAGAGAAGCCGTCGCTGGCGGGCCGAGTGCAGTCACCTTATTGATTTCACCGCGGCATAAATTACAAGTCTATCCGACGGCAATATGGCGGCAATTTCGATTGGACGCCTCGGCTGGCTCTCGAGGTCAAACGTGGACGAGTGCGCGGCCTGTGCGAACCCTCTTAGCGCGCGAATTTTCGACGACGCTCTTTCGGGCCGGCCGCTGACGAAACATTTTGGACGGTTGCCCTTGGTCAAAGTGCAGCACTGCTATATTTTCGCGGAAATTACTCGATGCTCGAAGACTGCTGGCAGAAGGTCGAGTGTGATGTGCGGCGAGAACGAGCGAAAAAATTGCACAAGCGTCGCGAGCGAATCTCGGAATTGTCGGCTTGAGAAGATACGAGTGGAGAGCTGCCAGATAATATTGTATTTATATTTATCAGCATGGCTCATCAGCGCGATGAAGAAATCAGTTGTAGGGTGCTTAGCAGCGGCTAATTCATTTGAGCTATGTGAATTGACGATTGACGGTGAGCGCGTAGTAGGGAGGGAGAGAGGAAGATTGGAGGAGGGGGGAAGGACGCTCATTAATGATGATTCATGCTGACAAGCGCGAGTAAAAGTGAACTAGTCCTAGTAAAGCAAAGTCTAGAGCACTCTCCGGCTACTTATTCGCCTGGTAATTTCGTACTTTGCCTGTAATCACAGCCCACTCTTGCTGCGTTAACCGTTCATTTAGATTTTTTTATTTTTTTTTTTCGAGATGCCGTTTCTAGGTTACCACGTGCTACGCTTTACGTCTAATGTATTCGACTTTTAATGAGTATGGGAATCCGTTATTTATGACAATTGCGCTAACGAGAGATACGTTTATATACTGGTGGAGACGTTTGATTAATAGATCCGATCATTGAAATAGCTGAGCAGTCAGTCAGTCGAGTCGCGAATCGAACGTGGAGAGGGTTGAACGGCCGACGTTGCGCAAGGCAAGAGCTGACTTCTGGCGGAGGCTGTCCGGTGGATATTCGCGGCTATTAGGCGACGAGAGCTCGGCACGGAGGCGTAGTCGCGACCTCAAACTTTGAGACTCGCCAAAGGAATCGGTAGCTGCGCGGCAGGTCGTTCGTTGGTAAGATCGATCGATCGAACTGCAGCAACGGCGAGAGACCTTCCAAGGTTGCCTTGGCTTGTGTCGTTTCACAATTAAATTCCATGCGCACCTTGTACGTATCGCTCACTGAAAAGAGCATTTATTAGCATTCCAAATGCGTACACCTCCAAACGACCAAATTCCGCGCAGAGTACTTTGCCGATTTCACGCCTACTTCGACTTGGTTTCTTCGCGTTTTCTTTTCTTTTTTTCGCCACACGATCGCTTAAAAGTCTCTTAACAATTACGCAATTATCGCTTATGAAATTCTTATGAAAGAGACAAATGAATAAACAACTCGTGGGACGTTACTTAACGAGCGCCCGGCAGATTAAATTTGCGAAAAACGTCGAAGCTCCGCGTAGTCCGGGCAGAAACCGATCGAAAACTTGGCGGCGCCGGCGAACGCCATGCGATTTCAGACAACTTTCACCGATCGGAAGCGCGGAAGCGAGCGCTCGAGCGACAATCGGCGGGGGCGGCAAGTGCGGCAAGTGCGACAAGTGCGACAAGTGCGGCGGGAAGCGTCGACGCGGCAGCTCGCAGAATGGAGACCGAGAAAATTGGGCGGCTGACGGTGTCTGGGAGAGAAGAGGCGACGGCGCGGAAGAATGTGAAAGTGGTCTAGCCGGAGGCTTCGTCCGGCATTTCGTCAGCCGCGGCATCGGCGACAGCGAAACTCGAACGCGCCGGCGACCGGCGCGTGGAAAGAAAGGATGCACCCAAGGGGCAGGTATAAATAGCGCGATAATGGCGCTCGTCCTTGGAAGGCGCACCGCGCTGGCAGGACTGCGGCGCGGAGCCGACGGAAGAGAGCGAAAGAAAGCGGTCGGCGAGCGGTCGTCCTTGGCTGGGCAGCCGGCCGGCTGCCGATCGCCGAGTCCAAAGCAGAGCAGCGTCAGTGCCAAAGGGCTTTCGCAAGCCGCGGCTCGGCGAGCGTCCGTGTCGCAAGGCTGCTCCGGCACTGGTCCGCCGACCGATGCTCCTTTATCTGGCCGCCGTGCCGCGCGCGCGCCGACCATTTCGCAGCTGCGAGCGATCAGCTGCTCCAGCCTTGCGTGACCGCTGCCTGTGCGCTCTCCTCACCTCGATCCGATTCCCCGAAGACTCGTCGCTCGTTAAATATCATCGCCGCGTCGCGTCTCCGGTAATTAGCCTCCGTCGAGGCTCCCGTGGAAGATCGACCGATGTTCACTTTTTCCGAGGTTCTAGAGCGTCATCCCCCTTGCGTCGCACGCGACAGTCCGCAGGCTCGAGCTCTATCGAGCGCGACGCTTCAGCGACAGCTCCGCGACGGCCTTTCCCGACGAGCGTCCGTCGGATCGAGCGGCGAAACGCGCTTCTGTCGAATTGTTCAATTGGCTAAGCAAATGCGCGTAAGAGGAGAAAGCGCGGGGCAAGTTCGATTGCAAGTGGCATTCTGCGCGAGCGGCGAGGAAGGAGCGAGGCGGCCGAGCGCCTGCTGCGAACCGGATCGACACTCGATCTTTGCAACGCGCGCTGCAACTGCCGCTACAGCTCGATCTGGCCGTTGCTGGCCCTGCTGGCCCTGCTGGCCCTGCTGGTCCGCACGGACGTCCCTCGAGCGGCGCGACTCGGCCAGGCCGACGTCGCCTGCTTTACATCCAAACTGTCACCATTCTGACTTGCTAATGAGGCTCTCCGCTAATGAACGCCACACTCCGCGCTCATCCTTGCGAAATTCCGCGCCGTGATGTATTGTCGTTTTTTATCGAGCTTCGCCGTCGTTCGGCATCGTTTTCGATTGTAAATCAGCTTCGTTTTTTTCATCCGCGCGGCTCCGCCAGAGTCATTATCCACAGCGACCACCACCAGTGGCGGCATTCGGATGCCGAGGTATTGCGTCAAGCACGTAATAGCACAACGGCCTGCCGGACATTCACACGCCCATCCGAGGCGTCGACCGAGACGAAGTGAAAGGGGCGGACGAAACTCGGGACGAGACTCGGGCCCGAGGTGCAGCGGCAGGCGACTGCGGACGAGGCGGACAACAGGTGCGTTGTTGAGTGCAGCAGCGGATCGGCCGCGAAAAGAAAGCTGC